TCGCGTCTCCGCTCCTCCACATGCAGCTGCTGGGTGACCTTGGGCCAGTCACACTTCTCTGAAGTCTCTCAGCCTCACTCACCTCACAGAGTGTTGTGGGGGAGGAAGGGAAAAGGAGAATGTTAGCCGCTTGGAGACTCCTTAGGGTAGTGATAAAGCGGGATATCAAATCCAAACTTTTCTTCTTCTGCTTGTTTCTTTCACAGAGAAGCTTCCAGAACCCTCTTGAATCAATTAGAATAGGAAAGATCTCTACGTATCAGATCAATACTTACTGTACTAAGAAATGTAAACTGACACAAACACACAAACTTCACCTGTGGATTTATTTATTTTTTTACAACAAACACTGCATGGAACTAGATGTTTCATCAGATGAGAGGCTGCCAAGGAAACTATCTGCACTACCTGTTTTCTGTAGCACGCATCTTTCTGTTTTTGGAGGCACCCATTTAACAGCCATTAAGTGGCAAGGTGGGAGGCAAGAAAGGAAGGACTTTGTCTTGCAGCAGGATCCACAGGGGCAGCAGATTCTGACGTAGATCTTTATTCCCTCACTTGTTTCTGATCCGATGCACCGACTCAGGAAAGAGATTGGGGAAAGGGGGCCGACGTGACTTGACGACATCACATCCGGGTGCCATGCGCGAATGTAGCAACGTTGTGCATGATACCCGGATGTCATACTTGTGGGAATGTTCTGGGAGTCAGGAGAGGATATACTGTTTACTTATATCCTTCCCAACTTGTGTTAACAAGTTCTATGATTTAGCAGAGTAACATTCCCCTTTTAAACTTACACATCGAATAACGTCTTTGCCAAGCTTGCATAAGCCTCTAAAATAAGTTTCCTTTATTCCCTCTTAAAAGAATAGACACGATACAGTCTTGTATAAAAGTATATAAAATAGTTTACTCACATTCTGTTCACAGAAGGATCCCAGAAGGCAGACTTAGGTTACAAAATATATACATGTGGAGTCCATCCCATTAGGAGATAGTTCCTTCCTGAGCATCTCAGGCTAAGGAGATGTTGCTTCTTCGAGGAATGGAGTCAGAGAGATGGCTGCCTCCCTTGTGCTATTTTGTTACCTGCACAGGTGAGGTCACGCCCACCTCTGGTCACATGTAGAGGAAGTTTGTCCCAGCCCAGGAGGAAACAGGAAGTTCCGACTGGCTGGTCCGGACATGTCCACTCTAGGAATGTTGTATTTGACTGCTCTGTGTTTCACACCCCACAATACTCAGGGCCTGGACACAACGCCATCAGGCGTGATGTCTGAGCATCACAAGGCAGCTCAACTTCCACGGCCAGCAGCTTCCCTGTCTCCTTTTCCTCCTCCTTCTGCTGCCCCCATGGGCCAGGGGTTGCTTCCCCACAAGAGGAGGAGGTGCCACTGCATTCCTGGCTCTTGCAACCCCCAGACATCACACACGACAGTGTTGCATCTGGCTGTTGTGCACGACAGTGTCACATCCAGGCATCATGGACAATGTCATGACATCACGTGTGATGTCTGGGCAAACATTGAGGGGGCCCAGCCTCCCACTAACAAATATTGCAGAGATGCCACGTGAGCGAGATGAACAAACACCCAGCAATAAAAGATAATGGGAGAGGATTTACCCCAGCAAATTATTTGTCAAAATTACAAATACCCAAATGTTGTTGTTTAGTCATGTCCGACTCTTTGTGACCCCATGGACCAGAGCATGCCAGGCACTCCTGTCTTCCACTGCCTCCCACAGTTTGGTCAAACTCATGCTGGTAGCTTCGAGAACACTGTCCCACCATCTCGTCCTCGGTCGTCCCCTTGTCCTTGTGCCCTCCATCTTTCCCAACATCAGGGTCTTTTCCAGGGAGTCTTCTCTTCTCATGAGGTGGCCAAAGTATTGGAGCCTCAGCTTCAGAATCTTTCCTTCCAGTGAGCACTCAGGGCTGATTTCCTTCAGAATGGAGAGGTTTGATCTTCTTGCAGTCCATGGGACTCTCAAGAGTCTCCTCCAGCACCATAATTCAAAAGCGTCAATTCTTCGGCGATCAGCCTTCTTTATGGTGCAGCTCTCACTTCCAAATACCCAAATACCCTCGCTAGATTGAACGTGTTGCCATCTGCCTTATTGCAGGGCAGATTCGAGGGTAAACCATGCGTGGAACGAGTCTGCCCCTGCGGCTCGATGGAGGTAGAAACTATCTCTCATGTCTTGTTACGCTGCCGTTTCTACAGGGGTATACGCTCGGTATTTATCACTCCTGTTATACAAAAATCTCCAAATGGGTCCAAACTTCAATGTCTAAAACTCCTGGTAGAGGACAAGGATCTAGAGATCACGCTAAGGGTCGCCAAATTCTGTGCGACTGCCATAAAACTTAGGGAACAAGCTGTACTACCAAAATGATTAAGGTTTTAAATGACAATTTTAGTGATCAAGATTTAATATATATTTTTAACTGCCGCTGTATCTGAATTGTCTCTATACTCAATTGCAATTCAATGTATTCCTGTTGTGTTTTATGATTTTCCTGATATTGTAAGTGAGCCGGAACTGGTCTGTAACCACAATAATAAAATTCAATTCAGTATTGCGGAGGGGTCCAGTCCCTAGGAGTCAGCACCCCTGTTTCTGAAGTAGTTACTCCCTGGTGACGAGGGGTGCACCAGTTTCTAGTTCACCACAGGTGCCAAAATGTCCTGGGCCTGCCCTGCAACAAACTATCAATTCTTATTTTTTTCTCCTTTTTCTCTTTTTCTTTCTTAAAGTGGATGGGATAATTACCGTATTTTTTGCACCATAACACTCACTTTTTTCCTCCTAGAAAGTAAGGGGAAATGTCTGTGCGTGTTATGGAGGGAATGCCTACGGGTGGCGGGAGGGATCTGCTGCAGTCGTGAGTGGAGGATCCATGGTTCCCCTTCCTTCCTTCCTCCGTGGCTCACTTTGAAACAGCAAAGCGGGAGAAGAGCCGCTGAGTGGGGAGGAGAGAGGGACAGAGAGCCTGCTTCTTTAAAGGAGCAAAGCGGGAGAGGAGAGGAGCCGCTTACACGAGTGTCCGGTTGGCTCCTTTAAAGCAAGCAGGCTCTCTGTCCCTCTCTCCTCCACACTCAGCTCGCTACATGGCAGCAAGGTTTTTCAGCTCGCTAAGCCGGGGATGAGCGGGGAGGAGGAGAAAAGCAGAGCCTGTTTGCTTTAAAGGAGAAAAGCGGGAGAGGAGAGGAGCCTTCTCCCCTTATACCCCTCTTCTTCATTATTAGCAGCATCCTTCTCCACACACCCCACGCATGTTACTTCTCCCCTTAAACCCCTCTTCTGCATTATTAGCAGCATCCTTCTCCACACACCCCACGCGTGCTCCTTGTCCGTTGAGTGCTTTTCCTTCCCTCCCCACTTAAAACGTGGTTACAAAGCACGGATCCACATGGATCCTCAGGATTTTTGCAGTGGGTCACCCCAAATTCACCATCAGATCACATAGCATGTCCATGGCTACATCTTGCACCAAAAAAATCATGCACCCACTGTTGCCTGGGGCTGCAGTGGTGCAAAAACGTGGTTACACAGCATGGATCCACATGGATCCTCAGGATGTTTGCATTGGGCTACTCCAAACTCACTGTCAGATCACATGTCTGTGGCCACAGCATGAACCACAAAAATCATACATCCACTGTTTCGTTTAGAATATTTTTTTTCTTGTTTTCCTCCTCTAAAAACTACGTGCATGTTATGGTCAGGTGCGTGTTATAGAGCGAAAAATACGGTACTTTTTCCGGAGGGTGTCTAACGCAACATATTTTTGTTTTGGTTATAGCAGGCAGGAAATACATCTCTAGACTGCATATGCTTGACAATGCATGGGAACAGAACAGTGTCGGAGGCAACACAGGGTGTGTTCACAATATACTTCCTTCCCCTCTGCCTGAGAATGCAAAGAGCATGCTGCAGCTACCGCTGCCACTGTAGCAGAGGCAGAAGCCAAGACATTCATTGGAGGCCGAATCTGCTGCATCCTCATTAGTCCCCTCCCTGCCCCCCCAACCTGTGGATCCTTCCACCTGAAGCAGTCACTCACCTTGCCTCATGCTCCCATCAGTCCCAGCCAGCACCATGGTCAGCAATGAGGGGAGCTGGAGTCTGGCAGCATCTGCATCATAGAATCATAGAAGCATTGCATTGTAGAGTTGGAAGGGACCCCAAGGGTCATCTAGTGCAACCCCGGCAAGGAAGGAATCTTTTGCCCAAAGTGGGGCGCAAACCCATGACCCCGAGATTAAGTGTCTCATGCTCTACTGCGTGTGCTATCCCAGGACCACTGGTTCCCCACCTCCCTCTGTAAAGAGCAGTGTACACTCATGCAAACAGAACAGACAAACAAGTCCTGCAATCCCACACCCATCAAAGCCTTGTCTGTCGCTTTTACATAATAATAATAATAATAATAATAATAATAATAATAATAATAATAATAATAGAATCATAGAATTGGAAGGGAGCCTGAGGATCATCTAGCCCAACCCCCTGCAATGCAGGACTAAGCAGCTGCCCCATACAGGAATCCACCCTGGAGCCTCGGCGGTATCAGCACCATGCTCTAACCAAATGAGTAATAATAATAATAATAATAATAACAACAACAACACTAACAACAACAACCCATCTGACTGGCTTGCCCCAACCAGTCTTCCAACCAATTTAAACACAGGAAAACATCACACATTTTAAACACCCCTCTACAGGGCTGCCTTCAGATACCTTCTAAAAGTTTATTTCCTTGGCATCTAATGGAAGGGCCTTGCACTTCTACCGAGAAGGGCCTCTGCGTGGTGTTTGAAGGGAACACAAAATAAGATGCAAAGGGGAGGGACGCCTTGTCTTGCATGAGGGCTGAAGCGGAGTTCTGGCTGGAGCAATTCTGAGAACTTGCCTGAAAGAGAGGGGGGCGGGGAGAGGGAGGGGGAGGGAGAGGGGAGCGGCTACTGAGTTTCCTCTCCGAGCGGAGAGAAGAAGCCGAGGCTTGACTTTCCGAGCGACTGCTTCTCTTTCGCGTTGAGGCTGAGAACTTGGCAGAGCCTGGCAGGACAGGACAGCGCAGAACGGGAGCAGCGGGAAATTATGCGCCAAGTTCTTCCCAGAGCCTTGGAGCTGGCAAAGATCCCGAAAAAAGCTGGTCAGGATGGAAAGGGGGGAAATCGAAGAGTCAATCCTCGCCCCCTCCCCACCCCCCAGCTCCAGTGAAGAGAGAAGAGAGGGGAATGAAGCCAGTCGTCTTCGCAAATTCCATTTGGAAGAGCCAACAGGCAACGAGACTGAAACGAACAGATGGAGGTAGGTCGTGGGAAGCTTTTGTGGATTCACAGGGGTTAACATAAAAAGCAGATGTCTAGGTGTGGTTCATGGGCACAGCAAAGAGGGGAGGCGGGGAGGGACAGCTGTCCCCGCAATTAATAAAAATATATAAAAACACATAGATGAGGTTCTCCCCCCCCACCCCACAAAAGACCTAATCCGCTCTAAATCTTGGCTACGCCCAAGGTGTGGTTGGAATTGGCTCAGATTGTGGGTTTAGGAACGAGGAGACCACAGAAGAAAGGATGCTAAGGGATTGATTGGGGAAAGGGAAGCTGGAGGAAGCGAGAAGGAGACAGAGGCAAGGCTTGGGAGAGAAGCAAAAAGGACAGAAGACAAATGTAGGGAGGTTTATAAGGAAGGGAGGTTCTCTTGTGGAGCACTGGCGCCATTTGAAGTTCAGTATGTCTCCACTATAACCATCGCTGCAGCAGGCACCATTTTACAACCTCATTTATTTGTAAAATCGGTCTTATGGGCAGGACCTGACAAGAAGGAAGTGGAGAAGGTTAGGGTAGAGAAAGGTGGTGGAGAGTTTTAAAGGTAGGGGTGAAGAGTTTGCTATGGGTGCTGAAAGATGCGAAACGACAGCACAGCACAAAGATATGAGGAGAGTTTGGCTTGGCAACGGGGTGGCACACAAAAAGCGGGTGGCGCTGTGGTCTAAACCACAGAGCCTAGGGCTTGCCGATCAGAAGGTCGGCGGTTCAAATCCCTGCGACGGGGTGAGCTCCCATTGCTCGGTCCCTGCTCCTGCCAACCTAGCAGTTCGAAAGCACGTCAAAGTGCAAGTAGATAAATAGGTACCACTCTGGCAGGAAGGTAAACTGCGTTTCCGTGAGCTGCTCTGGTTTGCCAGAAGCGACTTAGTCATGCTGGCCACATGACCCAAAGCTGTACGCCGGCTCCTGCAGCCAATAAAGCGAGATGAGCGGCGCAACCCCAGAGTCGTCCACAACTGGACCTAATGGTCAGGGGTCCCTTTACCTTTAAGGTGCTACTGGACATTTTTTTAAATTTTTTTTTATTTCTATTGGATTATATTGGCATTGCTGAATTGCTGCTTACATCACTGAAGGCAAACATAGAGGTGTGGCATCAGAGCAAGAGACCCCCGACCTTGCTTTGGTGCTCCCTGAATCTGTGCTCTGCTGAAGATGAGTCGACTCTAGGCTCTCATTTAGGGGGAAATCCTTTCAGAAAGCCCAGTAAGTACCAAGCGATTGGTCCTGCTTGAGCTGCTTACAGCTTAGAGCAGAGCTTTCCAAACTGTGTGTTTTATGGGGTCTCACAGGGTCATGCCCATCTACCTGGTCACACGCAGGGGGAGGACGCTCCAGACCAGGTGTGACAGGAAGTCCTCCTGCCTGGAGTAACATCCTCCTGTGTGTCCACTCTGGGCAAATAGGAATACTTCACTGCTTATGTTACATCCCACATCCAGTTTGCTAGTCAAACTGTGTTGCGAAATGATGCATTTCTAAAAAGTGAGTCACCAGCACGAAAAGTTTGGAAAGCTCTGGCTTAGACTATTCTGCAGGAGGGCATGGAGGCCACAACCTTGAGGAGAGTCCTCCTGCTTTGTGGTGAGGATATTATACTGCAACATTTTGTGGCTGGCACCACCAGTGCAATATTTGACTATGTTAAGCTGTCATACAGAACTGCCTTGGAGTTGTAGCATCCCACAAAGGTGTTAAACACAGAGTTCTCCAAAGCTCTGTTGGATCAGTCTCATGAGCGCTTATGGATATATGTTTTATTTGTTCCCTACCACACAGGCTAAAGCCTTCCATTGTTCTCAATGTTGTCTTCTTTATCTTCATCATCATTCTCCTTGCAGTAGGTAAGTTGCAGAAACTTGGGTGCTACTTTCCTTGAAGTTTCTCTTCAGCCACCCGGGATAGCTCAGTCAGTAGAACATGAAGCTCTTAATCTCAGGGTTGTGAGTTCAAGACCCGTGTTGGGCAAAAGTTTTCATCTTCAGCACTAAAGGGATTACAGTGGTACCTCAGGTTAAGTACTCAATTGGTTCCGGAAGTCCGTTCTTAACCTGAAGCGTTCTTAACCTGAAGCAGACTTTCCCATTGAAAGTAATGGAAAGTGGATTGATCCGTTCCAGATGATGAAAAACACCCCCTAAAACAGCAATTTAACACGGATTTTACTGTTTCATGAGACCATTGATCCATAAAATGAAGGCAATAATCAATGTACTCTACTATAAAATAAATAAGACAGTATTTTAGATTTTAAAAATCTAATTCTTTTATTACATGCACTCATTGTTTGGATGGGGGCTCAGGGTCCTCTTCCACAATCACAATCGGCTTGGCTCCTGGCATTTGCAGAGCCTCTCTAGGCACCGCTGATGTCGGGGCTTGGTTCCTGGCATTCATGGAGGCCTCAGAGAGCTCCATAGTCCCCGTGGATGTCTGGGTTTGCCTCCAGGCAGCAGCGAGGCCTCCAAGAGCTCAGACAACTTACTTCCGGGTTACAATCATTCGTAACCCAAAAAAATGTAAGTTGACACATTCATAACCCGAGGTACCACTGTATAACAGTTCCAGCAGAATTTGCTTTAGATTGGCAAATACTATGTGATAGGAGAACATAGGGATGACATCATACGTACATCACCCCAAAAAGGCACATACTGTTGAATGGTTTCTTTAAATGTAAAGGTTCATCACTGTTCCACCCGATGTGTATGTCTTTAAGGGGCCAGAGCAAGATACCGAGACCCAGCTTTACAGCTGTGAAACATAGCAGGTGCTGTTGAGTTGTATTGATTAAGCTGTGTTGGTAATTGGGTGTAGTATATAAGGAGCAGCACCTAGCTCTCCCATTACCCTGGGGGATGGGTTGGTGGTTGGGTCTGGTTTGTTGATGTATTTAGTGTAAATGGAGTTTTTGTTTTTCTTATTAAAACCTTGTTTAAGTTATTTTTGAGTCCCTTTTTAATGCTTGGTCTCCCCAGCAAGCTCTCTGCAGCGTTACTATACTGCAAATAGCCAACACATACATCCAGCACTGGATGCCTATTATCACAGTGTGTACACAAAGGGAGCTTTTCCATAATTCCCAATTTTTCTTCCCTTGGTCTTGGAAATTGAGATTACCAAGCTCCCAGTTCTCCTGCTCCCCAGCAATGGGGCGAATGCCTGAGCTGTATCCTCCTCAGCCTGCATGAGTGTTCCCTGCAAGGCCAGCCCTATCATGAGGCAGAGTGAAGCAGCTGCCTCGGGTAGCAGATGGGAGATGGGTGGGAGAAAGTAATGGTGAGCTGTTGGAGAAGAGAGCTCTCTGTGCTGCTATTATCTGCCCTGTGGCCCCATAGCTCCTGCCCTCAGATATGGTGCAGGACACTGTCTGGTTACAAGTGTAAGATTCAAGTGCCTATCTGTGCATGGAATTGAGAGTGAATGCTTTCTTGTTTTTCACTTTAAACAGCAAGATACTTGGGCCAACTCCTGGCTTCCGGAGAGGCTTCCTGTAGGTGTGGTTGTCATCCTGCCCTTGGCAACAGAATGTTGTTTCTCTTCAGAGACTGTGTACCTCACTTTTGTTACTTTCAGCTAATCTTCCCAGATGGCTAGTGGATGGAGTGCATTGTAGATGTATAGTAAAAAGGGATACATATGTGCTTAAGATATACAGGTATGTGACTTATGTTTTGCACTTGGGAATTGCAAAAGAATACAAAAAAGTTATGTTTTAAGGAGTTGTGAGGTAGATAGCTAGGCCCTACTCTGTTTCGGCCGAATGATCCCAGTTTCTGTCTGTGCTTCTCAGTGATAGCTGGATGAATATTATTATTATTATTATTATTATTATTATTATTATTATTATCTTTATTGTCATTGCCCCCTTCGGGGACAACGAAATTACTTGACTGCTCCATAAAAACACTAATTAAACAATACAGTATAATACAGCAAGGGAGATTAGATGACTTTCAAAGTCTGGGCTTCCCATTCAGGGCCGAGATCGCTCTGGAGAAGAAGCTGTTCTTAAGACGGCTCGTTCTTAATCTGGTATCACTGAATTCTCTGTATCTATCTTAGTTCTTTCTAACAGAACAGAGCAAACAAGTTGCAACCCTGTTTTTGCTGAATATTGCCCATACAACTGGACTGGCTTTAGAAACAAATGCTACTACTTTTCGGAAGAAGAAGGGGATTGGAACTCCAGCTACGATTTTTGCGTCTCAAACAATGCGTCTCTTGCTAGGATTGAAGAGGATGAAAAGGTGAGGTGTGGAAACATTGTCTAAGCTGTTTGATATATAACTCAAAGCCATGGTTTGTTCGACAAACCACAAGTTAACCATGAGTTGTCCTATGGGTGGTCAAAGAAACCATGGCTTTGGCTCATTTCCCAACTGCTTTTGCCTCATGCTTTTGTAGCTTGGTTAGTGGTCAGACAAACTATGGTTAAAGAAGGGTGCTGGGTTAGCACATAACACTAAGTGATTGTTAAAACAAACAAGCATTTGTAATTATTATTATTATTATTATTATTATTATTATTATTATTATTTATACCCCGTCCATCTGGCCCAGCCACTCCAGGCAGCTCCCAACAGAATATTAATAATAATAAGCAGTGCTTTTTTCTGTTAAAAATGTTAAAAATGTTTAGGGGTACTCTCATTTTCCTACTCATATTGAAATACTGCCCCTCAATGAGGCCAAACTTAGATTCACAAAATGTTTAGAGGTATGCGTACCCCTGCCTTCCCCCAGAAAAAAAGCACTGATAATAATAATAAAGCAATAGAACATCAAACATTAAAAATTTCCCTAAACAGGGCTGCCTTCAGATGTCTTCTAAAAGTCAGATAGTTGATTATTTCCTTGACATCGGATGGGAGGGCGTTCCACAGGGTGGGTGCCACCACCAAGAAGGCCCTCTGCCTGGTTCCCTGTAACCTGACAGTAGGCAGTGAGGAAACCGCCAGAAGACCCTCAGAGCTGGACCTCATTGTCTGGGCTGAACGATGGGCGTGGAGACGCTCCTTCAGGTATACTGGGCTGAGGCTGTTTGGGGCTTTAAAGGTCAGCACCAATACTCTGAAGTGTGCTCAGAAACATACTGGGAGCCAATGTAGGTCTTTCAGGACCAGTGTTATATTGTCTTGGCGGCCACTCCCAGTCACCAGTCTAGCTGCCGCATTCTGGATTAGTTGTAGCCTGCAACAAACCATAGCTTCAGATCAGTAAGTAAACCACATAATTCTAACCCATAGTTTAATAAACAATAGTTTAATAAACCACGGCTTATGTGAACCAGGCTATATTGTACTTTAATCATTAAGTTCAACCATTATGTAGTACAAAGGAGCTGATTTAAATGCAGAAATAATTGTAGGGTCATAGCAGTAAACACTGAGCACATAAAATAATTTTTGTTAAAAAGTATTTATTTAAAACAAACACCCAACCCCACATTTGTATCCTGTGCTGGTAGCGGAACTGAGTTAAGAACTCCATCCAACATTCCCTTTTAATGAAACAAATGTAGGAAATAGAATGAGGATGTTAAAATGATGAGAGAATAATAATTATGTTAAAAAATGTTGGAGAACAATATTTTTATTAGAGAGCCAGTGTGGTGTAGTGGTTAAGAGCGGTAGTCTCGTAATCTGGGGAACTGGGTTCGCGTCTCCGCTCCTCCACATGCAGCTGCTGGGTGACCTTGGGCCAGTCACACTTCTCTGAAGTCTCTCAGCCCCACTCACTTCACAGAGTGTTTGTTGTGGGGGAGGAAGGGAAAGGAGAATGTTAGCCGCTTTGAGACTCCTTCGGGTAGTGATAAAGCGGGATATCAAATCCAAACTCTTCTTCTTCTTCTTGTTATATATTATATGATATTCGGATGTCAAAAAATGGTAAAATGTTAATAAAAATTATTTATGTAAAAAAAGAACTCCATCCAACAAGTTGCTCTTTCTTTTTTTAAAAAAGAAACTGGTAAACATTTTAGATTTGTGTAATGTTTTCAGTTGCACTGTGAACATGGCGGTTCAAGGCTCTAATACCTTCTGGTCTTTTAAAGGCTTATTGTAAACTTCATGACATGAAGAGGAGCTACTGGATTGGCATCCAACCTGGGATGGGAGAGACCCGGAAATGGCTAAATGGAGACACAGCAACGTGAGTCCTTCCCATAAATACTGATAATCAAAAATGAAATGTTTCCCAAGACAGCTCGGTATATAATTGTTTATCAAAGAGCTTCTTCCCTAAGCAACATAATTTTGAACAAAATCACAATTCCCCTGAAATGGGAGTTTAGAATGCAATTTATTTGAAATCCTGCAGGTGATGTGCTTCAGATCACAGCAGGTGCTACAATAACTATGTTCTACTTTCAGTGGAGTACGGCAAGGCTGTATATTGTCTCCCTGCTTATTTAACTTATATGCAGAATTCATCATGCGAAAGGCTGGGCTGGATGAATCCCAAGCCGGAATTAAGATTGCCGGAAGAAATATCAACAACCTCAGATATGCAGATGACACAACCTTGATGGCAGAAAGTGAGGAGGAATTAAAGAACCTTTTAATGAGGGTGAAAGAGGAGAGCGCAAAATATGGTCTGAAGCTCAACATCAAAAAACGAAGATCATGGCCACTGGTCCCATCACCTCCTGGCAAATAGAAGGGGAAGAAATGGAGGCAGTGAGAGATTTTACTTTCTTGGGCTCCATGATCACTGCAGATGGTGACAGCAGTCACGAAATTAAAAGACACCTGCTCCTTGGGAGAAAGGCGATGGCAAACCTAGACAGCATCTTAAAAGCAGAGACATCACCTTGCCAACAAAGGTCCGTATAGTTAAAGCCATGGTTTTCCCAGTAGTGATGTATGGAAGTGAGAGCTGGACCATAAAGAAGGCTGATCGCCGAAGAATTGATGCTTTTGAATTATGGTGCTGGAGGAGACTCTTGAGAGTCCCATGGACTGCAAGAAGATCAAACGCATCCATTCTTAAGGAAATTAACCCTGAGTGCTCACTGGAAGGACAGATCGTGAAGCTGAGGCTCCAATATTTTGGCCACCTCATGAGAAGAGAAGACTCCCTGGAGATGACCCTGATGTTGGGAAAGATGGAGGGCACAAGGAGAAGGGGACGACAGAGGACGAGATGGTTGGATAGTGTTTTCGAGGTTACCAGCATGAGATTGACCAAACTGCGGGAGGCAGTGGAGGACAGAGGTGCCTGGCGTGCTCTGGTCCATGGGGTCACGAAGAGTCGGGCACGACTAAACGACTAAACAACACTACTTTCAGTGTCAGAGGCAACCAGTTGAGGGGAATTGCAAGTGGGCAGAATGGTGCTGCACTCAGGTCTGGCTTGCAGGCTTCCCACTGTGAGAACAGCATGCTGGCATAGTGTAGGGGGGCTGGGGGGTATTTTTTTGGGGGGGTGCATTCCTCTCAATGCCCTGCTGTGTCATGAGCTGGAGGGCACCTTGAGAAGGGCACAACAGCTCCTGGCGCCCTGCACCATTTTCACAAGATGGCAGTATTGAGTCAGTGGCTCATGTGCTTCTGGTTTGCACTCTTTATAAAGATTTGAGGAGTGAGGCTATCACGCCTCTATTATTGTCCCTGCCGGGTCACTGAGCCATTGCTACTGTGTCCTTTCTTTTAGCAGATCGAGATGATCAGGTGACAGCAAAAACTGCAAGGTTTTTTAGTGGGGAGCAATTAGAATAAGATAAACTAGGGCCCAGGGCCTTTTCAGTACTGGCCCCAACTTGGTGGAACGCTCTGTCACAAGAGACTAGGGCGCTGCGGGATTTGGCATCTTTCCGCAGGGCCTGCAAGACAGAGCTGTTCCGCCTGGCCTTTGGTTTGGACTCAGTCTGACCCTTATGTTTTCCTCCCCTCATGGTTTTGATCTATGGGCTACTTTTAAAATGAGGCTGCTTTTTAAATTGCATTTAAACCTGTATTTTAAATTGGGTCCCCCCCCCCCCATTATGTTCCTATTGTAATTTTACTGGTGTTAGCAGCCCTGAGCCCGGCTCTGCCTGGGAAGGGCAGGGTATAAATAAATTGTTGTTGTTGCTGTTCATTATTATTGTTATTGTTGTTGTTATTGATGTAATCCCCCAAAATGTATTTTGTATAGTTAAGTTTTTACCTCTACCTTCAGTACATTTTATTTTGTGGCTGTGGCTGATGCAAATAAAGATTCTTCTCATTCCGATTCTTTTTGCAAGTCTCGCAGAGCAGTGCTGGGCTTGCGGGGTGCTGCGAGTACACCCCTCAAAGCACGGCAGGATCAGCCGGCCAAGCTCCTCACTTTACGGCCAGGCAGGAGACACAACACAGCTCCGCTTTGCTCCAGTGGGCAGGGGTTGCGCCCTGCCCCACAGCACGCTACGTGCCCCCTGGCTTGTGCACACCCACCGCAGGTGCCAACAGGGAACACTCTGCCACTGTGCTATTCACATGTGTTCCAGGTGCCAAGTGAATTGAGCTGCATTATCCTAACTTGTCAATACCAATTTATTGTTGTAGGGGAGACATTTGACCCTTGCCTGACTCTATATTTTGTGTTGCAGGATGAAAGTCATTGGAACAGGAAAATGTGCCTATTGGAAAGCGCAAGATGACAATGCCACAGCCTCAAGGTGCACCTCAGCACATCAGTGGATTTGCAGCATATCTGTCAAATCTAAAAATCACGATGAAATATGAATGAAAAACATGTTAAAGCTAGTAAACATGTTGTTGTTGTTGTTGTTGTTTAGTCGTTTAGTCGTGTCCGACTCTTCGTGTCCCCATGGACCAGAGCACGCCAGGCACCTCTGTCCTCCACTGCCTCCCGCAGTTTGGTCAATCTCATGCTGGTAACCTCGAAAACACTATCCAACCATCTCGTCCTCTGTCGTCCCCTTCTCCTTGTGCCCTCCATCTTTCCCAACATCAGGGTCTTTTCCAGGGAGTCTTATCTTCTCATGAGGTGGCCAAAGTACTGGAGCCTCAGCTTCACGACCTGTCCTTCCAGTGAGCACTCAGGGCTGATTTCCTTAAGAATGGATAGGTTTGATCTTCTTGCAGTCCATGGGACTCTCAAGAGTCTCCTCCAGCACCATAATTCAAAAGCATCAATTCTTCGGCGATCAGCCTTCTTTATGGTCCAGCTCTCACTTCCGTACATCACTACTGGGAAAACCATAGCTTTAACTATACGGACCTTTGTTGGCAAGCTAGTAAACATAGTCTCCTCCAAATGTGTTGCGCTATAGCTACCATCATCCCTGTCCATGCTGGCTGTGATTAATGGGTGCTTGCATCTTGTTCGCCACCCACCCCTGTGTTATACAGTGGTACCTCTAGTTATGAATTTAATTCGTTCCGGAGGTCCATTCTTAACCTGAGAAACCACTTTAGCTAATGGGGCCTCCTGCTGCAGCCACTGGTGAGCGATTTCTGTTCTCATCCTGGGGCAAAGTTCTTAACCCAAGGTACTACTTCCAGGTTAGCAGAGTCTGTAACCCAAAGTGTTTGTAACCCGAGGTGTTTTTAACCCGAGGTACCACTGTATAGGGAAGCCATACGGCCCAATTTCCTCCGAAAATGGCATCCTGGATAATTTTTCAAAAACTGGGCAAATGTCCTGGGAAACTGGCAGTGGGGTTTAAATTGTGCCAGAAATGCTTTAGAAAGTTCCAAAAGTGAAAAATAACCTCCACACCACACTGGTTCCCATAGCTAGAGTCTGCAAAAGCAGAGGGACACATGACACTGAATAAAGGACCAAGCTCATTACTAACACATACACACAGCCCCACACACGCGGAACCCCATACAGTATTTCCCCACACAAAGAGGCAAGTCTGTCGTCAGACGGGGGGGGGGGGGGATGGACCTCTGTGACCTTCCAGATGCGGTTCGACTCCAACTCCCAGCAGCCCTTGTCAGCATAGCTGTCAACGTTTTTTTAAGGCAAATTCCCTTATTCCGAATAGAATTCCTAGCAAAAAAAAGGGAAAAGTTGACAGCTATGCTTGTCGGGATGCCCAGTGGACAGCGGTGTTGGGAACTGCAGTTCAGCAACGAGAGAGACCCACAGGTCACTTAAACACACACAAAAGACACACACACACGGGCGAGAATGCTTCTTGCAAAGCGCTGCGAGATCTGCCACCCAACGCAGAGCAAGGCGAGGGGAAGCGGAGGCGACCCCGCTTGGCAACAAACGGCGCTGCGCCAACTTCTCCTCCTCCTCCTCCTCCTCCTCCTCCTCCGCCCTGGAGCTCCTCCTATCAAAGGCTGACGAGGAGAGGTGCAATTGGAAACCCCGCAGCGAATCCGGCGCGGCGCTTTCCTTTGCGCGCAAATTCAAATTGCCAAGCTCATCCGGACATCTCCCGTCGGTTTTGCTCTTGGAGAAAGCGCGTGCAGAACGCGGGCCAACCTGTGCAGGTACGGCGATTAAAAACCAGCGAATCGGGAGCGCGGGGGTCTCGGCGTGGGGGCGACAGTAGCGGCGGTGGCCGCCAGCCGCGATGGGGGGTGGGGTTGTCGTTGCATTGCAGTGCAGTTATCTCAGCTAAAGCATCCGGGACAGATGGCCTTCCAAGCTCTGCTTAAGAACCTTGCGACGATACACATGCGAAGCTAAGCAAGGTCCGGTATGGTTTCAAATGGGTTGGGGGGACAAGTGGCGACATTCCTGCATCGCAAGGGGTTGGACGAGATGACCCTCGCGGTCCCTTCCAACTCCACGCAGTTTTTCTTGAAAGGAGCGAGAGCACAGCCTTTTTACCTTGTATGGCTACAGGAAAGATGGAAGCCGGATCAAAATCCGAAGAAGAGCATTTGGACTCTCCCTACCCGCATGTTGACCTTGAGCAAAGGGAGGCATCAGGTAAGCGCATCTCCTTTGCTCCAAATCTGGTAACCTTAATGTAACCCCCCCCCCCCCAAAAAAAATGTATTTTCTATAGTTAAGTTTTTACCTCTATCTTCAGTACATTTTATTTTATTGCTATGGCTAGTGGCGGATGCAAGTAAAGATTCTTCTGTTCTGCTCTGCCTTTCGACCAGAATGTATGAGCTGAGTAGATTAAGCAGATCCAATGTTTGGTTTTTGCTGGGGAAGTAAAAGGGATTCACTTTCCCCCATGAACCCTAATAATAATAATAATAATAATAATAATAATAATAATAATAATTTATTATTTGTACCCCGCCCATCTGGCTGGGTTTCCCCAGCCACTCTGGGCGGCTTCCATAGAAACCAAAAACCACTAAAATATCACACATTAAAAACTTCCCTGAACAGGGCTGCCTTAAGATGTTTAAGGAGGCCTAATCTTGCCTGCTCTTCTTAAGTTCTCACAAATGCTTATGAGTTTAGCTGTTCTTTTTTCCCTTTCCGCTGTAGCATCTCCCAAGATCTGGAAATACCTATCAATTAAAGATATTCTCATAGGCATCCTCGTTTTCCTGGTCATCGCACTTACCATTACCATTATAGCAGGTAAGTTTTCTGAACCTCAGTGTTACTCCCTTAAGCTTTTTCTCTTCCCTCTTGGGTCTGAGGTAGCTGCATGCCTTCAGCCAGCTTCTCAAAATCAGAACTTTGGCTATTGCCTGGCTTTCAGCCACTGCCATGTCTGACAGCCTTGCCCCAAATCAGCAGTTCAATGATCCATATTCTTACAAGGACACACTGAGACCATGTGCTTTGGCCACAGATGGGAACATCTGGCATTGGGGGGGAAGAGATGCTTAGCCAGAGGGTTAGAGCAGGGGTTGGCAACCTAAGGCCCGGGGGCTGGATCCGGCCCAATCACCTTCTCAATCCGGCCTGCGGACAGTCCGGGAATCAGCGTGTTTTTACATGAGTAGAATGTTTCCTTTTATTTAAGATGCATCTCTGGGTTATTTGTGGGGCCTGCCTGGTGTTTTGACATGAGTTGAATGTGTGCTTTTATTTAAAATGCATCTCTGGGTTATTTGTGGGGCATAGGAATTTGTTCATTCCCCCCCCCCAAATAATAATAATAATAATACAGTGGTACCTCGGGTTAAGAACTTAATTTGTTCCGGAGGTCTGTTCTTAACCTGAAGCTGTTCTTAACCTGAAGCACCACTTTAGCTAATGGGGCCTCCCGCTGCCACCACACCGCTGGAGCACGATTTCTGTTCTCAACATGAAGCAAAGTTCTTAACCCGAGGTAATATTTCTGGGTAAGCAGAGTCTGTAATCTGAAGCGTATGTAACCTGAAGCGTATGTAACCCGAGTTACCACTGTATAGTCCGGCCCCCCACAAGGTCTGAGGGATAGTGGACCGGGCCATGGCTGAAAAAGTCCCTGACCCCTGGGTTAGAGGGTGGTATGGTGGTGAGGTCAGAGCAGTGCGGATGCACCAGCAGAGCCTATCTGACACTCCTGCACAGTCCTGACCTCGCCACCTTCTCAGCACCCAGATAACACTGGTCAACAACAAATTTGTTGTCTGCGTTTTTTCAGTTGATTTAGGACGAATCTGATGCGCTGAATCCAAAAATCACATTGGTTTTGCTCAATCAGGTCAAGTTTTTGAGCTATGGCCACATGTCTTTTTTTACGTTTTTGTTCACATGTACGCTTGTGTGGAGCATTTTAGAAGAAATTGGTGGGGGTAAAATGCCATGTCGATCTGGGCGCTGAGAAGGTGGTGAGGTCAGGGCTGTGCAGGACTGTACTATTTCTGGGTTAGCGGAGTCTATAACCTGAAGCGTATGTAACCTGAAGCGTCTGTAACCTGAGGTACCACTGTATGCTTCTCCAAATGGGTGGTTTGGGCAGGTTACCCCAGTTTTCTATTCCTTCCACAGTGACAGCCCCCAGAGAAGCCAAGCAACCGGGTCATCAGCTGGTTCCCTCCGCGCTCTGCGGTCTACCATGTCCACATCACTGGATTGGCTATGCGGGAAAGTGCTATCACTTTTCGAAGCAGAAAAGGAATTGGAACTCCAGCAGAAGCTACTGCGAGTCACACAATGCCTCCTTGGCTAGGATTGAAAGTGAGGAGCAGGTAAGAGAGGGGTCCTTTGGCACCAAGGGGGTGATGCTTGTCCCCTCTTAGGCAGCATGATGAAATGAGTCGCCTTATCTATGAAGTTAACTACGCCTTGTAACCTAGAATATCTTGCAGAATTTCAGTGGCTGCTTTAAGGGCAAAGTGACTTTGGTGTTGGAGACGATCTGGAGAAATGATGGAAAGAAAGAAAGAAAGAAATATATATAATCCTTGCTTACCAGGCGAAAAAGCACATGGGGCACGGAAAATAATAATAATAATAATAATTTTATTTACAGCCCATCTGACTGGGTTGCCCCAGCCAATCCGGCGGCTTCTAACATAACATAAACATACAACTATGCATCACACATTTTTTAAAAAACCCCACTCCTGTCATTTCTCTGCTCTAAATTTCCTACTCCTGGTGCTGCTTCACTTAAAAAAAAAGAAGGTGGGTCACTAAACTCCTGGTTTATATGACATATCATGCAAACCCCACGAGCAATAAGAATATTATTCTACAGAAAAAGAAGTAACTTCCACTGAGTTCAACATAATCTCTGATAAGTGTGTGTAAGGGGTGGGAGTGGATCCGGCCAAGAGTTCAAATCCTGACTGCCTGTGGGCAACTTTGACAGCTGGGGAGCAAAGGCACAGGGCTTTGCAGGTGCCAACTGATAAAGCCAAGGATATAACAGGTGGATGTGGTTGGGCCAAACAGAGTCATGGGGAAATTAGGACCCAGCCCAGGCCTAGTTGGGTCCATGAACTGGAAGTTTAAAGGATTAGCTACCATTGTATATACACCATGGCAGCCGCTGGGAAGTGAAGAAAAGGATGGGGAAAGAGAAAAGGGTGTTGGAAACAGGGAGAAAGGAGGGGCACTGGTGAAGTTGTGGACTCTCCTTCCTTGGAGATTTTGAAGTAGAGGTTGGGCGGCCATCTGTCATGGATGCTTTAGTTGAGATTCCTGCTTTTGGGGTTGGACTAGATGACCCTCGGGGTCTCTTCCAACTCTACGATTCTGTGACCATTGGCTTTCTCTCCACCCACAACAAGCATGTGGCTTCAAGACATTACCCCAAAGGGAATACAGCCCTTGAAAGAAAAATAGGTTGCCCACTCCTGCGTTACACATGCTAGGGAGCAAGCCCCATTGAACGCATTGAAATGAATTTTATATATTATTATTGTATATTATTAATAATAACAACAACAACAATAAAATTTTATTTATATCCCGCCCTCCCCAGCCGAAGCTGGGCAACAACAATAAAAGTAACACAGTTTACATAAAATCACAACCAATTAATTGAAATGCATTCTAAAATCAATTCATTCTAAAATCAATTCAAAATCAAATTAATGGCCACCATGACTGTTATCATCAACTAGGTGTACTTGCTGACATTTTCATCTGACATGTTGACTGCGTGTTTACTGGCCGAAGTGCTTATCTGTGAATAGCGCAGGGCAGAATTCTAACATCCATTTTCTCTGGTCTTCAAAGGAGTATGTGAAGCGTCTTGCTGGCAACCATGACTTCTGGATCGGTCTCAGAAGAGACCCAGGTCAACCCTGGAAATGGCTAAATGGAGAAAATTCAACGTGAGTCCCTTTCAGTTTTCGGTGCTGAGGCGTCAGCAACCAAAACTTCGCCAATTCACTGTTAACGGGATGGATTCTGTGGCTGTTATTCTTCCCAGTATAATTCTGAATCAGATGTCAAAATTTATGCGCAGCTGAAAGCCAGGCGCAATACCAAAAATACCGAATAAGAAACTCAGTTTCATTGAATCTCTGTAGGTAAACAGTTCCCTTTATCTTTCATAGTTTGCTTTCTTTCATAGATTGCTTTCCCCTACAATAAGTCCAAGCAACGGATGGATTTATAAACAATATTTAAAATAAGAAAGCAATGGCAGACTTTATAGGGATTTGTTTATTATTTTTGGTGTACTGTCAATAATCTTGACGCATTTATGATATGCTGACGGCTGCAACCTTAGATAGAGGAAAAACCTGAAAAATTGTATGAACCACAGTTATGACAAGTGATTGAGGCCTGTTGAAGCATTCATATCTTTGGTCATCAGTTTCATGAAAATCAGCTTGTAGAGGCTCCGAGGGCCTTCTGGAAGTTCCCTCACTGCAAGAAGAGAGATTACAGGGAACCAGGCAGAGGGCCTTCTCAGTAGTGGCCCCCGCCCTGTGGAACGCCTTCCCATCGGATGCCATGGAAAAAAACAACCATCTGACTTTTAGAAGACACCTGAAGGCAACCCTGTTTAGGGAAGTTTTTAATGTTTTGTCCCTTTTTATTTTCATGATTAATATTCTGTCAGGAGCCACCCAGAGCGGCTGGGGAAACCCAGCCAGATGGGCGGGGTATAAATAATAAATTATCATTATTATTATTATACAGTGGTACCTCGGGTTACAGACGCTTCAGGTTACAGATGCTTCAGGTTACAGACTCTGCTAGCCCAGAAATAGTACCTCGAGTTAAGAACTTTGCTTCAGGATAAGAACAGAAATCGTGTAGTGGCGACGCAGCGGGAGGCCCCATTAGCTAAAGTGGTGCTTCAGGTTAAGAACAGTTTCAGGTTAAGAACAGACCTCCGGAACGAATTAAGTTCTTAACCCGAGGTACCACTGTATTATAGTAGAGATGTTTCAACAATGAGCTTGTTTCCTTTTACTAAACTCTGCTTACATCTCCATCCTTTTCTGGGCCATTTTATTTTAGTCCGCCAGGTTTTTCTCCCGCCCACCACCTTTGTGCTAGACTTTAGAAAAAGCCTGAAGAAAGATCATCTTGAGCTATGTGCCTGCTGCTTTGATACAGGTTTGTGATGCTTTGTGTTGCAGACTCAGAATTGCAGGAAAAGGTGGGGAATGTGTCCATCTCGACAATGAAGCCATAGCTGCCGCCTCGGGCTGCCACACAGAACTTCCTTGCATCTGCAGCAAACCTTCTGCATGTACAAGTTCTAATTGTTTATCAGCCTCATAGCCCAAACACTGGAGGAGAGCTGGAGTGAGTGAGTAAAGTCAAGAAAATAAGGAGCCAAGATGACGAATGGATGAACTGGGTAGGATACCACCCTAAGTATGGCTAGGAATTTCTTCTTAAATGCAAATACACTCAGAATTTGTACTATTTGGGCAGCCTTGGAGGCTGCTATTAGATACTCCCAGCAACTGCATTGTGGAGCATCTAGTAGGATGGGGTACAATTTAAACTAATTATCTCGTATTTGAAAAATACTCAGCCATGCAGTTAGAATGCTTAGAAGGAGTGATACTAAAATGAAATGGAAATGGAGTTCATCGTAAGGGAAAGGACAACGTGCACTTAGAATTTTGCCATGTAATATATATATATATATATATATATATATATAAACATATTATTTTCAACAGTAATTAAACATACTTTTAGATCTTCAAATTTTTGACTCCCATCAATCCTGTCTGAAAATCTTCCAATCTAATCTCTCGGTATTCATTTCTTATCTTCCCTATTACATTTCAAACTCATAACCAATATCTCTATCTGTAATGAGTATGAGTTACTCGTGCGTAAACTGGTGCCTCTCTAGGCTGATTTGCCTTGTTAAACCTTTCTGACTGCACAGCCCCTTCTGATCAGGACTGTCTCAGTCACTAGCAGAATCCGTCAGTGGGCGTTTCTTGAATCTCTTCCAACATAAGAGCTGTTTGACACCCAATCGCCTCCGCCTCTCACTGCGCGGGAGCCTTCTGCGCAGGGTGGGCGTGGGTAGCGGGGGACCTGTCCCCTCCTCACTGAGTTCCAGTGAAGAGTCCGTGAGCCCTCTCTCCGATTTTCCCATCTGCTCACTTTTGTTCCTGGTGTTGCGCTTAAATGCTTCCCCCTCCACTGAGTCGCCTCTCCCCCTGCTGCTGGGTCCTTCTCCAGCATCATCCAGGAGCCTCCCCTTCGCCTCTCGCTCTGATGTCAGTTCCCTGACATCCACCTCCCCCCCAGAATCCCCTCCACCCCTGGGCCGACCTGTGGGACCAACTCGTCCCCTTCGTCGGCCGAGGAGGCGGGTAAACCCCGGAAGGAACTGTCACCATCTTCCGTGGGTTCGAAACCCGCTTCCCAATCGCTCTTCCACCTACCAACGGGGTGGTCTTCCCCGTCTGATGCTTCTTCCTCCGAAACCTCTCCTCCCTCCTCGGAGTCAGAAAATCCCTCAAAAACCTCTTCCTCATCTGTGGTTCCAAATTGCTCCTCCCAGAATCTCTCCAGGGGTTTGGGTTTGTCCGGGAACCGGTGGTGGAATACCTCCACCAGATACCTGTCCTCGACGGCTTCCGTGGGGACCCACGTGTTTTCGGACCTGGGTTCCCCTTCCCACGCTACCAAATACTCCACCCGGCGCCCTTGCCACCTTGAGTCCAGTATTTCCGTGGCCCTGTGGTGGTGTTCCCTTTCTTCTACCTGCGGGTGTGTGGTGACTTCTCCCTCTTGCCCCTGGAATTCCCGCCCTTCCCTATGCGGTGAAAGCAGGGACCTATGGAAAACCGGGTGTATTTTCATGCTATCAGGCAACCTGAGCTTAAATGCCACGGGATTAACTTGCTGTGTTACCTCAAAAGGTCCCAGCCGTCTGGGCTGCAACTTCTTGCACCCCCCTTTGAAAGGTAGCCCTTGGGTGGACAACCACACCCGGTCCCCCACCCGTATGGTCTCCCCTTCCCTGCGGTGCTTGTCTGCCTGCCTCTTGTAAGTTTCCTTGGCCCGCTCCAAGTTCATCTTAAGTTGCTGGTGTAGGGCCTCCATTTCCTCCACAAACTGCTCTGCGGCGGGTACGCTCCAGCTTTCCTCCCCGGGAAGGCCCTGGGATGACACCCATGGTTGGCCATGAATGGGCTCATTCCCGTGGACACGTGTTCCGCGTTGTTGTACGCGAATTCAGCCAGCGCTAGTTTTTCTACCCAATCGTTCTGCCTCTCGCTGACATAGCAGCGTAGGTATTGCTGGAGTATACTGTTCGCTCTTTCTGCTTGCCCGTTGGTCTCTGGGTGTCTCGCCGTCGAGAAACCCACCTCCACCTGCAGTAAGCTCATGAGTTTCCTCCAGAACCGGGAAGTAAATTGTTTTCCGCGGTCGGAGATAACCCTCAAGGGGCGCCATGCAGCCGGAATATGTGCTCCACAAACAACCGGGCTGTTTCCTCTGCCGTTACAGCATGTGAGCCCGCTGTAAAGTGGCACATTTGTGTCCGGTGGTCGACCGCTACCGGGACTGCTGTCTTTCCCGGGACTTGGGCAAATCTGTCATAAAATCAATGGATACCACCTCCCAGGGTTTCCCCGGCGTGGGTAAGGGTTCCAGCAATCCTGTGGGGGCAGCCCGCTCCCCTTTGCCCTTTGGCAGCGGTCGCACCCCGTACATATTCCCGTACATCCTCCCTCACCCTGGGCCACCAGAACTGCCTGGTCACCAGCATCATGGTTTTGTGCTGTCCAAAGTGCCCTGCTGTGGGGTTGTCGTGGAGTTGTTTGAGTACTTTTTCCCTCAGGGTTTCCCCCGGTACGTACAGCGCTCCCCTATAGTACAGTACCCCTTCCTTCTCCTCAAACCCTTCTTGGGTCCCTCTTCCGTCTCGTAGTTCCCGGATTTTAGTTTGCGCGAACACGTCGTTTCTGGTCAGCCCGGCTAGTTCTCGTTTCCCCACCAAAGTTCCCCACACACCCATCGGTCCTCGGGGATCACGTGTCGTTTCTCCGGCGGCCCCTCTCCTTCCAGGTACTCCGGTTTACGCGAGAGAGCGTCTGCTCTTACGTTTTCTTCTCCGGGCACGTAGCGGATTTCAAAGAAAACTTGGAGAACTCCTGTGCCCATCGAATCTGTCTCTGGTTGAGTACTCGTGCGGTTCTCCAGTACTCCAAGTTCTTGTGATCTGTGCAAACCTGGATCTGTTGTTGCGCCCCTATCAGTAGATGACGCCAACGACGAAAGGCCGCGTAGATTGCCAGCAGTTCGCGGTCATACACTGTATAGTTTTGCTCCGACTTGCTCAGTTTTCTGGAGAAAAAGGCACACGGTTTCCATTCCTGCTTTCCCTTCCCTGGTTGCAAAGGACCGCCCCCACGGCTCTGTCGGACGCGTCGGTCTCTAGCCTCAGGGGTTTCTCCAGATCTACGTGCAGGAGTTGCTCTTCCGATGCGAACGCCTTCTTCAGTTTTTCGAAGGATTGCTGGGCCTCTTCTGTCCACACAAACTTCTTTTTGCTACTGAGACAATCCGTGATTGGCGCTGTCAAGTGGGCGAAGTTCTTGATGAACTTCCTGTAGAAGTTGCTGAACCCTAGGAACCTCTGTACGTCCTTCCGTGTCTTGGGAGCCTTCCACTCCAGCACTGCCTGCACCTTGCTTGGGTCCATCGCTAAGCCTTTGTCAGACAACTTGTACCCCAGAAACTCGACTTCTCTGGCGTGAAACTGACATTTTTCCAGCTTGACCCACAACTGGTGCTTCTGCAGTCGTTGTAACACTTCCCTGACGTCTCTAACATGTTGTTCCTCATTGTCCGAATAAATTAAGACGTCGTCCAAGAAGGCTACGCAGTTCTTGTACAGCAGAGACCCCAACACGTGGTGCATGAAAGCTTGAAAGCAGGCGGAGCCTGACTGTAATCCAAAAGGCATAACTAAGTACTCAAAGGCACCTAGGGGTGTGAACATTGTGGTCTTCCATTCGTCCCCTCCCTCATCCTGATCAAATTGTATGCGCCCTGAGGTCCAGCTTGGTAAAAATTTTGCCTTTCCTCACTCGCGTTAAAATGTCGTCAATCCTGGGCATTGGGAAGGTCACGGGTTCTGACACCAAATTGACAGCTCTATAGTCCACTACGAGCCTGGGTTTATTTGTGTCCTTTTTGTCCACAAAGAACACCGGACTGCCCCCTACTGCCTTTGATTCTCTTATGAAGCCTCTTTTCAGGTTCTTGTCGATAAATTCTCGCAACTCCTTCATCTCCCTGTCTGACATGGCGTACAGCTTACCCACTGGCAGCTGAGCCCCGGAAGCAAGTTGATCTGGCAGTCAAAGGGCCTATGGGGTGGCAGTCTATCTGCCTCCTTTTCGCTGAAGACCTCCCGCAGATCTGCGTATTGTGGCGGCCCCGCCCCTTTGCGCTCCACGGCCATCCCAGCCACCCGGGCCATGGTCATTCTTGGGGCTTCCCCCCCTAGACAGTGTTCCAGGCAGTAAGCTGATCCAAAGGTGACTGTCCTCTGATGCCACGCCACCACTGGATCATGTTGTGCTAGCGAGGCGACGTGAAAGGCGATGGTTTCCGAGTGCCTGGACACCCTCATTCTCATTGGCGGGGTTTGGTGTGTCACTTCCCTCCTAGAAGCTCCCTGCCATCAATGGTGGTCACTTGCAAGGGAAAATCCAAAGGCAGTAAGTGGAGCTGGTGCTCTAATGCAAAGTCCTTGCTGAAGAAATTACATGAGCTGCCTGAATCCAGCATGCCTTTCACCTTGACTGGGTGCCCGTTTGGGAGTTCTAGCACCACTTCGATGGCTATTGCCGCCTTGGGGGGGTCTGGTTGGGGCACTTTTACTGGTGGCTGGCTTGGCTGTTGTGCCCCTTGATTGGCAGCCAAGCGTTCTCGTTTCCCTGTTCCTGTTCCTTTACCACCTCCTCCTCACCCCCTGCGGCTCCCACCATTCCTTGCCAAGCCTTTCTTTGAGGGCAGGCTCTGGCAAAATGCCCTGGCCGCTGGCAAAGGTAACACCTTTTGGAGGTTTTCCAATCCTTTCCCTCCTTCTTGCGCCCTTCGCTGGTGCTTGAAACTTCCGCGCGCGCCCCATCTATTTCCATTGGCTCTGCTGGCGGGGAGGGCTGCCTTGGTATTTCAGGAATGCGGTAGTCATGGCAACATTGCTCTCTCCCTTCCCGCCTCTCCTGGGCCCGCGCTTCCTGGCGCGCGCCAATCGCAAGCACAGCCTTGGTCAGCTGATCCATCCCCTGTGGGCGGGGTGCGCGGGAAAGTTCATCCTTAACCGTTGGGGACAACCCCTCCTCGAATAACATCTGTATGGGTTCGGAGCCCAGTTCCCACCCGAGGCGATGAACTATCATGGCAAAGCGCGACCAGTAGTCCCTGACTGACTGGCTCCCCTGTTTACAGTTCATCAATTCCCGCTTAGTCACACTTTTTTGAACATCAGTGGAAAACATCGCGTCCATCGCTTGGAAGAATTTCCTCAGGTCCTGCATGGCGGAATTCTGCGTCGCCATAAGGGGTCTGACCCATTCTCTGGCCCCGTCCTGCAGGTGACCCACAACATATGCCACCCGCGCCGCGTCGTCTTCAAAATCGTTATGCTGCAAGTCCAATGCGTACTCTATTTCCGTTCTAAACGCACTGTATTCTTGCGGCTTCCCCAAACTTGTGCACCAGTCCCGGTACCTTCCTTGCTATGGGGGTGGGTCTGACCTGTGCATCTTGAGACCGCCTTTCGTCCAGCCGTGCCGTCAGAATGGCCACATGCTGCTCCAAATCTCGGTTCCTCTCCTCCAGCGTTTGCCCTCCAGCTGCTCCCCCTTGGGTGCCTGCTTCTCCGGGCTTGCTCATGATGCTGCCTGCCTGCTGCTGCGCACGAGCAACTTTCAGGGACTGACGGATTGCTGTAATGAGTATGAGTTACTCGTGCGTAAACTGGTGCCTCTCTAGGCTGATTTGCCTTGTTAAACCTTTCTGACTGCACAGCCCCTTCTGATCAGGACTGTCTCAGTCACTAGCAGAATCCGTCAGTGGGCGTTTCTTGAATCTCTTCCAACATAAGAGCTGTTTGACACCCAATCGCCTCCGCCTCTCACTGCGCGGGAGCCTTCTGCGCAGGGTGGGCGTGGGTAGCGGGGGACCTGTCCCCTCCTCACTGAGTTCCAGTGAAGAGTCCGTGAGCCCTCTCTCCGATTTTCCCATCTGCTCACTTTTGTTCCTGGTGTTGCGCTTAAATGCTTCCCCCTCCACTGAGTCGCCTCTCCCCCTGCTGCTGGGTCCTTCTCCAGCATCATCCAGGAGCCTCCCCTTCGCCTCTCGCTCTGATGTCAGTTCCCTGACACTATCTTTTTCTACTTTGTAACACTTCGTATATTTCTCCTTACAAAGCTTCTTGTAGTCCTACTAGCGTAATTTGTTGATCACAGTTGCTCTTCAAATAATTCATATACTTCTTCCAATCTTCGGTAAATCTCTGGTCCCGCAGGTTTGGAATCCTTTCTGTCATTTTGTCCAATTCTGCATAGTCCATTAATTTCGTCTGCCATTCTTCTTTTGTTGGAATTTCTTCTTGTTTCCATTTCTGGGCTAACAAATGTAATATAGAAGTTTTAGGCTGAATTCTGAAGGTTTGTAGTAAGTGACAGCACTGAGACACTTTGGTGTAGTGGTACGAGTGTTGGACTAGGACCTGCGAGACCAGGGTTCAAATCCCTGCTCAGCAATGAAATTCTCCACGAGACCTTGGACCAGACACTGTCTCTCAGACTAACCTACCTCCCAGGGTTCTAGTGAGGATGAAATGGAGTGGGGAAGAACCCGGTATGCTGCCTTGTGGACACTGGACCCGTTGATCTACACTAACCACATGATAATTATTGTTTCGCAAACTTATTTTTTCTTTATTTGTATAGTTTTGCAACCTAAATATTTGTATTTTTCAGAGTGGACCATGGCTTCTTCAAGCAGACAAAAATGTGTAAACAAACCTGATGCCTTTTGTTGTGTAGGTATTGCTACACACTTCTTTGTCAAAGATGAAATATAACACTGTTTGTGAGGCGTGCCTATAAAAGCTATTTTGAAATTCCCCTGGGCGACAAAGGCAAGAAATTGGCTCCACATATTGTTTGTCACAATTGTGAGGAAATGCTTAGAGACTGGACTAAAGGAAAACGGAAGAGTATGCCTTTTGGGGTTCCCATGGTTTGGCGAGAACCCAAGGATCACACAAGGGACTGCTATTTTGGTTTCCCAGTGGTATCTACAAGCGGTTGCTATTCAGGTACAGTGGTACCTCAGGTTACATACACTTCAGGTTACAGACTCCACTAACCCAGAAATATTAGCTCAGGTTAAGAACTTTGCTTCAGGATGAGAACAGAAATCGTGCTCCGGCGGCGCAGCAGCAGCAGGAGGCCCCATTAGCTAAAGTGGTGCTTCAGGTTAAGAACAGTTTCAGGTTAAGAACGGACTTCCGGAACGAATTAAGTACTTAACCCGAGGTACCACTGTACTTGGTAAAGCCTTTCTGTTGTCCAAGCAAGAAGTTGACCATTTTGAGATCCACACAGATGGTCCAGTTGTGCTCCTCGCCATGTTCACTTCCTTCATCTTCAGAAGAGACAAACCCCTTAAAAACTGGAATTGGGAGTTCCTCAGAGTGTGGGATAGGTCTAATTGCTGAAGGAATACTGGGATAGGCGACAGAATGTCAGTTTTTCTTGCCGATACCCTTCATATTGACCAGACAAAAATAGCATAACAAAAGGCATCAGGCTTGTTTACACATTTTTGTCTACTTGAAGAAGCCATGGTCCGATCTGAAAAATATTTGGGTTACAAAACTATAAAAATAAAGAAAAATTAAGTTTGCAAAACAATAATTACCATGTGGTTAGGATAGATCAATGTGTCAGTGTCCACTTATCCCCAGTGTAAATATGACACACAGACAAAAGTCGGAAATTGAAAGATAACTATAGCACGTACACAAAAATCGATTTCAGATTTGAAATCAGCATTGAGAGAACATATAAGGACAGTTGAAAAATCTCATGCAAAAGAAAATGGGAAAAAAAATTGTTCCCTAGTTTACTGTGTATCCCAAGTGAATACATTTTTTTGCATACCTCCAATTGTACATAGATATACGTGTCATTTTCAATGCTATACATGTCATGTTCAATGCTATATAAGTCACTTACATTTATACTTATATTGTACTTCTTTGGTTATGTGTTTAATAAAATATTGAATTCTTGCATTGTGAAAAACAAAGATTATGGTGAAAAGTGAAAAACATGTGGTCAAATTTGAAGCTTTCACTGCTGGGCCGTATTGCTGCGGTAAAAATGAATGTATTGCCTAGAATGTTGTTTTTGTTTCAAACATTGCAAATTGTGGACAAAATGGACTGTTTCAAGAGGTGGCAGAGAGATATTTCTAGATTTGTCTGGCAGGGCAAGAAGCCCAGAATAAAATTTAAAAATACTAACAGATGTAAAGGAGAGAGGTGGATTTGCCCTGCCAGACCTTAAACTTTATTATGAATCAGCAGCTTTTTGCTGGTTGAAAGAATGGCTGCTTCTTGAAAACACTGACATTTTGGATTTAGAAGGTTTTAACAATGTATTTGGATGGCATGCATACTTGTGGTACGATAAGGTCAAAGCACATAAAGCATTTAAAAATCATATTGTCAGGAAAGCTTTATTTAATATTTGGATAAGATATAAGGATTTATTGGAAAATAAAACCCCAAGGTGGCTGTCACCGATGGAAGCGAAAGCCCTGAAAAAGCTCAATATGGAGGTCAAATGGCCGAAATATTGGGAAATTTTAGAACAAGATGGTGGTAGATTGAAACTGCAGAGTTTTGAAAAACTAAAAAATAAAGTGCGAGACTGGCTTCATTATTATCAGATAATGGAGGCATACAATTTGGACAAAAAAATTGGCTTCCAGGTGGAAAAATCAAAATTAGAAACAGAACTGTTAGAACCCAAAATTAAGAATTTGTCAAGAATGTATAACTTGCTGCTGAAATGGAATACTCAGGATGAAACGGTGAAATCTGCTATGATTAAATGGGCACAAGATGTTGGACATAATATTATGTTTTCTGACTGGGAACAGTTATGGACCACAGGTATGAAGTTCACGGCATGTAATGCCTTAAGAGAGAATATTATGAAAATGATATACAGGTGGTACATGACCCCAGTCAAGCTTGCAAAAATCTACCATTTGCCCAATAATAAATGTTGGAAATGTAAAGAAACTGAAGGTACATTTTTCCACCTTTGGTGGACGTGCCCAAAGATTAAGGCTTTCTGGGAGATGATATATAATGAATTAAAAAAGGTATTTAAATATACCTTCTTGAAGAAACCAGAGGCCTTTCTCCTGGGCATAGTCGGCCAATCGGTGTTAAAAAGGACAGAACTTTCTTTATGTATGCTACAACAGCAGCAAGAATACGCATCGCAAAGTATTGGAAGACACAAGAGCTACCCACACTGGAGGAATGGCAGATGAAAATGATGGACTACATGGAATTGGCGGAAATGACTGGCAGAATCCGTGACCAGGGAGAAGAGTTGGTGGAAGAAGATTGGAAGAAATTTAAAGATTATTTACAGAAACACTGCAAAATTAATGAATGTTAGAGTGATGATGGATTGAAGTTAAGTGGCTCCTAGCTGTACAGGCTTTAAAGCTATAAAGATATCAAGATTAAGGATTAGGATCAAAAAGGTTAAGAGAAATGGAAAAATTGGTTTTAAATAGGTAAAAATCTAATGTCATAATATATTAAGATTTAGGATTGGAATTAAAAAGGAGGGAAAGAAATTGCTGGGCTTACAAACTGAATTGGAATACAAAAGAGGGAGGTATGAGGAAGTCCGGAAAACAAGTAAATGTAAAAGAAGTTATGAAAAGACGGAGCTATTTTTAACTGTTTTTTTCTTTCTTTTTTTACTTTTTTCTATTTTGTATTTTGTATGGTGTATTTTTCTCTGTTTTTGTTAAAAAATTTCTTGTTTATTAATGTGATTTTATTATTTCTGAAACTTTAATAAATATTAATTAAAAAAAAGAAAGAAAAGTGAAAAACATGAATTGCAAAAAAAACTAGAGCTTACAGAACAAAACCAACTTCAGATATGAAATCAGCATGTTGAAATTAGGTTAGAACAACTGCAGGTGTCAATGCAACAAAAATTTTGTTTCCCAATGTTGTAAATGAAACACTAAAGAGAGAAAACTAGTATTTCTATTTTTTTTAAGTCAGCTCCTTTGTAACAAAACTTTGTAATAAATATTGCTTCACAGCATTTTGGCTCTTAGTCCTCCTTTGAAGCGTGCTTCAGCCTCTTGTATTATATTGTCTATAAACCTAGAAATCCAGAACCCATTGTGAGTAGACATAATAAAAAATGCTTGTTCTTTTATTATCAACAATACTTTAAGAATTCAACTTTTGAAGGCTCCCAAATCCCCCACAGAACTCAGAGCTTTAGCCGAAGGCCAAGGCTGTCCAACCTCCCCAAACCACCCCTGTCATCAGAGGAGCTCATCGTATTTTGGCCAGGTGACATCAATACCACTCAGCCGATTGGATGGAGAGAAATTGGTCAGGCAGAGAGGGCGAGAAGCAGGGGTACTCAATGGCCTCTGGTCCTTGTAGTTATTTGCAGAGCTTTCTTTTCGCAGACCCATCTGGCTACAGTAGTACATGTCTCAGAAATAGTTTTGTTCCCGTTAAGTCTCCCACAGCAGTTTTCTTGAGCCGGAGCTAGGTCTTTCAACCTGCAAAAGGAAGGAGAAAGCCAACAGCATTTGTCAAAGGCTGAACATATCCACCTGCTTGGCTATTCTTTGCGAGAGAGGGACAGGACTCGCTCTGAGGGCATTCTGGCGGTTCCCTCACTGTGAAAAGAGAGGTTACAGGGAACCAGGCAGAGGGCCTTCTCAGTAATGGCGCCCGCCCTGTGGAATGCCCTCCCTTCAGATGTCAAGGAAATAAACAACAAACTGATGTTTAGAAGACATCTGAAGGCAGCCCTGTTTAGGGAAGTTTTTAATGTTTGATGTTTTATTGTGTTTTTAATATTCTTCTGGGAGCCACCAAGAGTGGCTGGGGAAACCAAGCCATATGGGCGAAGTTTAAATAATAATAATAATAATAATTATTGTTGTTGTTTGTTGTTATTACTCACTGCACAATTGCGTTGCCCAGGCTTGCCCATTAGGTGCGATCCTATCACGTGGAATCAAGACTTGTGGTTCTCAAATGTTTTGCCAGTGAGTTTCCCTGGGCTGCAAGAACTTCCTGTGGTTTAACTAAGGTTTCCCCTCATGCTCCCAGTGAACCACAGGAGGAGAACTTGCACGCATTTCTCTTTGAAGGGTGTGGACGTATGCCCCCTTCTTTCTGCCCTTTTGCAAAGAAATTCAAGGCAGTGCTAAATTGTTTCACTTATTTCCACAATAACCTTGTCAGGCATTTATTTACTATATATTAAATTTGTGAGTCACTTTATTTTGCCTAGGGCAACTAAAAGCAACTTACAAACAAACAAAACCCCTCACTAGGATACATTAAAACCAAGAGGAAAAAAGAAATACATTTTTAAAAACCCATCCTGCCCACTTCTAAAAGGCCACAGACCAAACATAGATTTTGCTGAGAGAGACTGGTGCAAGATTACCTAGTGAGCTTCACAAGTGAGCACCAGGTAGTTCAGAGGTGCCTTTGGCATCTTTCATTATATATACAGCTTCTGGTGGATGCAGAAGAGTCACCTCTACCTTGGTTTCTTACATTCGAAGGGTATGCTTTTAGGACCCACCTTATTTCTGTGGTCGTAAGTTGTTTTCAACTGTGTTTTAATGTTGTAACTCACCTTGGGACTTTAGGGTACACTAAAACGGTGTATTTTGACAGGTGTCAATGACCTGATGTGATTAGCATGGCATAAGACTGAGCAGAGGATTTGGGGAGATGAAGATCTGGTCCTCCTCCCCCCTCTCTGCAGAGTAAGATGAGATACTCACAGTTTGTCATCTAACGGGGAGCCGTCCACCCAGGTCCATTTCCAGTCAGGAGGTGTGGCTTGTAATCCAATCCAAAGCAGTGGATATTGGGTATTACGCAGTATAAAGTCCTGTAAACAATGCAATTAGTCTCTACTATAGTATCTAGACAGCATCTTAAAAACCTAGACAGCATTTTAAAAAGCAGAGACATCACCTTGCCAACAAAGGTCCGTCTAGTTAAAGCTATGGTTTTCTCAGTAGTGATGTATGGAAGTGAGAGCTGGACCATAAAGAAGGCTAATCACCGAAGAATTGATGCTTTTGAATTATGGTGCTGAAGGAAACAAGTATGCACAAGTATGCTGTTGAATTTTCATGGGAACTACAGTGGTACCTTGGGATGCGAACGGGATCCGTTCTGGAGCCCTGTTCGCATCCTGAAGCAAACACAACCCGCGTCTGCGCGGGTCGCGTTTCGCCGCTTCTGTGCATGCGCGTGACGGCATTTTTATTGTATGTGCATGCGTGCACGGTGAAACCCAGAAGTAACGTTACTTCCGGGTCGCCACAGAGCACAACCCAAAAATACTTAACTTGAAGCACATTTATCCCGAAGTATGACTATGTTTTTTTAATCAGAAAGAAAGAAAGAGAAAGAAAGAAAGAAACCAATATGGAAAACTGAAAGGAGGAATTGCACATCAAAATTCATAGAACTGTGAATTTTAAAGGATATTTACTCCTCAAATGCGTAATGCAGATTTCCTGGCACTCTGCAATGGGAGCTGAGGAACCAACGAAAAGGTTAAATAAGCTATTTCAATGCCCCCCCTAATCTTTCCCAAGGCTCCCTATTGTATTTTGAAAAAGAAACTGCATGTGACTGAACATAATTTTTAGTTTGGCTGTAAGTAAAATCAAACAGAGTCCCAGTATAAGGGAATGAAAAGTTCCCTTGTGGTAGATTCCTAGCATATCCTAAAATTATTTGGCCAGCCCACCACACTACAGAGTCACATATTAGATGCATTATGTACATTGTGTTAGATAAACGATGCAATTGAAACACAGTGGAATACATTTACCCCCCTTTATTTATCTTTGGATTTCAAAAGTGTGGACTATAAATGCCACAATAAATATATACAAGATGTAATGGTACTCATCTTGGCAGTGGCTCCCTCCACCCCATCAATAAGGAACGTGGATCTAACTCTTATTTACTTACCACTTCTTCTTGATTCTGTATCACCAACAATCGAGAGTCTTTTGTTCTGCAGTTGTCTTTGCTCTCGGTCCAGTCTCCTTTTTCACTGGAGAACCAGTAGCACTTGCTGTTGAGACGGAACCAATTCTCAGGGCAGACTGCGCAGTCAGAACTCTCTGGGAGTAGGGCAGGGTGGGCGGGTGGAAGCATAAAAAATTTGCAAGTTTACACCAGATAAAATGACAAACCATGGTTTGTAACTGACAGGAGCAAGCCTACACAACCCTTTGTTTGCATCCTCACTAATCCACTTTTCGCCTTCACACACAATAAGGTATTAAATCGTGTTTTTAATATTATAATATTCTGTTGGGAGCCGCCGAGGTACCACTGTACAAAGAAAAGTTCATCTTTTGCAAGTACTGCTCCTTAAAGTTGTTACGTTTGACACTTGTATTCGCTAAGACGTACATGGAACACAAGAACTTCTATTTGGTCATTACGTATATAAGAACTGGTCTATTTGTATTTCCTGTCCTAAATGTTGCTGCTTACTTGCTTCTACTCAATTAGATAATGTGAAAAGAGTTATGCTTATATGATGTATAAAGAATTTATATAGTTAAACACAGCCAGTTGCATTGTGGGTATACAGTGGTACCTCTGGTTAAGTACTTAATTCGTTCCGGAGGTCTGTTCTTAACCTGAAACTGTTCTTAACCTGAAGCACCACTTTAGCTAATGGGGCCTCCCACTGTCGCAATTTCTGTTCTCATCCTGAGGTAAAGTTCTTAACCCGAGGTACTATTTCTGGGTTAGCTGAGTCTGTAACCTGAAGCGTATGTAACCTGAAGCGTATGTAACCCGAGGTACCACTGTATTTGTTTGGGAAGAGGATAGGGACAAAACAACAATTAGTTGGCTCAGCCTCTCTTTGACTGTGGCTCCCTCTCTCTGTGGTCTTCCCGCCTTCTACCCCGCCCCCATTTTTTTGATATGTGTTCCTTGAGCCTTATTGAGAAACAACACTCCAGTTACCTGCTGAGCTGTTTTCAAGCGGCTTACAGAAAAATTGCTGCAGCGAAGTCACATTCTCTAGGCATAGATTATTTTCCATTTCACCCTGAGGGACACAGGATTTCTCCAGTTCACCCGTAAGGTTCCATGTCTGAAAACCTTAATATAAGGAGGTTAATTTTAAGTGATCAACAAACTGCGAAAAAATTCAAAGACTGTTTAGTGTTTTTTGTTATAGTACCTAATTGTTTTTCTCTTCCTTTCTTGAATCCAGTGTTCCCCTTGGATTTTCCCTTCATCGTTGAAATAAAGCGTGTTTGTTGCTTTTTAATTAAAGGAGAATATCACACTATGTCCTTTAAGATAACAGCTCATGTTCGGAAAGACTGCCTGCAACTTTCTAATATTTAGAACTCATGTATGATCAATTGTTCAAGACAAATCTTTAGGCTGTGAAAACCAGACAAACCAATTTTTGACAATAACTTAAATGGCCAGACACTGAGCCACTCAAGAACAACTGCAGTCACACTTTCTGTCAACTCACTACACTGCATAGGTGCCAACTCCCTAAGGTCCTGGGTGCCCAAGCACCCACAAAATTACCCATGAAGGGGCCGGGCACCCACAAATTTTGGTGCACGCTGCATGGCACCCACGGCCCCAGACACCCACAGTTGTGGGGCCAAGCTGGTACAGCTACTACACTGTGACACCTTTATTCGTTCACAAGCAGTAAACAGGAAACAAAGCCAAAAAATGTTGTTGTTGTTGTTGTTGCTGTTATTTTCCCTTGTTAGTTTATTGCGATGTGAACCAGTTACAGCTACCTCGGTTTTCAAACACAATGCATTCTGGAAGTCCGTTCAAGTTCCAAAACGTTTGAAAACCGAACACTGAAAGCGGAAACCTCACCACAGAAAACTCAAAACAGAAGCTGCATTTCCTGTTCAACTTCCGAGGCACATTCGAAAACTGAGGCATTTGCTTCCGGGTATTCGACGTTCGAGTTCCGAAACGTTCGACTACGGAGGTGTTCGAAAACCAAGGTACCCCTGCATTATGAATTCTTGACACATGGAACTTCTGAACATATAACCTGTTTTTATGTCACAGCTCAATACAGTAAGATAAAATCTGTTTATACGAAATACTCTGTTGGCTTTATTGAAAAAACATTCTAAAGTATAAAAATACCCTGACCTGTTCCTTTTTGTACAATTTTTTGAGTAGAATGCAATGGTTTTGGCAGGGCGTGGCACATTCCCTGTTTCACCTCTGAGGCAAAATGGAACAGGCCACCTTTGCTCCTACAGATTGCTGCCAAATTATGTTTTGACTATTAATGAAGGCCTTCCTATTTCATCAACCCCTTTGAGCATAGATTTTCATTGCAGCCTGTATCTGTGCTGGATTTGAAATGGGTTTTATATTTGTCTTTAATTGTTTCATATTTGAAATCTCTGCCATAGCTGTTGCTGTTTTAAATGGTTGGTGAAACGGTGAAATCTGCTATGATTAAATGGGCACAAGACGTTGGACACAACATTATGTTCGCTGACTGGGAACAGTTATGGACCACAGGTATGAAATTTACGGCATGTAATGCCCTAAGAGAGAATATTATGAAAATGATATACAGGTGGTACATAACCCCAGTCAAGCTTGCAAAAATCTATCATTTGCCCGATAATAAATGTTGGAAATGTAAAGAAACTGAAGGTACATTCTTTCACCTTTGGTGGACGTGCCCAAGGATTAAGGCTTTCTGGGAAATGATATATAATGAATTTAAAAAGGTATTTAAATATACCTTCTTGAAGAAACCAGAGGCCTTTCTCCTGGGCATAGTCGACCAATCGGTGTTAAAAAAGGATAGAACTTTCTTTATGTACGCAACAACAGCAGCAAGAATACTCATCGCAAAGTATTGGAAGACACAAGAGCTACCCACACTGGAGGAATGGCAGATGAAATTGATGGACTATATGGAATTGGCGGAGATGACTGGCAGAATCCGTGACCAGGGAGAAGAGTCGGTGGAAGAAGATTGGAAGAAATTCAAAGACTATTTACAGAAATATTGCAAAATTAAAGAATGCTAGAGTGATGTTGGATTGAAATTAAGTGGTTTCTAGCTGCACAGGCTTTAAAGTTATATACAGATTAAGATTAAGGATTAGGAATAAAAAGGTTAAAAGAATGGAAAATTAGCTATTAATAGATAAAAATTTAATGTTATATTATATTATATTAAGATTAAGGATTGGGATTAAAAAGAGGGAAAGGAATTGCTGGACAAACAAACTGAATTGGAATACAAAAGAGGGAGGTATGAGGAGGTCCAGAAAATAAGTAAATTCAAAAGTAGTGATGAAAAGATGGAATTGTTTTTAACTGTTTTTTCTTTTTTTTCTTTTTGTATTTTGTATTGTGTATTTTTCTTTTTACTTTTAAATTCTTTTCTCTTGTCTCTTTTTATCTGAAACTTTAATAAATATCATTTTTTAAAAAATGGTTGGTGGTTCTATTGTTAAGTCACTTCACAAGAAACAACCTATAAATGGAAATAACTATGGGACTTCCGGGGAGGTGCCTCCGGTAATGGCGGAATTCCTCTGACCGGGAGGAATCTGCTCCGTGGGAATCTGGGTCTGGCCGCCACGGCGAAGGCGGAGACCCGTTAAAATCACAGGCGGGAGAAGCCTGTGAGCGTGGGATTCGGCGGGCACCTTTTGCGCCTCCCCCACTCACGGGGAACCCCGGTTTTTGGGGCTCCGGAGCGACGTGGGGTGAGTGGCGCGGTGCATCGAATCGCCTGCTTCTTCCACGGAGCGAAGCCGCATAGCTGTTGCCGGAGAGCGCTGACCTTTTCCTGTGGACAATTTGACTTTAAAGGAATTACCCGTGAGTAGATCTGAAATGGAAGAATTGGATTTCTAAATGTTTAATCTGGTATCGCAACGGGGAGGTTCAAAACAGGAAGTCCGCCTTCCCCTTTTGTAAATAGACTGAGGCAATGAAGTTGCAAGCTGGAGTCCTGGAAAGTCTTTTGTAAAAGATTAAATTTCCATCAATAAAGAACATTAAACCCCCTCTTGGAGGCAGGAGAAGAGAGGGGAAGTTGCGGATTGATTATACCTGTGGGAGAGAGTGAAGAGATTTAAAACACCGCTGCTCTGACCCTGGAAACGGGCTGCTAGTAGGACTGACGTCTTTTGGAATGTTCATTGACAGTGTTTAGAACGTTCATTGACAGCTAGTTAAACAAGAGAAATACATTGTTTCTACTGTCTCCGGCTGCTTTAAAAAGGAGTAAAAGTAACTGAAAATTGAAACCAATTTGAAACTAATTTTGGATTGTTGAAAAGAGGATACTATTGACTATTACAAATAGAAACTGTTTCCCCCTAGTGGAAGCCTTTGAAACCGGTTGTTTGACAAGAGCTGGGATAGGGGAATTTCCAGCTGCAAGTTAAAAACCGTGAGACTCTGGGACTGACCTTGAATCTTTTAAGTGTTATGGTAAATGGAAGAGGAAAAACAGACCAGTCAACTGCTGACAAAACATTCAGGTCTGGGAGGATTTGGCAACAATCCAGAAGAGGTTTATCATCAGGCCCCCCATGCTCCTTCTGTTGCTGCCTTTGTACCAGCATATTTAAAACCAAGAAGAATGTCGACAGAAAAGGCTTTAGTGGCTGCATTTTATAAGATAAATGACTCATTGGATCAGCTTAACAGGAAAATGGACATCATAAATGTGAAAATGGATGTTTCAATTACTAAAATCAACCTAAATACAGAAAGTATAAATAATACCAATACAGAAACTACCCAGAAATTGATACAGGAACCTACTTTGATACGGCAAACTGCGGAGGAAGCCAGGGAGGAGGCTGTTGTTGCTGAATGTAAAGTGACACAACTGGAGAGAAAGAGAAAGAGAGCCCTAGCCCTACGGAGGCAACTTGATGAACATGGGTTGACGCTTGCTATGACTGAACTTAAAGAAAAACAGACGAATTTGAGGATTAGAGTTCACTTTTGGTGGACATGCCCAAGGATTAAGACACTTTGGGAGATGATTTATAACGAAATGAAAAAGGCATTTAAATATACCCTCTTGAAGAAGCCAGAGGCCTTTCCTTTCTCCTGGGCATGGTCGGCCAATTGATGTTAAAGAAGGATAGATTTTTTCCACGTATGCAACAATAGCAGCAAGAATATTCATTGTGAAGTACTGGAAGACACAAGATTTATCTATTCGGGAAGAATGGCAGATGAAGTTGATGGACTATAGGGAATTGGCAGAAACGACTGGCAGAAATCCGAGACCAGGGAGAAGAGTCAGTGGAAGAAGACTGGAAAAAGTTTAGGACTATTTATAGAAATATTGTAAAAATAATGAATGTAAGAAAAATGTTGGAATGAAGTTATATGGCTCTAGTAGAAATGCTATAAGGAATTAAGTATAAATAGATTAATAGAGTATTAAAGGGAAAAATAAGGTCAAAATATGTTAAGATAATTATAGGATAAAAACAGAGGAAGATGGAAAGGAATTTCTGAAACAATTAATAGAAGTGGAATACAAAAGGGAGGTGTGAGGAGGTTGTGGAAATAAGGGAATGAAAGATAAGATATTGAAATTGTTTTGTGTGTTAAATGGTTTGTGTCTTATTTTGTTATGCTTTTTTTTGGTCTATTTTGTTGTGTTTAAACGGTTGAAAATTAATAAATATTATTAAAAAAATAAAAATATATATAAATGGAAATAACTAACTAACTAACTAACTAAATAAAAGTGCTCTGTACTTACACAGGGCTATCACGGTGACCCCTAGGATGACATTTACAGCCCATCCAATCCAGAGAGCAGTCCATCGCCCCTGAGAATGTGGTGAGGCACCTGTAAATTTGACTTTATTAATACTAGGTTCCCCAACACAAGGGTACAGAACCTCAGACCTGAAGCCCAAACCTGGCCCTCAAGGCTTCTCTGTGTGCCCTCCCCTTGTGACCCTCCCCCTTTTCCCAGGCTCAAACCCCTCCAGCCCTGCTCAACGCTCCTAGAGTGCTTTTGCTCGGCTGAAATGTGTCCCTGGGGATTTCCGCAATTTGCAAGATGAGAAAACACTCCTGAAATTAATAGTTATTTAACATCATATCCATATCAGGGCAATACCTTTACACTCGGCAATACACCTGCAGCAGCGCGTCTGCGCACGCGCAGGTTGCGACCCGGCACTTCTGCGCATGCACAAAGTGCAATTTAGCGCATCTGCTAAAACCCAGAAGTAACCCTTTCAAGTACTTCCGGGTTTCAGCAGTCCGCAACCCACCCAAACGCAACCTGAAGCTTCTGTAACCCAAGGTATGACTGTATTTGGCAAAGCAAAATGCTACAAAGTAGTGTTAAAGCCTTTGAGTTCTCCAGAATTCTTCATCAGTCTGGATTTGAAAAAGGCAGATGGGAGGGGGGGGAGGGAGGGAGACGGCTGGTGTTATTTCGAACCATCTATGCTTGAATAATTGTATTCAGAAGCAGAAATATAGCTATTTTTTGTTCATTACAAAGTTTTGGACAGGTCCTTGGAGCTTTTACTAATCAATTGAAATGTGTTGACAAGGGTCAGGGTTGGAGATGGGTTAGGGTTAAGGTTGGATCTAGGATTAGGGTTAGGGTTAAATGTAGTGTTAGGGTTGGATTTAGAGTTAGGGTTGGGTTTATGGTTAGGGTTACAGGTAGGGTTAGGGTTAGGGTTAAGGTATGAAGTATGAGGTAGGGTTGGGGTTAGTATTAGTGTTGGTTCTAGGGTTAGAGGTAGAGGGTAGGAATAGGGGTTGGGTTGGAGTTAGGGTTAGGGTTGGAGGTAGGGTGAGGGTTAAGGTTGGAGGTAGGGTTAGGGTTGGGTTTAGGGTCAGTGTTAGTTTTAGGGTTAGGGTTGGCATTAAGGGTTAGGAGTAGGGTTGGGGTTAGGGTTAGCATTGGTGTTAGGATTAGGTGGTGCTTTTTTTTTCATGGGGTACTCAAGGGTAGCAGTTCGAAATCACATCAAAGTGCAAGTAGATAAATAGGTACCGCTCCAGTGGGAAGGTGAACGGCGTTTCCATGCGCTGCTCTGGTTCTCCAGAAGCGGCTTAGTCATGCTGGCCACATGACCCGGAAGCTGTACACCGGCTCCCTCGGCCAATAAAGCGAGATGAGCGCTGCAACCCCAGAGTCAGTCATGACTGGACCTAGTGGTCAGGGGTCCCTTTACCTGTACCTTTACTCAAGGGTACACAGTACCAGAACCTCTTTTTGTTTTTGTTGTTGTTGTTAAAAAAAGTGTAACAACTTCATGGTTAAAAAAACTGCAACAACTTCATGGTGAGTACGGCACCTCTCTTATTTTGGTTATAGAAAATGTGACATTTACTGTAACAAGTTCATCGTAAGTACCAGCCCCTATTTTTCTAGGGGGGGAAGCACGGAATATGCTCAAAGAAGAAGCAGTTCTGCTGCACCAGAGGTATAGAAACAAGGTTTAATTTAGCAAGGTCTGACCGTGTCCTTCCTTTCACACGCTGATCTCTGGAACTGTAGGTTAAAGAGGTTACATGTGATTCTTTATTTAGTGGGTTTGCATTTATACAATGCAACCACAGTGCCTGCAAATGGGAGCTTATCATCGGGGAAGGGCACCACCTTTTAACCCTTTCCCCCCTGCATTTATTCCACTGACGGCAGGGCATATAGCTAGGGATGGGCAAATTTGTCCATTTCAGTTTCTTAGTTTTCCATTTTTCCAGTCCACATTTCCATATCTGTTTGCTGGTGAAAAATAACCAGCATTTCAGTGTGACTTTCTCCTAATATACATGCTTTTGCAAAATATACACATATTTGCAAAATAATTTCCCTAATATAATGCCTTGTTTTTGTCACAAATATGTGCATTTTAATGCACACTTTTACCCCAGTACATACATTTTTGTACAAACATTACTTGTGTACAAAAATGTATGATGCTTTGTTTATTGTTTATGACAAATGAATTGTAGTTGTGCAATTAAGCAAACTGAGAATTCTTCAGCATCTTAGTCTGATTTTTTCCATAATAGGCACATTTCTGTATTCCATTTTAAAAAATGTACATTTTGCCTAGCATTTTTTCTAATGCAATGCATGTTATGCCATGTATATGAACTCTTCACCCTAACATTACTACACATTCCTCAGCTGCAGGACTGAATTGCAAAATTCAGAAAAGGGCACATTTCAAAGGGTGGCTATTTCTGAAAGTGTAGATCGGGTAAGCTTGCCTCCAAATGCAAACTGAACTGAATTTCTCCCCATCCCTAGTTCTGATGTTCTTATGTCCACCAACGTTAAGAACTAGATAGCTTGCATTGCTTTACTTCCCTCAAGAAGGCTTGTCATTTCCCCCTGCTCTTTTATTATCATATATTTGCTTATTAAATTTGTATGTGTTTTGAGAGTCTTCTGTTGGGCAGATAAGCAGGATATAAGTTTTAGAATAAATAAAATATAGGAACTGGACAGGGTTGCAGTAGGGAACCTGAAGCCTTTCGGATGTTTCCAGATTACCGTTTTCTTCATTCCTGCCTATTGACCATGCTGACTAGGGCTGATAGGAGCTGTGGTCCAACAATATTTAAGGAGGATATTGAGAAGCTAGAACGTGTGGGGAGGAGGGAAACCGAGATGGTCAAGGGTCTGGAAACAAAGGCTTAGGAGGAAGGGTTGAAGGAGCTGGGTATGTGGGAAAGAGGAGACTGAGAGGATAGACATCTTCAAATATCTAAAGGCCTGTCCCGTGGAAGATGGAGCAAGTTTGTTTTAACCCAGGGGTCAGCAAACTTTTTCAGTAGGGGGCCGGTCCACTGTCCCTTAGACCTTGTGGGGGGCCAGACTATATTTTTTGGGGGGGGAATGAACAAATTCTTATGCCCCACAAACAACCCAGAGATGCGTTTTAAATAAAAGGGCAATTTTTCTACTCATGTAAAAACACGCTCATTCCCAGATTGTTTACGGGCCGTATTTAGAAGGCTATTGGGCTGGATCCGGCCCCCGGGCCTTAGTTTGCCTACCCATGTTTTAACCTGTTCCAGAGGCTAGGACTTGAACCAGTGCCTTCAAGTTACAAGAAAGGAGATTCCAACTAAACATCACCAAGAACTTTCTGACAGTAAGAGCTGTTTGACAGTGGAGCATACTCCCTAGGAAGGCGGTGGACTCTTTCCTGGGAGGATTTTGAGCAGAGGTTGGATGGCCACTTGTCATGGATGCTTTAGTTGAGATTCCTGCATTGCAGGGGGTTGGACTAGATGACCCTTGGTGTCCCTTACCTCTCTACAGTTCTATGATTCTATGAATATCTGAATGGGGATTAAATTGGGGAAAACTGGATTAGATACTAGCAAAATGAGCATTGCTTTTGTTTGTCTGAAATCCTTTTCGGCTTCCCTTTTATTTTAATTTAAAATATTGCTGAAGTGATGGAATAAAAGGAAACACCTTGGCAGAATTCGACTGATCCCTGTGTTGTATAAATATAAGTTTGTAGGGATGTACAAAGAAATTATCTAAGAAATATGTAACTGTGCGGTATAAAGTAATGGATAGACAAAGTACAGTGAGATTAATTGGAAGTCAGTTTTAAATTTATTCTCTAGAAGTTTTATAATTGTGTTCAATACCAGGAGTATATATGCTGATAATTATATTAATCTTCTTATAACTTATAGTGTGGTGGTTTGTTTGATTTTTCTGTTATTTGTTTGTTTGATTGTATGTTTGCTTACTTATATGCACGTCTGTTTTTCATAAATGTATTTATTTTAGATTAATAAAGATATGAAAATGAAATATTGCTGAAGTGCCCATCTTTATAGCAACCCTCTACAGTTAGTTATTTTGACTAACTACTGTACATGCTCACACAAAAGGCAACACTCCCTCCTTCTGTGGCTACATTTGCTCTAAAAATATTTCAGCCCCTGCAGACCTGCTGTTTTTCCGTGCTGTAAGTAACAGCTTGGAGCCTTGCGAAAAAACATCCTCTCCCCACTCCCCAACATTAAAACTTACCTGATCCTTGCGAGGGGTGAAGCAGCCTGGCAGAGGTTGGAGCTGAAGGGAGAGCAAGGTCAACATAGATAGAGCCATCTGTCATTCCGCTGGAAGCAAAGAAGGCCAAGAGATTGTGTGTGATATGGAACAACCTAGCTGCTGCAAGGGAAGTGTATATATTAGTCAAGCCGGCCAACCAATGTAATTCGTTGAAGGAAGCGCTGCTGCTAACCAATGTAGTTGAAGTCAGGTTTTTTGTTTTCTGGTCTTTGAAAAACTGAAGCAGAGCTTCCTGGTGCAGAAAGGTGAGGGTAACAAGAATCCAGATGGTTCCTTTTTCTTCCTCATCAAAATAGATGTCTGCCTTTTATTTTATTTATTTAGCAAGATTCACACACCGCTTATTTAAAAAACATCTTTAAGTGGCTCATTAAAAACAGCAATAAGAAAAAAGAAGCAATAAGAAAAGAAACTGAAATCAGCACAGATAAATTGCCGAAATGTGGATAAAATCAACCAGTTTAACATGCACTTAAAAAGAAATTTACATGGTAAAAGTTCATGTCTGGTTAGTAATTATTTTATTTATTTATACATATATACATACATAAATACATACATACATACACCTTCTTTGGCGATCACTCGTAGCAGAATAAGATTGTCTTCCATAAACACGGTTTTAACAATGAGTCCATAAGTGATTGTGAGGGCCAATTCTGGATCCACACGTCCTTCCACAGGGGGAAATTGGTTTCCGGGTGGGAGTTGATCACGGTGTGGATTTGCCAAGCGTGCCTTCCTCCTAGCACATTTCTCCCTTGCGTCCTGAGTTCGAGTGTCTTCAAAGCCCATGACATCTTTGGTAAAGGCTGTTCTCCAACTGGAGTGCTCACAGGCCAGTGTTTCCCAGTTGTCAGTGTTTATTCTACTTTTTTTTAGATTTGCCTTGAGACACTCTTTAAACCTCTTTTGTTGACCACCAGCATTACGCTTTCCATTTTAAAGTTCAGAATAGAGTAGTTGCTTTGGAAGACGATAATCAGGCATCCGCACAACATGACCAGTCCAACGAAGTTGATGTTGAAGAATCATTGCTTCGACACTGGTGATCTTTGCTTCTTCCAGTACACTGATATTAGTTCGCCTGTCTTCCCAAGTGATGTGTAAAATTTTTCAGAGACACCGTTGATGGAATCTTTTGAGGAGTTGGAGATGGCGTTTGTAAGTGGTCCATGTTTCACAAGCATATAGTCAGGTTGGTAGTACAATAGCTTTGTAAACAAGCATTTTGGTTTCCCTACAAATGTCCCAGTCCTGAAACACTCTGCACTTCAATCGGGAGAAAGCCGCACTCACAGAGCTCATGCGATGCTGGATTTCGGCATCAATGTTGGCCCTTGTGGAAAGATAACTGCCTTGGTAGGAGAAGTGACCAACATTTTCCAATGTTACACCATTGAGTTGGATTTGTGGTGCTCTGTTATGTGGAGCAAACACCGTGCCTTGGGAGTGGGAGGTGCTGCCAGGCTTTCAGCAGAAACACTGTTCCTAAGTCTGACACCTGCCTTTGCTCTGTGCTGAGACACCAGCTTGTTTCCTCCTTTTTCTCATCCTCCAAGCTGCCAATCTTTACTACCTCCCAGGTCTTCTCCTTCTATGGGATGTGTCCAGTTGTCCACCACCAGGAGCCCCAATCCAAATCCTCTTCCTTTGCGCTATCCCTGGGGGGCTCTTAGTCAGGTGATTTCCACCGTTCTTCCTCCAGGTGTTAACTTTGGAAAGGCAGCATAGAAATAAAATGATTGACCGATTGACTTCTTTTCTAAGAACGAAAATACTTTATGATTTATTTTTATTTCAGTCATTTATAAACCACTTACCAATGCATCTTCTAAGCAGTATTCAACAAGGTTATGACTCATTATAACTGACTGGAAATAGTTAAAATTAACCATAAAATTAGGGAAACTCACTTAAAATGCTTGCTGAAATGAAAAAAAAATCTTCACCAAGGAAGAGGCTTGTTCAGCACACATGAACACACACCATACAGTAGTTGTTAAATGGTGATACTTTGTAAGTTTGGCCTTTGCAAGTTGATCAGTGTAGGGCTAAACAATTTTTAATGACACCAAGCATTGTTGTCAATGCTATGCCTTGATAAAGCAAGTTCAACTTCTGGGCAAATTGCTGAGAACCTTGTTAGAAAATGGTCTTCTTCTTCTTCCTTGGCAATCACTCATAGCCGAGTAAGATTGTCTTCCATAAAGTGAAATGGAATAAAACAGTGGGAAAATATCAGTGCTTGGAGCAAGACAGGCAACCAGTGCACAGATTGAGAAGGTGCTGTGAAAGTTGATGGACCATCAACTATGTTCACAACTTATTTTTAGGGAACGCACACTAGAAATGCAATTGCAGATAGGGACCCCACACAACAGTTGGGCTAATCTGTCATTTTTTGTTTCTCACTCTTAAATTCAGTTCTCCACATTCACACATCCGTTAGTAATTTTTTAAAAGCCCTTTTGAAAATTCACCAACCAGCATTTTACTGTTAATCTGTCTGAATAAACACATCTTTCTGTGCAATTTTGCCTAAAATACACAATTTTTAGCTGTCTTAAACCCCTTATATAATGCATTCTTGTATGCTCTTTTCACTAGTATATGCATTTTTGCACAGTTTCCCCTAATAAGTGCATTTGTACAGAAGACTTGGCAGGAAAGCTGCATTGCAAGCACAAATTCTGAAGGATGGCTTCGATGCCCTATAACCGTGAATTTGATCTGCTGCCAAGGTCTTGAGCAGCTGTAAAAGTCACCATATGACCTGACTTTGACATCTGTTCCAGAAAGTCCAACATGATAAGTGAATGCAAGCTCATATCGGAATTTGGCCACACCCTGCATTGCCACTTTCCTCAAGCAAACATAGCTTATCTCTCCCTGTCACTGTTTCTATAGCTGCTCATTTTTTCTTCCACAACTGAGAAGAGTGACTCAGACAAGAAATATCGAGGAGAGCACTCTGACAGCACCCAGGACAGCAAAACAACGGGTGGCAGCTTCCTTCCAGCTTCCACATACACTTTCTGCAATTCTGAAGTTTGCTGCTGGAGCCAAATAGCTTCTAAACTGGTAAGTAGAAAGACAATCAGGGAAAGAGTGGGATTGTGTGAATGAGAGTAATGTGATTTGGTGTTGCTACAGTGTCTACTTAATGTCCCTGTGGAACTGCTTTGCTGGTTTGAAGTACAGTATAAGTACAAGGAGCCAGTGTGGTGTAGTGGTTAAGAGCGGTGGACTCGTAATCTGGTGAACCGGGTTTGATTCCCCGCTCCTCCACGTGCAGCTGCTGGGTGACCTTGGGCTAGTCACACTTCCTTGAAGTCTCTCAGCCTCACTCACCTCACAGAGTGTTTGTTGTGGGGGACAAGGGGAAAAGGAGATTGTTAGCCGCTTTGAGATTCCTTAGGGTAGTGATAAAACGGGATATCAAATCCAAACTCTATAGCATATTTACAGCAACTGCTGTTGTTTCGCTTGCCTTCCCTCTTGCTCCCCTCCCTGACTTAATGCAACTCCAGGATCGTGGTGAAGCACTAGAAATCCTCCAATGGGGGCTATAGTCTGACTTCATCCAAATATTTGCTGTTGCATTGTCTCTTCATTACATGATTATGAATTTGTTCTTATGGTGGTTTGCAGAGAAGGGGTAGTGACATAGCTGTCAACTTACAGATTTGAAAATAAGGGATCAGCAGCCAAAATAAAGGATCAACAATTACTTTGATAAAATACATATTTTGTTGCATGCAAATGGCTTTAGATACCTATTAGGTCCATAAATTACCATATAGCATATATTCAACACACACAAAAAACAGCAACAATTTGTTGTTGACAAAGGACAGCTGGACATAGAAAGGGCCCCATTACCTTCAGTAGCTTATTTAAGGGACATCATCAATAAGGGACAGCAGCGGGACATGGCGCTGGGATAAGGGACTGTCCCGCCAAATAAGGGACGCTTGACAGCTATGGGTAGTGAAGAGTGGAATTATGGGATGGAAGGGAGAAAAGTCAAAGAAGGGGGTGGGGGCCATGTTTCAAAGACTGTGAAAGAACATTGAAGGAATGTGGGCACATCAAACAGAAGGCCATGGCTGAGCCACGTTTTTCAGGGAGGGAGCCTGAAAGACTGAATCAAATAGATCCAACTACTGTCATATCAGAGCTCAGCTGGGGCCCGGCTGCCAGTTCCGACTCTCCTGACCTTGGACAGGAGAGTCCAGGTCCTGCTGTCTTGAAGGAAGAAATGGGCGATGGTCAGCCACAGAGAAATGTCCCACGCCAGAGAAGGTAAAAACAAATAAAATGTTGCCCCAACTCTCTCTCCAGCTTGCTGCTTTTCCTCTGGCTCATATCCCTGCAACTTTCTGTCCTCAACTCTGGTTTTGTCTGTTGAGGGAGGTGGCAAAATTCATTTTCCATCTGGCACAAGCTGCTTAATACCCCATTGCCTCGCCAGGAAGCTACCTTGGCTATTCCAGGAATTAGAAGGCTTGGTTAGCTTTTAACACTTGCTGGATCCAGGGATTAGAGGAGTCTGGCATACAGCTTAACACACACACACCCCAAATTTATAATGCTATTTTTTGGGGAGAATCAGGAAATCACAGGCCCATGCACTTAATGTGTATCTCACATAGATTTGTGGAAAGCATTACAAAACCTAGAATTACTAAGCAAATAAACAAACAAACCAGGAAGAGGAAAATGACACATACTTTCAAAAAACAAAAACAGTCTTTCTGAATCCTTCTTAACAAACATGTAGATAAAGCTGATCCATTAAACATTACTCTCTCTCTCTCTCTCTCTCTCTCTCTCTATATATATATATTCTTTTGCAAAATCCCTTACCAAAAATACTCCCACATTTGAACTCATGCAGGAGCAGGTTTCCTCCAATTTACTATTTGAAGAACAAAGTATAAAAGTAATCATCATCATCATAATTTTATTAGTACCCTGACCATCTGACTGGGTTGTCCCAGCGACTCTGGATGGATTCCAACAGGATATACAAACACGGTAAAACATCAGACATTAAAAACCTTCCCTATACAGGGCTGCCTTCAGATGTCTTCTGAATGTCAGTTAGCTGTTTATCTCCTTATCTGATGGGAGGGCGTTCCACAGGGCGGGTGCCACTACCGAGAAGGCCCTCTGCCTGCTTCCTTGTAACTTCACTTCTTGCAGTGAGGGAACTGCCAGAAGGTCCTTGGTGCTGCTTCTCAGGGTCTAGACAGAGCAAAATTGGGAGAAATATGCAGTGGGGTCCACCAAGGGATTATTTCTACTGGATTTATTCAGTAATGACTGTTGAGTTTGGGAAGAGGGCAAAGGGGAACACAACAGCAAAGCATTGTTTATTGTTTTAAAAAACGACAACAACCCCCAAGCAGAATACAGTGGTACCTCAGGTTACAGATGCTTCATGTTACAGACTCTGCTAACCCAGAAATAGTACCTCGGGTTAAGAACTTTGCTTCAGGATGAGAACAGAAATTGTGCGGCTGCTGCGCAGCGGCAGCGGGAGGCCCCATTTGCTAAAGTGGTGTCTCAGGTTAAGAACAGTTTCAGGTTAAGAACAGACCTCCAGAACGAATTAAGCTCTTAACCCAAGGTACCACTGTATAAAGCGCTTCCAACAGCAGAGCAATTTAAGATAGGAGAAACTGGGCAATAAAATGGCAAGAGCAGTTCAGTTTGAGTGAATGCAAAGTGGGTCACATCTTCACATTTACTTGTGATGGAGTCTGAGAACTAGCTGCAACCATCAAGGAAAGAGATGTTTCACGGCGGCTAGCTCAAAGGAGATCCAGTGGGACCACCAAACAACAAAGGAGTGCAAGGAATAATAAGAGCAATGCGGATAGATTAGAAAGACCCACATTCCGATCAAGCATGTTCTTTTGTTTAAGGAATCATCCCGAAGCAAGAGCAAATGAAGGACCTGCAATGCAAGGTGTGTATGAAAGGCCTTACGACACTGTGAGACACTGGAAACAAAATACTACTGAATAGGGGGACCTCAATATACTATTGAATATTGGAGGACCACGTTACAGTGGTACCTCGGGTTACATATGCTTCAGGTTACAGACTCCGCTAACCCAGAAATAGTGCTTCAGGTTAAGAACTTTGCTTCAGGATGAGAACAGAAATCGTGCTCTGGTGGCGCGGCAGCGGCAGGAGGCCCCTTAGCTAAAGTGGTGCTTCAGGTTAAGAACAGTTTCAGGTTAAGAACGGACCTCCAGAACGAATTAAGTTCTTAACCCGAGGTACCACTGTATATCTATATCAAGTTTTTTAAAAAATAGCACATGATAGAGGAGCAGGTTGATTACACTGCTGCTCTGTCCGTCTTCAAAAGAGGTCCGGGCAGGAGAACATTTGAGTGGGGAAGACCAGCAAGAAGCCACTTTTGATTTACCAGAGCTGTCACATTCCAGCACGGGGGATGGGGGGGGGGGACAGCATGAATATGCATGCTTTTATGCCCAATCATCTGTGATTTTTCTACACAAGATGGGGAGAAAGCTAAGAAACCAGAAGATATCACAGAACTGTTTAACATTTCAAAAGCAAAAAAAACCCCTGGCTTATGTAGTGTCATAAAGGGGGGGAGGGGGGAATCAGATGGAAACATGTTTGGTGCCTGAGGCAGAGCAGCAAAAATAACAGCAACTATAATACATTCAGTGATGAATAATTTGCACCCTCTCTCATGATATCCAAAACTGGCTGCCTAACAGTAGGGCCGGCCGTGCTGTTAGGTTAAATCAAGCGTACTTCTGTGCATTTGCAGTTTCCCTCGTTTTCTTACAGTTTGGTAGTTCCTCCCCTCCCCAAATTTGTTCATTTTGTTCCTATGACCAGAACTGCAAAATGCCACTGAGATAAAATAAATTATATATTCTCCTTGCCCCATTCTAGGCATTAGCACGGCCCTCCTCATTTGTCTGTTTTATTTCCTTTCAGAGAATCAACAAAGAACTATTATCATAGCTGTAATCATAAGCATCCTATTCATAGTTTGGTGGGCAGGTGAGTTTTCTGAATTATTATTATTTTTTAGTGCTTTGTTCTAGGCCTCTGCCCGCTGGCCATTGCCCCCTGCTGCTGGTGGGTGCCAGTGCTGGGTCTGCCAAGTGGAGATGCCACAGCAACCCCTGCTCAGCTACCCTAGGGAAGAAATGGCAAGGGCTGTCCTCTGGGGTCTCCTGGCATGATTCAGATCCCTTTCCCCATCACAACGAGCCTTTGATTCCCACTTCAACCATCAGCTGAGGTTGATTTGATTTCCCTCCCTGCTTGTTCCTGATGTATATCTTCACTCACCCCTTCTTCCCTGTCAGGAAGGGACACACCATTTTGTAGTTCGCCTCAGGTGGCAAAATGTCTTGGGCTAGGTGTGAATGTAAGGGGGGTGGAATTCTGCACAAATATTCATCATTTTATGATCATATCTACTCATATTTTAGCATTGGTAATCTAATAATAATAATAATAATAATAATAATAATAATAATAATAATAGAGGCAAGTTCAGAGGAGAGTTTTCTTTCTCTTACATTTGCAGCACAGTATACTAATCAGCCATACAGTGAGGTGTCATCTGTTCGAGCCTGTCCAGATTCGTGGATCAACTATGAGGGAAAATGCTACTTTTTCTCAGAGGAAAAAGGAGATTGGGCTTCCAGTCAGATATTTTGTGATTCACATAATTCCGTCCTGGCTGTGATTGACAGTGAGCAAGAAAAGGTACGTCCAACCAATGACATTTGAGAGGCTATTAAGTCTGTGAGATAATTACTGCTATACAGCCCTGACAGAAACACAAAGTCAACTCTTGATTCATCTTGAATCGTCATAACTTGGGACATGAGCAAATTCTCCATCTCAGCCGCCGGGCAACCATTTTGTTTGCCATGTTTTCAAATATATTGATATGCAGGATTTTGGAAAGGTGACGAAGGACTAGGATGTCGTTGGGTCACCTATGATGTACATCATTGTAGATAAATGTTTAAACAAGTATTACAGTGAGCAGGGCTGATGGTAATACAGAATCCATGTACAGTGGTACCTCGGGTTACAAACACCTCAGGTTACAGACTCCACTAACCCAGAAGTCAGGTTAAGAACTTTACCTCAGGATGAGATCAGAAATTGCGCACCGGCGGCGCGGCAGCAGTGGGAGGCCCCATTAGCTAAAGTGGTACCTCAGGTTAAGAACGGACTCTGGAACAAATTAAGTTCATAACCAGAGGTACCATTCTCATCCTGGCAAATACAGAGTGCGGCCACCACATCACCCACCCCATGCTGCTGCTGTATAGGCAGCCAGCTAAGATCAGCTTCACTACAGAATCATGGAATCACACCAACATAGAGGGATAAGAAGGGATTTCTTTGAAGTCAGCAGTTCTAAATCTGAATTTTGTGTGGCTTTAAGGCATTCATTCTGCGCTACATCAGGGACACTGGTCACTGGATTGGCCTGAGGAAGGACTCTGGACAAACCTGGAAATGGGGAAATGGGCAAGAATTCAAGAACATGTGAGTCCTTGTTCTCTTCAGTGTCTGGACTCTGGGATGGAAACCAACAAGTAGCCTGACAATTGCCTAGAAACAGATCTGCCATTGTTCCACATTTGGACATGGATATAATATTTCTTAGATACTATTAGATGTTAACCCAATTCTCAAACTAATGTACCACAAAGGGATGTGGTTAGGGAGGGTTGGGATCAAAATTGTGATGGGTGGGTGTGGGGAATCTTGTGGAACAACCAATGGAATAGTGAATGAAGAAGGAAGGGTTCATGTTTCCTGCCTTGGAAAGATCAAACTAGCCCTGACCATGCAGAGAAGAGAAGTATGTTGTGTAGATATGAAGTAAACACAGAGAGTTAGCAAAATATCTTTTTTATTATTTGTAATGAGTTCTAGCACAACTTTCACCAGCTCATTGCAGAAGCTTACATACACAAAATAAAAATGCAATAGCACTAGAAACCTGTTACAAGTAGAACCACAGCAACACTGTAATCAGGACAAAACAGCATGCTTAAATGTTTATTAAAAAGTAGGCAAGATTAAGTAGAAGAAGAGTTTGGATTTTATATCCTGCTTTATCACTACCCGAAGGATTCTCAAAGCGGCTAACATTCTCCTTTCCCTTCCTCACTCACAACAAACACTCTGTGAGGTGAGTGGGGCTGAGAGACTTCAAAGAAGTGTGACTGGCCCAAGGTCACCCAGCAGCTGCATGTGGAGGAGCAGGGAAGCGAACCTGGTTCACCAGATTACGAGTCCACCGCTCTTAACCACTACACCACACTGGCTCCCAAGTGAGGAATATCTGTGATTTTATACATATGTCCATTTAAAATGGGAAGATGAAGGACCTTGTTGACATACTTTCCCATTTCTAGATGGATATTAAAAAAAATATTTTTAAAATTGTATAATAGACAACTGGGAGAGAATTCTCTAACTGCTGGTGCCAGCACCAAGGAGGCCCTACCTCTTATCACTAAAGAGGGACCACTGTAGTCAGTCTTAAGGTTCCTATGAGCACAGACAGAAGTACAATACATCTGTGCTCTGAGATATGTCATTCTGGACACTTTCCTCTTTCTGTGAAACAGAGAATGGCCCCTTGGCTTGATTCTGTTTTCTTGGTTCTTTTGCTGCAGGTTGGAGCTGAAAGAAGACGGAGAGTGTGCATTTCTGAGCACTGACATTGACGTGTCAGATTGTCAGGTAGCAAGAAACTGGATCTGTAGCCAGCCTGATACTTATACAAGGAGCAGAAGTTAGGGCACCATCCTAACCCAAGATCCACTGGGGTGAACAGGCAACATAGGAGATCCAAATGAGAACTCCAGCCAGTAATCTGGTCTCTGCACTTTTGGACCAACTAAATTTTCCAAGTCTTCATCAAGTGCAGCTTTTCCTCTCTTTGAAACAGAGAATGGCCAGCTTGGCTTAATCATGCTGTTGTCTTGGGTCTTTTGTTGGAGGTGAAAGAAGAAAATCAAGTGTGCATTTCCATGTAATAAACCAAATCCTTACAACTTCCTCATATGACAAATTCTTGATTAGGCAAAAGTGTTAAAGGCATGCACACATTTTAAATGGACACATATCCTGGCCCCATGCAAAAGGCTCCATTCCTCTCGAGAGTGTACGTCAAGTCTATACACATATGTGGGTTTAGACATGCCATTGACACGTATGTGCAAACAGACGGACCCCTGGGAACAAGTGGTTCCATTCCTATGTGTGGTCTAGTCCAGAGAGTAGCATTGAGATAGTGCTCTTTGAACCCCTGGCATTTGTGCTATTTGTGCTATTGGGTTCTGTAGGGCACTTTCTGCCTCCAGTTCTACTTAATATGAAGCCATTGGGAGTTCTGGAATATGGTGCCATCAGCACTCTAATGGCATGTAGCTCCCTAAGTTCTGTATCGGGAGAGGCTGCGGAAGCCCTGGGAATCAAAGAGTTGGAAGGTACTTCCAAGGGTTCAACCCTCTACAATGCGGTAATCTCAACTAAAGCAGCCGTGACAGATGGCAACCCCCGTTTTGGTGGGGGTTGCATTCTGGGTCATCGCACGCAATGGTGGAGCACATGTAAGCCCACCCCTCCCCACTATGCCCCAACCCCATTCCACCCCTTTCCCTTCACTTCTGGGTCTACAGCGATGCATGTGTGCTTTGAACATGCGGGAAATGGTTGTTGCCTGTAAATAACTTGTGGGTACTCCTGGGTGCAAGGGACGCGGGTGGCGCTGTGGGTTAAACCACAGAGCCTAGGACTTGCCAATCAGAAGGTTGGCAGTTCGAATCCCCGAGACAGGGTGAGCTCCCGTTGCTCAGTCCCTGCTCCTGCCAACCTAGCAGTTCGAAAGCACATCAAAGTGCAAGTAGATAAATAGGTACCGCTCTGGTGGGAAGGTAAACGGCGTTTCCGTGCACTGCTCTGGTTCGCCAGAAGTGGCTTAGTCATGCTGGCCACATGACCCGGAAGCTGTACGCCGGCTCCCTCGGCCAATAAAGCGAGATGAGCACTGCAACTCCAGAGTCAGTCACAACTGGACCTAATGGTCAGGGGTCCCTTTACCTTTACCTTACTCCTGGGTGCATCTTTGCCATGAGAGGCTCAAGCAACCTCTGTTGTTGTGAGTGCCTTTTACCAGCTTTGTCTGATACACTGGCTGTAGCCATATCAGAACTGGGATTGCATGGCCACTGTAGTCCAATTACATTGGTAATTTCAAGACTAGATCACAGAAATGTGCTCTATGGGAGGTTTGCATTTGGGCCTGGTGCAGAAGCTTCAGCTGGTGCAGAATGCAGTGGCTAGTGTACTGATGGGAAGAAGAAGAAGAAGAAGAAGAGGAGGAGGAGGAGGAGGAGGAGGAGGAGGAGGAGGAGGAGCTTGGATTTGATATCCCACTTTATCACTACCCGAAGGAGTCTCAAAGAGGCTAACATTCTCCTTTCCCTTCCTCCCCCACAACAAACACCCTGGGAGGTGAGTGAGGCTGAGAGACTTCAGAGAAGTGTGACTGGCCCAAGGTCACCCAGCAGCTGCATGTGGAGGAGCGGTTCACCAGATTACGAGTCCACCGCTCTTAACCACTACACCACACTGGGTGTACACACTAAAAAAACAGGGGTCGTGGTGAGAAGGAAGGAGCAGGGAGCAGCAACCCAGCTCCCTCTGCTACTGCAAACTGTAGAGAAGCACCAGGGGTGGAGAGACGACAATGGAAGGGAGAAGAAGGGAAGCAGACAGAGAGAGATACAAGCAGAACAGAAAGGCTAGCCTTTCTGTTCTGTTCTGCTTTCTGTTCTGCTTGTGTCTCTCTCTGTCTGCTTCCCTTCTTCTCCCTTCCATTGTCGTCTCTCCCCCACTGCTGCTTTTCTGCAGGTTGCAATAGCAGAGGGAGCAAGAGTACTATGGGCACAGAAATGGAAACAATTACCGACAAAAGAGGAATGGCAGCCGAAATTAATGGACTATGCAGAATTAGACAAGATGACAGGAAGGATTGGAAACCTGTGGGATCAGAGATTCTCAGAGGGCTGGAGTCAATATATGAACTATCTGAAAATCAATTGTAATCAACAGATTACGCGAGTAGGATTGTAAGAAGTTTTGTAAGGAGGACTATGTGAAATATTGCAGAGAAAAGTATGAAGAGAACGATGAAGTGAAGGACTATTAAAAGTAATAGTGAAATTAATGAAATGCAAATAAGGATTTCATAAGTGATGAGGATTGAAAAATCTTCAGATGTGGTTGATGGAAGTCCAAAACACTGAATAAGATGAGAAAATATGTTGTGTGTGTTTTTGGTTTTTTGGGAAATTTCATATATATATATATATATACACACACACTATATATATAGGATCTAGAATAGATCTCCAGCTTCTGCCTGCATCTGTTTCTGCAAGTGCTACAGGCAGAAGCTGTGGAGCCAACCCAGCCTTCACAGTTTTGATTTCTGCTTGCTATGTTGCCTAATGACCAACAGCATAACCCGTTCTTAGGATGGCACTCTCTCCAAGGTCCAGAAATCCCATTCCTGCCACAGGACCAAGTCTTCAGGCTGGCCTCCCTCTTCAGGAACCTAGATCTTGAACCAGGAATCTTCCTATGGGTGGAAGATGATGGCAAACAGAGCTGAGGTAGATTGGTTTGATCACACGACACAGTCCGCCCCTATTGAAGACGCACGAATAGACAGCTGCCAAATCACTCTCCAGCCTCTCAGAAAATGGAAATGCTGGGATTTGGCCTTGTGATTGGCAGTGAAAAACCCACAGCTTTGTGCCCTGATAGATATGGCAATCCTTTTATTTAAATTACACTCATACTCCCTTTTGTAGCGTGTGGTTCTCAAAGCAGTTATGTCTGGCCACTGGATGGGCAGAAACGTGAACATATTTGAAGGAAATAAAGTTCTTGATTTAATCCACTTTTTAATTCCTCATAGAAATATTTACCTTGCACTTGCAACAGAAGGGTTTGTCTTCTTTGATCTATGATTGGTTGAAATCTATGCACCACAAAGCCTTCTCATCCTCTATTTGGAAATACACTTTTATAGTCGATTCCTCAACAGGTGAAACAACCCCTTAACTGGCAAAAGACTGACAGAATAATAGACCTTTTCTGAAACTGAGAACCAAATTCAACTATGAATGAAAAGGTGCACTCCTGACCAATGCTTAGATAAAAGGAGGAGGAGGAGAACAGCCACACAGGAAATGTGGCCTCTGAACACTTGGCCGCTTCTCAGAATTTCTGCTATGCTCTTTACAGTGGAAAATGTAATAGTTTTTCATTTCCCGAAACGCTGGTGAAGCAAAGACACGGTGTGTTAACAGAACTCTTAGCTTGTTGTCTTGTGGTTTCATTTATTTATTTTTAAAAAGGAGTGGCATTACACATATTATCTGAAACCATGGGGGGGAATGTAAAATAAAGATACTTGCTTTGGGAGAAAATATGCAGTCCTGGCATAGAGTAAAATCTGATAAAGGTGGTAAGGAACAGGTGGCACTGTGGTCTAAACCACTGAGCCCCTTGGACTTCCCGATCAGAAGGTCGGTGGTTCAAATCCCCGCGACGGGGTGAGCTCCCGTTGCTCAGTCCCAGCTTCTGCCAACCTAGCAGTTCAAAGCACGCCAGTGCAAGTAGATAAATAGGTACCGCTGCGACAGGAAGGTAAATGGCATTTCAGTGTGCTCTGGTTTCCATCACGGTGCCCTGTTGCTCCAGAAGTGGTTTAATCATGTTGGCCACATGACCCAGAAAACTGTCTGTGGACAAACGCCGGCTCCCACGGCCTGAAAGCGAGATGAACGATGCAAACCCATAGTCGCCTTTGACAGGACTTAACCGCCCGGGGTCCTTTACCTTTACCTTTACCTAATATCTGGTGAACTTCCCTTTGCTTTTGACTTCAGATTCTTCACTTAATTGCATTATAATAGTATTACATTAATAGAAAGCAATGATAGGGAACTCAAAGGAACTGACAAACTGATGGGCTTTGTTCCAAGCTTGAATTTTATGACAGTTGCCTATTTGGGGCATAAAACCTTACCCATAATACACAAGTTATTACTAGGGCTTTTGGCTTCCTGCCATAAGTCGGTTAAGGAGCATCCTGGCAACTGCAGACTATTCTGGGCTGGAGGCGATCTTGCAAGCTGCACAAGAAGTCAGTAGGCAACTCATTGTTCAGAAAGAGATGGTTTCTTACTTCCAACACTTGGCCCCATTTTGTGCTTATATCTGGAAAGCTGCTTTCATGCACATCCAATTAGATAAAGTACTACAAGCGTTATAATTAACACTGTTTCGCCTTATCATACCACAGCTGTTTACTTTAGCAGGGCCCGATACTGTAAACCTGCAAAATAAAGGAAACGATTTGTTGTTGCTTTTAAAAAAATAAAAGAAAAGATTCTGTCTTTCAGTATCAGGATACTGTTCTTATTTTCACATCAAAACCTTTCCCTTCATGCCAAGAGGTGAGCTATTTATCCTCAGCTGACTGACATGCAGCTGATTGACATCCAATGCCCTTTTAACAGGTATTGGGGAGAAGGGGGGGCTCTTGGGCTGCTTTTATAAAAATGTATTTTGTGTTTTCATATTGTGATTTTAAGTTGTAACTGTACTGAGACCTGTGGGTATAGGGCGGTATATAAATTTAATAAATAAAAATAATACCAACAGACGTTACCAAATGCCTCTTGGGACAGATGAAAACTTATACCTTGGCATCAGTAAAGGCATCTCTTTTATTTATATTGGTAGTTCATAGTTTTATTTATATTTGTGTATGCATAGATTTGAAGGTTGTTGTTAAGGCCTCCCTTTTCTTTTTATTTCTGTGCTTTATTTACATCACTAGGTCTATGCTTCTTTGCTAACATGTAAATCAATTAAAAAATAAAAAATTACAGAAATCATCTGTGCACACCTGGAACTACTCACAGTTCTTCCTTGAAGGGGATCCATCAACCCATTCCCAGGTCCACTCTTCAGAGAGTCTGGCTGTTTTGAGTCCCAACCAATACGAGGTTTCCTTTGTCAAATTCTTTATGATTGCCTATAATGGAACAGACAAGGGTGTTGCCAGGGCTTTTTTTTCAGCTGGAACTTGCCGGACCTCAGTTCTGGCACCTCTCAGGTGGGCACCGTTACCATGATAAGAAAACAAGGGAGGTCTTCATGGTGAGTTCTGGCTCCTGTTTTTCTATAAAAATAGCACTGGATGCTGCCATTCTGACCATTGTATTAACAGCTCATGCTCAGTTCCATCAGCTTCATTTCTATGGAACTCTACATTGCTTTACATCCTGCTCCTTAAAGGTAAAGGTAAAGGGATCCCTGACCATTAGGTCCAGTCGTGACCGACTCTGGGGTTGCGGCGCTCATCTCACTTTATTGGCCGAAGGAGCCGGCGTACAGCTTCCAGGTCATGTGGCCAGCTTGACTAAGCTGCTTCTGGCGAACCAGAGCAGCACAAGGAAACACCATTTACCTTCCCACCGGAGCAGTACCTATTTATCTACTTGCACTTTGACGTGCTTTTGAACTGCTAGGTTGGCAGGAGCAGGGACCGAGCAATGGGAGCTCACCCCGTCATGGGGATTCAAACAACCAACCTTCTGATTGGCAAGTCCTAGGCTCTGTGGTCTAACCATTAGATCCTGCTCCTTAGCCATCTTCAACTGACCCAGTTTCAACTGAGGAAAGGAGCGGGGTCCCCTACTTCTGTATGTGTGTAAAAGCTCCTTCTGTACAAATTTGCATGCATTTTAACTAATGTGTATTTAATATTGTAGAGATGTGTATCTGGTTTCAGCAGTGGCTGGCTAAAGCAGCTTTTAGGCAAGGCAGGATTGACAGCAAGGCTCAAGGGATTGGATGGATGGATTGCAATTTAAGTGCATTTTTTTGCTACTTTTTATACACACCATTGGAGGGTGAAGAGAATGGAATCTGAACCAGGAAGTCCATATTTCAAATTTCACCTCTGCCATAACATGAACACACTAGGTGGCCTTAGGCAAGCTACCCTCTGAGCCTCTAGTCTTCCAAATGCACTACGGAACATAATAATATTGCGCATTTAAAAAGGTTGCTATAAAGATTACAATTGGATATTGCATGTAATGCCCTCTGGACACTTACAAGATCTATTACAAATGTTATTAAGCAAAGTTACACGTGCTGTTGAGGAATAAAGCATCTTGACGGATGGTTAGGACTTATGGGAGCTGAAGTCCAACAATAGAAGGACCACAGGTCCCACATCCCTGGCCAGAAGTCTCACTCTCTTGTGGGCTTTGCTTCACTGGATCCCTGTGTGGCTAGTCTTTTCTCATAAGCTGCATATTTACCATCTCCTGCTGGTCCCAAATCACAAGCAGGGTGGAGTTCTTTCCTTTGCAGTCATCTTGGCTCTCGGTCCAGGTTTTTTGCTCTTGAGAGATCCAGTAGCAGGTGTTCCTGTGCAGTTCCCAGTCATTGGGGCATATTTTGCAGTTTGGGGCATCGTCTAGTGGTAGAGAGGGAAACCAAGAGGCAGAATATTTCTGTCTGACTTGCATTCGACCAAGCTACTCCTCCGGTCGAGCCCTCCGATGTGATTAACGACCTGAGCCTTTGATGAGGCTCCAGGCACGTTCCCTCATTATGCAGAGTGTCCAAGCAGCAGGGAAGGACACTCTACATGCTAAGAGTTTTATTTCTAACTACGCAGACAGAAAAGAAATACACATCCTCTCTCTGTGAGAGCCGAGAGGCAACTGGGACAAAGGAACAGGAAACCAGTAATATAAACATCCGTCTCCCGTCTCCTGTGAGACTTCCAACAGTCTGGAATGTAAACAGAGTCTTGTGACTCCAAGCACTGCACAGTGGCAATAAACAGAAACCTAACAATTTCCATGGGTAAATGGATGCTCTTATTTCCCCCCCTCATGGGAGAATCTGAGAATTTATTGCATAGTACAAATGTCTCATTGCAAAGGGGAGCTTTATTTATTTCAGTAAATAAACTTCCCAGGAGTTTTGAGTAACGTGTAGAATCCCAAGTGGTCTCAGATACTAGTTAAGTATTTCAATCTCTTTTGAGAAGAAACTACATCGGAACCTGACTTCATGCTGCCTTTGTGATGCTGCAAGACTGCGTGAGGAGGAAATGCACCCGGGGCCAACACCCCTCTGGCCCTCCCTAAGCTATGCCACTACTGATGAACTCAGCGTGTGAAGAGGCTAAGCTGGTTGCTCTAGCCTGGCTGCATGACACTCACAAGCCAATTTTGTGCTCCTATACCAATAATTTATGAACTTTCACCACTTTGGAACTAGATTAAGTTTTACTGCCTGTGCCTTTCTGAGTGGTATATGGAAAGGAACATGAACCTGACCTTTAAAGAGTTTGTAAGGAAACCATTTCTAACATACTACAGTGGTGCCCCGCAAGACGAATGCCTCGCAAGACGGAAAAACCGCTAGACGAAAGGGTTTTCCGTTTTGAAGTTGCTTCGCAGGATGAATTCCCCTATGGGCTTGCTTCGCAAGACGAAAATACCTTGCGAGTCTTGAGATTTTTTTTCGCTTTCCCCCTTTATCTAATCTGCTAAGCCTTTAATAGCCTTTAATAGCCTTTTAGCAGCTAATCCCTAAGCCTTTAAGCCTTTAATAGCCGCTAAACCGCTAATAGCGCTAATAGTGCTAATCCGTCAATGGGCTTGCTTCGCAAGACGAAAAAACCGCTAGACGAAGACTCTCGCGGAACGGATTAATTTCGTCTTGCGAGGCACCACTGTAAACATGTGATTTTTTTCCTATGCTGAGGGAAGATAGGACTTTTGTGGAACGCAGTTGGAAAGACATATTTTTGAGGTCTAACAGCCTATTTTTCCAGACTTTACTTTGCCCCAAACTTGGATCTTGGCATCCAGGAATTTCCCTTTTAATATATATCATGTTTTAACTTGCAGCAACAGTTTCAACATGCCTCAGTTCCAATTCTTCAGTATCGTCCGCCAAAGCAATCATCCCATCCTGTTTTCCAAAGGAAAGTTAGGTAGCCTCCACACCTGCTTCCTCTTCCTACCTTTGAGCGTGTGTGTGTGTGTGTGTGTAACTGTTTTAGAAACCACCCTCTGGTCTTCCATGTCCAGCTGCACCTAGCTGAGGCCTAGGCTGCAAAGTGAGCCCAGGGAGGGAGAACAGGCTAGAGTTGTGCTGAACTTTACACCCTCTATCACATCTTACACCTTGTTTGCTTGCTCCTTATCTGTATGTTGTGTGTTAGTTTAACATAACTTAGGGTTATTTAGTGTATGTTGTGACTGAACTACCCCCACTGATGTTAATGGTTGCGTATTAATGCTGAGCTATTCCCACGGAAGTGTTGAAATGTGTATGTTTTGATTGTGTGTGTGCTTAATAAATATCTCCATTTTTAAAAGCTGTGTGAGAGAGAGTTACTAGGGAAATCTGCCAAGGTACACTATTGCCAACATCTAAAGATTCACAAGACTCCTAGAACGTGTATAAGTGAAACATTTGTCAACTGTGGAGAGTTGCTAACACACATCTGGGAAAGGACTGAACCTAGCAGCCCTTCTGACCAGGGCATAACTAGAAGCACACTGGCCATTACACAGAAGGCAGCACTATGTAAACATCCCATTGGCACCTGGATATCCTGGGGTTTGCAGGTTAATGAAGCCTGCAAGGTTCTTTTCATTACAGAGATATGAAAAGACATTTGCGAACCACAGCATAATCACTTAGGCTGAGAATTAATTTGAGCAGCCCTTCTGGGAGGATGCGGAAGTCAATACATCTGAATTCTGTGTCATGTTTTAAAAGTAAAACTTTTAAATGGTGTTTTAATAGTAAGTCTCATTTGGAAGATGCAAGTGGCTGACGTCCAGACAGTGTTTCTGGTACACATACACAAAGCATGAGTCATCCATGAGTGGCTGAGGTTACCTGTTCCGCTGTGGCTTAGAGAGCTGCACATATAGCGTTTCAGCTGTAGCTTAAATTCAGAGTCAGTGGCGCTGGTGATGGTGGTGGTGTCCTCTGGTCTTTCTTTAGGCTGCAAAACTAAATACATTTTATAGTGTTGCGTTGTTATGGGTAACTGTTGGGATACAGTTTGTTTTTCTTGCACAGGAAAAGAAACATAGCCATTTTGTTTTGTTACATAGCCAAATGTAATTCATGAAGGCATGTTGTTGTTGTTGTTGTTGTTGTTGTTGTTGTTTAGTCGTTTAGTCGTGTCCGACTCTTCGTGACCCCGTGGACTAGAGCATGCCAGGCACTCCTGTCTTCCACTGACTCCCGCAGTTTGGTCAGACTCATGCTGGTAGCTTCGAGAACACTGTCCAATCACCTCGTCCTCTGTCGTCCCCTTCTCCTTGTGCCCTCCATCTTTCCCAACATCAGGGTCTTTTCCAGGGAGTCTTCTCTTCTCATGAGGTGGCCAAAGTATTGGAGCCTCAGCTTCACGATCTGTCCTTCCAGTGAGCACTCAGGGCTGATTTCCTTAAGAAAATCAGCTATGTTTGGTTACATAGCCAAATGTAATTCATGAAGGCATAGGATACTGTTATGGCTATCGGGTGGTTGCTCGAGAGCAATCAGGCAAGATGCCTCACTGGTCTGTTCTAGAGCTTTATTATTGGTGCTAAAAACCTTTACAATGCAGAGTGCCTCTATTCCATGTCTTGCTCATTCACTGGCAGAATCTGAGAGTGGGCGGTCCTTAAATCTTCCCCAGCAGAGTAGTCTCTTGACCCCCAGCCTGTGCCTCTCCTCTCTGCGCGGAAGACTACTGCGCAAGGAAGGCTTGGGTAAAGGGGGACCTCCCTCCTCCCTGCTTTGTCAGGCAAGGTGTCCTGGCACCACCTTGCATCCTCCGAGCCCTGCATCTCCTCCCCACTAGAGCCGTGGCTTCCTTCCTCCACTGAGGAAGTGCTGCTTCCCACGTTCTTTGGGGGCTCTCTGTAATCCATCCGTTTTCCCCCTCTCGCCCCTGAGCCGATGGCAGTTCCCTGACAGATATATATGTTTGGAGTGCCTGGCGTGCTCTGGTCCATGGGGTCACGAAGAGTCAGACACGACTAAATGACTAAACAGCAACAACAAACCTGTCAACCAATGATGAGGAATCCTGCTGTTGGGACAAAACAAGCAGGGCATTAAGGAGCAGTCATAGGAATAATAAAATATTCCAGCAGGCATCTGGTTGGCCACAGTGAGAACAGGATGCTGCACTAGATGATCCAGCAAACTTTTTTATATTCTTCTGTGGTAACAGAAGCCACCTAGCATGTTGGCATGGCAGGTTACGGTCACAGATGGATCTGAAACTGTAGTTTTTATCCAACTGAATTCAGTGGATTTTATTTCTGATCCTTGTAAATAGGCAAAGGATCGCAGCTTTTGCGTGTGCATGTTTTCTTTGCTGCTTCATTTGTTGTTGTGTGCGTTTTTTCATATGGTTTATTGTTATGCTATCTTTACGTGTATGGTTTTCGCAAATTAACCCGAACATTTTGGACAAATGGAATACAAATCCGTTTCTCAAATAAATAAATATTTTTTGAAATGCCCACACTATTTTCTATTCACCAGCTGCTAAGGTGCCTTTGACGAAAAGCAGAGTAACAGTAGCCTTCCAGGATGACTCCAGGATGGCCAACTTTTACTGGACTGTGCCAGGAAATGTTATTTGTATTCACACTCTCAGGCTGCAATCCTATTCCCACCTGGGAGCAAACGCTACTAAATTCAACGGGGGGTGACTTGCACAGGATTGCAAATATTCTTGGCGAAACCAAACATTAAGCACTCAATTACTCACCCAAAACTATCAGCGTTAGTACAGCCAGAGTGAGGAGGAGAATCACAGCACAGGCAGTCCCAAGAGCAACGCGAAGGCTCTGTGTATACTTATGGACATCTGTAAGAATTAAAAGTTGATAAAAGAACTACAGTGGTACCTCAGGTTAAATACTTAATTCGTTCTGGAGGTCCATTCTTAACCAGAAACTGTTCCTAACCTGAAGCACCACTTTAGCTAATGGTAAAATACCTGCCTGGAGGAGTCCTCAAAAAAATTTTTTTTACAGGTATGTGGGCTTATCCACACTTACCTCCCCCCTCCCCCACTTTCCAGGCACATTTTCACACTTTAAAGCTCCATGTCTGAGTGCTCTTTTCTTGCTTTCCTCACAAAAAACACCCCTCTTTAAACCTGAAGCACAACAAGCAGCAATTCAGTTTTTCTGTGGGTTGCTGTTTGCACCGATACAGCTTTAAAGAGCAGGTTTTCATGGGGAAATCTCCAGGGCAAAAGAAGGAGCGCTTAGACATGGAGCTCTAAAGTGATCTCTTGTGGCAGAGCATTTCACCAGTCTGGGGCCATGGCCAAGAAGGTCTTGGCCCTGGTCAAGGCCAGTCTAATCTCCCTGGGACCTGGGACCTCCAGGGTGTTATTATTTGCAGACCGTAAGGTCCTCCACAGGGCATACCAGGAGAGGCGGTCCCGTAGGTACGAGGGTCCTAGGCCATATAGGGCTTTAAAGGTTAAAACCAGCACTTAAACCTGATCCTGTACTCCACTGGGAGCCAGTACAGCTGGTATAGCACTGGGTGAATGTGACCCCACAGCAAGGACCCTGTAAGGAGTCTCGCCGCAGCATTCTGCACCCGCTGGAGTTTCTGGGTCAGCTTCAAGGGCAGCCCCACCCAGAGTGAGTTAAATGATATATAATGAATTGAAAAAGATGTTTAAAATAATATTTGTTGAGGGGGGGGGAAGCAGAAGCTTTTCTTTTGGGAATTATAGTGACGGAACTACCCAAACTGTATAGAAATTTATTCATGTATGTGACTACAGTGGCAAGAATGTGATTTGCCCAAAAATGGAAAGAAGAAGAAGTCCCGATGAAAGCAGAATGTATACAAAAACTTACGGGATACGCAGAAACAGGAAAACTTACCAGAAATATAAGAAATCAAGATAACAAACTTTTTTTGGGGGGGGGGATGGAAATGGTTTATTGAATATTTACAAACTGTAAACAGATAAGAACATTGGCAGGATTATTGTAATGACCTGCGGTTTTATACGAGTATGCACTTAAAGTAGATGAATAAATGATTAAGTTAAGTTAATTTGGAATATGCAGAAAATACTAAAAATATAAAATAATTAAGGACCCACAGAAAGAAGGAAGTCGAGTTTCAAAATGTTAAAATGATTGTAAAATTACTGAAATGTAGAAAATTGAGGATTATAAATAATTTTTTTTAATGAACTGGATCGTTTTGCAGACAAAGCTTGCATTCCATCACTGAGCCCTTTCCTAAATACATGAAGGAAAATAATACTTTCATTAGCCTCTCTTGCTTCCAATTATTTTTATTAGGTGGCTTCAAGGTTATAGAATTATGCAAAGGAGAGGAAAAAACAAACCCCTTTCTAGTCTCTCCATACTGTTCATGTATTGTAAATCTCTAGCATATCCACCCTTTGTAGTTAAATTAAATTTTCTAGAATAAAAGAAGGATGCATCACTCTGAAGATTATCCAGGCAACTACACTGGGCAGCAAGGAAAAGAGGATTTAGCAGAGACCCGCAAAACAGAACCTGAGGACTTCAGATTATGGAACCCGCCTGCAGATTAATTACCCTGCACAAAATAAAAATGCATGACTAAGTGAGCCACTTACTGGAGTTCCTGCCAGGACGAGACATCGGAATCCTTGAACAGGAAGGCATTTCCCGAATGTTTAGGTCCGCATATGCTATTTCCCCAGCCATGTGCAGAGAAAGCTGAATGTGAAATGAAGGAAGGAAGCTGAGCTACAGCAACAGGAGCTGCAGAGGCGAATGTTCGACTCCAAGCGACAGCGACTAGCACGCTCAGCATCACAGGGTCCAAGTGGTCTCTGTCAAAGTTTTTTTAGACTTCCTTTTCTCATAAGAATCAATTGGTTGAGACCAGTGAGTGCATCTCTGTTTACATTATAACTGCATCAGAGTCCTTGGCCACCCCTCCACCTGATTCTACAGTTGCTTCTCTGCCAGAAACTGCACTTGCTGGCATCCTGTGACCCCTTTAGGTTTGGGGATTGGGGATTTGGCATCTGGTATTCTTGAGGACTGGGATGCGGGTGGCGCTGTGGGTTAAACCACAGAGCCTAGGACTTGCCGATCAGAAGGTCAGTGGTTTGAATCCCCGCGACGGGGTGAGCTCCCGTTGCTCAGTCCTGCTCCTGCCAACCTAGCAGTTCGAAAGCACGTCAAAGTGCAAGTAGGTCAATAGGTACTGCTCCGGTGAGAAGGTAAACGGCATTTCCGTGTGCTGCTCTGGTTTGCCAAAAGCTGCTTAGTCATGCTGGCCACATGACCCGGAAGCTGTACGCCGGCTCCCTTGGCCAGTAAAGTGAGATGAGCGCTGCAACCCCAGAGTCGGCCACGACTGGACCTAATGGTCTGGGGTCCCTTTACCTTTACCTATTCTTGAGGACTAGTAACCCATTTTTATGGAATTAAACTTGTGCCTTTTAACTGATTTATTCAATCTACAATACATTTGTTCATTGTTTTACAGGTGTCTTTTGAGATATTGAATTTTTGAGTTAAATATTGACACCCAGTCTTAGAATGGAACACCTTTCGTTGCTGGGACTTAGCAGTAGCAACATTGCTTCAGAAGGTCTTCCCTGGGGAATATAAGAAAAGCTCTCTGATCCATGGCCTCTCAAGATCAGGGTCAACGAGACAGTGAGTTCTGTATGAATTAAAACTTAGGTGAAATCCAAATGGGAATCCCATTTATTGATAGTCTCTATATACTATCTCTGTGTGGCTATAGACCAGCAGTACTGTTCGCAACAGAGCAAGGTACCCGGCTTTGCCAGTTGGAAAAATATAGCTACGTATGAAGCACAAATTCGGCACCCAGTGGCACAATAGGAAAAAGGGTGCACCTATTAAATCAGTACAGCAACTAAGAAGAGCCCTGCTGGACCAAAACAAAGACCTATCTCCTCCAGCATCCTGTTTCTCAGAGCGACTGAGCTGGTGCTTATGGGAAGCTGGGATCTACTTCTGGGGAAAGAGCACATCAACAGAGACTTGCCCATGCTTTCCACAGGTCACATTTGGCCAAGGTGTCCAAAAGGCATCTGCTCAAATCTGGTATGCTGTAGGGTTTATCTCAGGAACATTGCTCCACTTGTTCCTCTGGGAATATGTTTCACCTCTACACCAGAATCCTGTCAGCAGCCCTCTTCTTCCAAGGTGGTCCCTTCAGAGACTCCATTTTCCAGTCCTGTCTCCTCAGGAGTGAATTCCAAACCTCAGGAACAAGTAGAGCTTCCTAGAAGCACCCCAGGGATCCAGAAAAGGCTTTTACCAAAGTGGGCAGAGATATTTTGCTTCAGTGCCTTTAACCAAAGCAGGTTTACACCCAGGGCTCATTTGTCTCCCCAGTGACCAGGGGACTAGGTAAACATAGACTGCTGGCATTCCTTTCTGGCTATGCACAGTGGGGCTCAAGGGGACACTAGCAGGGGAGCAAGAAGCAAAACCCTCCCCACCCCCAATCTCTGTGGAAAAGCCTTCTTAGGTACACAGCCTGTTCCCTGCATCTCCCCTGGGCATCTCTTCCATCACTCTGAGGTTTCTTACACCCGTTCCATCTCTTCCACCCTTCATTTTGCTTGAGCCACAGCAACTGGGCTCCTCCCCTGCCATCAGGCATATGGCTGAGACTGCCCCACCCTTCTTTTCCTATAGGTAGAACCGGATTAACACTGTTAGAGGACTTTAAAGCACTTGAAAGATTTGGGTGCCCCCATATATATCCAACTCAAAATATAATCACAAGTAAGACGTAAAATTATTTATTATTTTTCAAAATGGAACAAATCTTACAGCAAGATGGGAAACCATGTTTATTTTTTGTGTACTTCCACTTTATCTATATTTGAATTTCTTTCTCCTCCTTTTTTCTAATTGTAGAATCTATGATCAGATCCTCAAAACTAATCTTACGTAATACATCTGCTTCTGGCAACGGGGAATTTCTGTAGTGTTCCCCTTTTTCCCTTTATGCCCTAAGCATGTGCTTAGTTTGCTTAATGGTTAATCCAGTCCTGGGTGGGGCCTCCAGGAAACGTCCACAGGTGGCCCCTTCAGGATCCATTGCATGGTTGGTGTGGATTGAGGCCTACATAAAATGCCAAGCACTGGCAAAGGACTGAGTGAACCCGAGAGCCTGTCACAGAAGCTGGCAACCATAGATGAGCCATCCATTCCATATTAAAGACACAATTTCTGACAGAATACAGATGGTAGCAACATGATGGCACTAGTGGACACTTCCTCTGGCTATGAGAACAATGCCAGGTGAAATGAAAGGAATTGGACAACGTTTTGCCTAGGATGCCCAACTGTGCCGCACAAGAATGCATGCCAAAAACACGAGAATTTCCAGTCTGTGCCAGTATAATGAACTCTTCAGTCACCAGCCCAATGCCCCCAAGAAAATTCACAAGTAGGAAATAATGGAGATAAGCATCCCCTCTGAGTGTCCTCAGAAAACAAAGTTGTACACCTGCCTCTGAATGGGGTGGTCCAGCCCCTAGCTGCCCTGGTTAATAGCTGCCGATATGCCTGTGCTCTTTGAACTAAGGATAGTCCGCTTTGAAAGCCGCTTAGGCTTGCAGCCATCGTAGCATCCTATAGCAATGATCACGAGACAACTTCCTGTGGCAAGCCACCAGAGCAGAGTTGCATATTCTTCTTGCATTCAGCCTGCACCAAACAAACTTTTGTGTAGGTATCTGCTTTAAAGGCTGGTGAGGGGGCGTTTTCCGTAGGAGGCATGAACGAAAAGGTTACTTTTTAAGTCTGAAGTGGGGGCATTGTAGTGCTCAAGGAAATGGCATGTGGGTGCACAATAAAGCCAGTGACTTGGGGAAAGGTCTTAAAGATCGAAATATATTTCTGTGTCCTATCTATTGGGGGGGAGGAAAGACCCCTGGATGGTTAAGTCCTGTCAAAGGCGACTATGGGGTGCGGCGCTCATCTCGCTTTCAGGCCAAGGGAGCCCGCGTTTGTCCACAGACAGCTTTCTGGATCATGTGGCCAGCATGACTAAATCACAACAGAACACTGTGATGGAAACTAGAGAGCATGTAAATGCTGTTTACCTTCCCGCCACAGCGGTACCTATTTATCTACTTGTACTGGTGTGCTTTCGAACTGCTAAGTTGGCAGAAACTGGGACAGAGCAATGGGAGCTCACCCCATCGCAGGGATTCGAACCGCCAACCTTCCAATCAGCAAGCCAAAGAGGCTCGGTGGTTTAGACCACAGCGCCACCTGCTCCCTTCCAAACAAGAACAAAGAACAACCCACATGGAACTCGAATCCACAATCCCCAGCTCTGGTGGCTGATCCATTAGGCCACTGGGTCTCCTCATATATGGGTGCTCCCATCCCTGAATAAATTATATTTTGCTAAACTTTAAAAGGTCCCGAATCCATTTTTGAGAGCAATGTTGTTGTCCTTATTCCACCAACATTCTGAGATCTTGAGCAAAGCACAGCAGTACAGAGGAAGCATATGACTTGCTTGTGGCTGGTTGGCCCCTAGATGGCGCTTATGTAGCTAACCTACCGAAAAACACGACATAATTGGCTGCAAATAATTGAGATGCAGACTTCTTGCAAAGCTCTAAAAAGAAGGGTCTACACGCAGGGATCTGACTTTCGAACGCTACTACAACCATGATTGCCCCAAACTGAAGGATGTCGTAACAATTCTGCATCAAGTCCTTTTATCCCAAATCTCTGAACCGCTGGTAAATTTCTGAGAGGTATTGTAAGGTGATCTAGTATGAAACAGTAAGAGAGAGAGAGAGAGAGAGAGAGAGAGAGAGAGAGAGAGAGAGGATGCTTAAACTAGGATACCATTGGAGTATTACCCCAGTGAAGTTATATCATGTGAATCCAACCCAGTGGGTATGCTATGATGGGAAAGGTGTGATTGGCACAATGTTTTACACGTGTTCTTGTTCTGTGGTGCAGACACAGGAGGTTGCAACCATTGTTAACCAGACGGCTTGTTATGCAGAGACTTAATCTTGCGTCTCACAGCCACTGCCTGAGTAGAAAGAGCTCTTCCTTGCATGCGCCACCATCCATGCAGTTCTCATTGCAGAGATGAGGGTGCAAAGTTTGGTCTCTTATCTTAGCTGACAAGCAAAAACTTAAGATAAAGAGGGATGAAAGCAGGTGGAACAGGTTTGCAGGTACATACGGTATGTGGAAGAAATTCTTCTCTTACGTGGCCAGTTCGGTATAAAACAACAGCCACAATGTTTTGGTTACATTACTGAGACGTCTCCCTGCTTAAGCAGCTCCTGGCAGGCATTGCTAAGTGGATGTATATAAGGTGCTTGTGAATTTTCTTGTCCAACATGTCAAACTCTAGTGCACTGTGTTGTTACGGTTGTGTTAAAGTTCTTTTGTTTAATTATTTATTGAATGATGTTATGCAGATGATGATAGATAGATAGATAGATAGATAGATAGATAGATGATAGATAGAGAGATGATAGAGATGATAGACAGATAGATGATATATGATAGATAGATGATAGATAGATAGATAGATAGATAGATAGATAGATAGATAGCTGATAGATAGATAGATAGATAGATAGGTGATAGATAGATAGATAGATAGATGATAGATAGATAGATAGATAGATAGATAGATAGATAGATAGATAGATATAGCTGATAGATAGATAGATATAGATGATAGATGATAGAGAGATGATAGAGATTATAGATAGATGATAGATAGATACCGGTAGATAGATAGATGATAGATAGATAGATAGATAGATAGATAGATAGATAGATAGATAGATGATAGATAGATATAGATAGATGATAGATAGATAGATAGATAGATGATAGATGATAGATAGATATAGATAGATGATAGATAGATAGATAGATAGATAGATAGATGATAGATAGATGATAGACAGATAGATGATAGATAGCTATAGATAGATAGATGATAGATTAGATAGATAGATAGATAGATAGATGATAGATATAGATGATAGATAGATAGATGATAGATAGATAGATAGATGATAGATAGAGAGATGATAGAGATGATAGACAGATAGATGATAGATAGATGATAGATAGATGATAGATAGATGATAGATAGATAGATAGATAGATAGATAGATAGATAGATAGATAGATATAGATGATAGATGATAGATAGAGAGATGATAGAGATGATAGATAGATAGATGATAGATAGATAGATAGATAGATAGATAGATGATAGATAGATAGATGATAGATAGATGATAGATAGATAGATGATAGATGATAGATAGATAGATAGATAGATAGATGATAGATAGATGATAGATAGATAGATGATAGATAGATAGATAGATAGATAGATAGATGATAGATAGATAGATGATAGATAGCTATAGATAGATAGATGATAGATAGATGATAGATAGATAGATAGATAGATAAATATAGATGATAGATAGATAGATGATAGATAGATAGAGATAGATAGATATATAGATAGATAGATGATAGACAGATGATAGATATAGGTATATGATAGATAGATAGATAGATAGATAGATGATAGATACAAAGAATATATAATATATATGACTGTCAGCCCCAGGCTTGGGTCTCCTATTAGTTCCTGGGGTCCATGATAGGAAAGAAAGTGGGTTTATTTTCTTTTTGTTGGCTCCTTCCATACAGCCCACATCACCAGATCCCTTTGTATACCTGAGATAATTAACTGGCAGCCTCCCACCTTGCAGCCAGTGGTATGAGTTGACCTGGAAAACATTCTACGCAAATTAGGTTATTTGCACGGGATAATGTACATAGGAATGTGTTCTGATGCCCTAGACCAGGGGTCAGCAAACTTTTTCAGCAGGGACTGTCCCTCAGACCTTGTGGGGGGCCAGACTATGTTTTTTTTTGGGGGGGGGGGGAATGAACGAATCCTATGCCCCACAAGTAACCCAGAGATGCATTTTAAAGAATAGCACACATTCTACTCATGTAAAAAGACCCTGATTCCTGGATTGTCCACAGGCTAGATTTAGAAGGTGATTGGGCCGGATCTGGCCCCCAGGCCTTAGTTTGCCTACCTATGCCATAGACAGTGAGCTAATGTTGTTGTTTAGTCGTTTAGTCGTGTCTGACTCTTCGTGACCCCATGGACCAGAGCACGCTAGGCACTCCTGTCTTCCACTGCCTCCCGCAGTGCCTCTCCCCAGACGTTTAACGGTCTCTCCTCCTGCCTTTTATATTTGCACATTGCAACAGCCTGCGAGGTAGGCTAGGCTAAGCTAATGGATGTACATTGCACAGCAGCTCTTGTCAATAGATGCAGGGGGCCTAATCCAACACCTTTTTAGAATATGGCTCTTTTGAGGGGATGGTTATTGGGTTATTGTTTTTGGTTTGATTTTATATATATATTTTTAAATAATATTTATTAATGGTTTCAGAATTATAGAAAAAAAAGAAGAAATAAAAAACAACACTACCATACATAAAAAAGAAGAAAAAACACAAAAACCAATACAACAATACAGCAAAAAGATTAAAAAAAGGAAAAAAAGACACAAATCCCAAATTACATATCTTTAACTTCCATTTGCTTGTTTCATTGACCTCCTCACACCTCCCTTTTTGTATTCTAGTTTAATTAGTTATTTCAGCAAATTCTTTCCATCTTTCTCAATTTTTGTTAAATAATTTATCTTAACAATTTAACCTAATAATTAGCTCAACAAATCCTTTCCATCTTTCCCCATATTCTGTTATTCAAATTACCTTAATTTATTTAACCTTATCTTACCATAAAGTACCTTAAAGCTTGAATCTTAATACTCAAATATACATAACTCCTGATATCATTTCTGCTAGAGTCATATAGTTTCATTCCAACATTTTCCCTAATATTCATTAATTTTAGGCTAATTCCCTAAATAAAAATTTTTCTTTATAAATTTTCTTCCAATCTTCATCCAACGTCTCTTCTTCCTGGTCTCAGGTCATGTCAGTCCTTACTGTCCATTCCATCTAGTCCATCAACCTGGAAGTCTTATGTCCGAGGCCCTTAAGTCTCTTCCATGTCCCTTCTGCAGATCTTCTTCTTGTTGTTTATACTTGCCCTTTTCCTTGTCTTTTGTTGGTCTCTTTCTTAATTTCTTTCCTTTCTCATTGAGGAGTAGGTCTCTGGGGATTCCAACCCAAAATTGTCTCCATCTCCCTTCATCAAACCCGCCCATTCCCCACAGTCCCACTCCCCACAGTCATCAATGTAATCCAAAAAGTATTTAAAAGCATATTTCAAAGTCTCTCCAAAGTTAGGAACCTCCTCAGCTCCAGACTCCCCCTGGCCCGCTCCAACTTCAATCTTCAATGACAGCGGCTTATGCTCCTTTACGGCCTCGGGTCTCTCCATTTGTATTATTTGAGGTGCAACCGCATCCTCCTCCATTATCTTCTGCACTTGCCCAGTCAGTACAGGTTCATGAGTTGGTCCCTGAATGGTTTCTGTATCAATGTTCCCTGTTTGTCCACAGTTATTAACCACAACAGTCATCAAGTCCATTTTCTCATTCATCAAATCCATCTTCTCATGCATCTGTTCCAGCAAGGCACTTGTCTTGCATAAAGCAAGCACCCAATCTTCCTCCCAGCTCATCTTTAGTCAAGGTCAAAAAAGACTGGTCCCACGATCTTAATCTCACAGCTGTTGAGTCCTTAAGTATACTGCAGCAACAATTTAACAAGCTCCTTCTAGAGAAGACAATTTCTATTTGTATCCTTTTTTTTTTTAAGGCAAGTCCAACAAAGGAAAATTACTTTCGTTTTTCAGATATTTTTCAGATATTTTGTTTCTTTAGAATGCAAAAGGCAACATTGGAATCAGTTTATTTCTCTTCTTTGGCTATCTGTCAAAGTATTCCATTCACAGTCAATGAACCTCTCCGACTATTTCTGTCTCTGACACCCCGTTCCCAGGTTAGAGACGGTGGAAACTTATCCTTCTTGACTCCCTCTCCTGCAGGGGTTAAACAAAGTCCCCCCCCTTTTCTCCTGCTTCCAAGGGGGTTTCAGTAATTCTAAATGAAGGAAATTTAGACTTTTTAAATGGCTTTCCAGGCTTCAGCTTACAAAATTTTTGCTTTAGTCTATATACAAAAAGCGGAAGGCGGACTTCCTGTTTTGAACCTTCCCGCTTCGATGCCAAATTAAGATATTTCTTGATCCAATTTTCCGTTTCTACTCACGGGTACTTGTTTTAAATCCAATTGTCCACAGGAAAAAGTCAGCGCTCTTCGGAAATGGCTGTGCGGCTTCACTCTGTGAAAATAGCAATCAGTTCACAGCACCGCGCCTCTCACCCCACTTTGCTCCGGCGCCCCAAAATGGGGTTCCCGGTGAGTAAGGGGGGGCACTCCTGGTGCCCTGCCGAACCCCACGTTCCCAGGCTTCCTCCGCCTGGGATTTCTAGCGGGTCCCCACCTTCGCCACGGTGGGAAGACCCAGTTTCCACGGAGCCCGTTCCTCCGGTCGGAGGAACTCCGCCATTCACCGATGGCGCTGACCCGGAAGTCCCCTTGGTTTGATTTTATATGTTGTGGTCTTGTTTGTGAACCGCCCTGAGACCTCCAGGTATAGGGCAGTGTATAAATTGAATAAATAATAATAATAAATAAATAATAAATAAATAAATAATAACCCACCTACGTTGTACCAAGCCCACAAAATCCTGTTGCAGTTTCCATCCAGCATCTCCTACCTAGAATCTGGCAACTAGAGAAAGCTACCTATTGTTAGCAACTCTGAATGGCTTGCTAAAGTGGTCAACAAGCCTCCTGTTCTAGCGTTTTGCCACAGGACAGCTTGACTTCCCATGGTTTGGCGAGAACCCAAGGATCACACAAGGGACTGCTATTTTGGTTTCCCAGTGGTATCTACAAGCGGTTGCTATTCAGGTACAGTGGTACCTCAGGTTACATACACTTCAGGTTACAGACTCCACTAACCCAGAAATATTAGCTCAGGTTAAGAACTTTGCTTCAGGATGAGAACAGAAATCGTGCTCCGGCGGCGCAGCAGCAGCAGGAGGCCCCATTAGCTAAGGTGGTGCTTTAGGTTAGGAACAGTTTCAGGTTAAGAACGGACCTCTGGAACGAATTAAGTACTTAACCCAAGGTAATAATAATAATAATAATAATAATAATAAATTTTATTTATATCCCGCCCTCCCCAGCCGAAGCTGGGCTCAGGGCGGCTAACAACAATCAAAATAATCCAACATTCTAAAAACATTCATTATAAAATTAATTAAAATCAAATTAAAATCAAATTGATGGCAACCATTAAGCAAAATTCTGTGCAGATTGCCAGAGGAGGGGGTCAGGCTGCGCCCTGACCAAAGGCCTGGTGGAACAGCTCTGTTTTGCAGGCCCTGCGGAAAGATGTCAGGTCCCGCAGGGCCCTAGTCTCTTGTGACAGAGCGTTCCACCAGATTGGAGCCGCGGCCGAGAACTCCTGGCTCTAGTTGAGGCCAGCCTAACCTCTCTGTGGCCTGGGATCTTCAGGATGTTTTTATTTGCAGACCGTAAATTTCTCTGTGGGACATACCAGGAGAGGCGGTCCCGTAGGTACGAGGGTCCTAGGCCGTATAGGGCTTTAAAGGTTAAAACCAGCACCTTAAACCTGATCCTGTACTCCACCGGGAGCCAGTGCAGCTGGTATAGTACCGGATGAATATGATCTCGCAGCGAAGACCCCATAAGGAGTCTTGCCGCGGCATTCTGCACCCGCTGGAGTTTCTGGGTCAGTCTCATGGGCAGCCCCACGTAGAGCGAGTTACAATAGTCAAGCCTGGAGGTGACCGTCGCGTGGATCACAATGGCTAGGTCAGGGCGAGAGAGATAAGGAGCCAACTGCTTAGCTTGGCGGAGATGAAAAAATGCCGCCTTTGTTATAGCTGTAATCTGCGCCTCCATAGAGAGGGAGGTATCGAAGATTACACCCAAACTCTTAACGGACGATGCTGGCACTAATTGCACCCCCGCAAGAGATGGGAGTTGCCCCCTCAGTCCCATATCGCCCCGTCCCAGCCAGAGGACCTCTGTCTTCGAAGGATTTAACTTCAACCAGCTCCCACGTAACCATCCAGCCACAGCTTCCAGACATCTGGTCAGTGTGTCTGGGGCCGAGTCAGGATGGCCATCCATCAACAGATAGAGTTGGGTGTCATCGGCATACTGATGGCAACCCAGCCCAAAACTCCGGACAAGCTGGGCGAGGGGGCGCATAAAGATGTTAAAAAGCATCGGGGAGAGAATCGCACCCTGAGGCACTCCACACACCAAGGAGTGGCGCAATGACAATTCCCTCCCAAGCGCCACCCTCTGTCCCCGACCAGAGAGAAACGAGCGCAGCCATTGAAGGACTGTGCCCTGGATCCCCACGTCGGCAAGGCGGTGGTCCAGGAGTTCGTGATCGACCATGTCGAAGGCTGCTGACAGGTCTAGAAGAATCAGGAGCCCCGACCCGCCTCGATCCAGCTGCCTGCGGAGATCATCTGTTAGGGCGACCAGAGCCGTCTCAGTCCCATGACCAGCACGGAAGCCGGACTGGAATGGATCGAGAGCCGATGTTTCATCCAGAAACCTACCAAGCTGTTCAGCAACCGCTCTCTCAATCACCTTACCCAGGAATGGAAGATTCAAAACCGGGCGGTAATTGGATAGATCTAAGGGATCTAATGATGTTTTCTTTAAGAGCGGACGCACCACTGCCTCCTTCAGTTCCCCTGGGAATATCCCGGTGCCAAGGGACAAATTGATGATATCACCCAGGGGGGCCCGCACCTCGTCTGGGCACGCTCTAATCAGCCAAGACGGGCACGGGTCAAGAGGACAGGTGGTGGGCTTTCCAGCTCGGAGGAGTCTGTCCACATCGGCTGGGGATATCCGGTCAAAGTGGTCCAATACTGGACCCGAGGACAGTCGAGGGGCCTCCAGTTCCTTTATTGTATCCAAATTGGCAGGGAGGTCATGGCAGAGCAACAGGACCTTCTCCGCAAAAAAGCTCGCAAATGCCTCACAGCTGTGTGTCAAATTGTTATTTAAATTTGGCTGTCCTTCAAGGGACGTTAAAGACCTAATTATACTAAATAATTGCGCCGGTCGAGAGCTAGCAGAGGCAATGGAGGCCGAGAAGTAGGACTTCTTAGCGGCCTTCACTGCCATCTCGTAGGTTTTCATAAAAACCCTATAAGATGTTCTTGAGGCTCCGTCACGGGCACCCCGCCATACTCGCTCTAGCCGTCTCAGGTCCCGCTTCATTTTCCGAAGCTCCTCGGTAAACCAGGGAGCCCGGTTTCTGCGGGGTCGCAGAGGGCGCCTAGGTGTGATCTCATCGATGGCTGCTAGGAGCTGGGTATTCCAGCCCTCGCCAGGGAAAGCAAGGTCCCGCAAGGCCTGACGGAATCTATCAGGGTCCATCAGCCTCTGCAGGCGAGCCCAAATTGGCTCGCCACCTAAGCAGGGTGGGGGTGGAAAATCAATCATGGCTTTCAGAGCGTAGTGATCAGACCATGGCACCTTCATTGAAGGAGACATGATCACATCTATACCGGCGCCAAAGATCAAATCTAGCGTGTGGCCTGCTTGATGTGTGGGGCCCGAAACAAACTGGGAGAGCCCTAGTGTCGCCATGGAAGACACCAGGTCCAGAGCCTGTGAGGAGGGAATGGCATCAGCATGGATGTTGAAGTCCCCCAATACCAATAGGTTAGGGAACTCCAAGGCCCAGCCGGCCACCGCCTCCAGTAGGCCTGACAGGGTGGCTGCTGGTGCGCTAGGTGGCCGGTACACCAGCCAGACAGCCAAGCTCACCTCAGAGCCCCACACTAGGCCAACACATTCAATGCCGGGGATCGATGGCGATGGTAGAGCCCCTCGGGATGGGGCGCAGATTGGAAGGGATACGAGCATATCCGTATCTCGATCCCCTTCGCCTATGACATCTGCCCCCACCGCCATACCTCCCTCGCCCCACTACGGTAGCAATCCCAAGCCTCAAACCAACCTCCATTTACAAAATAGAAAAACAAATCAAACCAAAAACAATTGTACCAAAACAAAACAAATCCCCACCTCACTCACTATCCAACCCCAAACCAACATAAAACGGAACAAAATAAAAATACATCAACACAAACCACCGTTCACGGTGGTACAACAAAGTAAAAAGTAAAAACCCCTTAAAAACCCTTTAAAATATATAAAAACATTTTTAACATTTGCTGCAGCAACACCAGTGTCCTTAAAACTGTAGCAGTGGCGAGTGTGGGCCCCGCCCCCTAGGCCTGGTGGAGTGGGCCTACAGGAGGGAGGGGCCTTCCTCAACCCCCGCGGTGCAGCAGCAGCGGCAGTGTCCCAGTGCCTCATGAGGCCTCTTAAGCTGTGGCGGTGATGAGTCAGTCTGGGCCCCGCCCCCTAGGCCTGGTGGAATGGGCCTACAGGAGGGAGCGGCCTTCCTCAACCCCCACGGTGCAGCAGCATTTACCATTTTTGGTAAATGTATTCATGACTGCAGGTTAAAGGTTGAGTTGAGTACTGATAAGGGCTTGTACTGATAATGTACTGATAATGATGCAAGAGCGGCTGTGGGGAGCTGCTGCTTCAACAGGTGACACCGAGCACTTTAAGCAGCGGCTGCTAGCTCAATCTACTTTCGAAGGGTCTCCGCTGTGCCGCCATGGGGTTTTCGTTGTGGCAGGAAATAAGAGGAAAGAGGAAAGGGGCCCAACCTGCCAAACTTGCAGTGCACAGGGGGAGGAGGAGGAGACGCATACTCTTCATGGAGAGGTAAGGATTTCTGCCTTGTCCTGGAGGGAAAACTCTCTGGGAACAGATTCTAGACTGGAAGCACATCGGGTGGGTGGGAGACGTTGTAATCGTAGAATCGTGGGGTTGGAAGGGGTCACAGGGTCATCTAGTCCAGCCCCCTGCAGTGCAGGAATCTCATTTAAAGCATCCAGGACAGATGGCCATCCAGCCTCTGCTTCAATGAAGAAGATATCTGATGAATATCAAGTGCTTGCTTCTGGAGTGTGGATCTTGGCTGTCTGTGTCAGGTGTGGAATAAAGGAGTTCTGGAGAGGCAGGAAAATGCTGTGCTGAATTCAGGGAGGGGGGCTCCCCTCACTTGGGAGAAGGCTTTTGTGTAGCCTCTGTCTGTCAGGGACTGGGCAGAGGAGGAATGGGGGAGACCGTCTCCCCAGCCTGACCCTTCCAGAGAAGAAGAAGACAGCTTAGATTTACAACAGGGGTTTCAGGGAGGTCACAGCTCAGAGGCAGATGAGGGGAAAGGCTGGGAAATAATGGGAGAGGAGGAGGAGGACGGGGGAGAACCAGGGGGGCCACAGCTGACACAGTGTCCTTAGAAAGCGTTCCAGACCCCCCCCCCCCTTCCAAAATATAGCAGGCCTTGGAAGTTGGAGGGCAAAGAGCTCAAAGGCTGAGGGCACTTCTCAGCACCCATAGGGATGACAAATGAGGAATGGGAGAGACGGGTGGGGTGCAGTTTCACTCGAAGCAACACATTATTCCGAGAGGCTGTATTCCCAAGCCTCTCTCTGTGAATACTGAGTAAAAGCTGATGGTAAGGACTTTTCCATATATTATCCGTTCATGGCAAGTTGCCATGGGGTTGGTTCCTCTGCCGCCTGATACTATCATACAAACCTAGACAATTGTTTTACTCTATTAAGGGGCCAGATTTTGGGGGGGGGGGACATGTGTACTTGTGTGTATGTGTGTGTATAGAGGCTGCCCCAGCACATGGCAAGAATCTGTGACTGGCATCGCTATGTTAACTCCTTGGGAGAACCCAGAACTGTTAGGGACTGAAGGGTCTGTGAATGATTTAGTATTTAGTTGTCTATCGGCAAATTCGCAGAAGTTCATTGAATTAAATTACGCTTCTCTGCTGAACAAGGATGGTTGCGTTATCAATAATGTTGCGTGTGTGAATGGGCACGGTTAATGTAATTCTCACTGCAATTCTCACCTGTTAGTCACTCAGTCTAAGCAGATGGTTTTCTGGCTTTCCCTTTCCAGTTCTGCAAAGAAGCAGCAAGTAAGAGCAGCAAGTAAGAAGTAAGCAAGTATTTGAACTATTGGTATTAATAATTGTATTATCAATTGGTGTTGTTATAATGAGGCTATTATTCCGGACTGTAATTGAAAACTAATAAAAATTATTACCAAAAAATATATAAATTAAACTGCAGGATGTGAAGTCAAGCTGTCTTGTGGCAAAATGCTAGAACAGGAGGCTTGCTGACGACTTTAGCAAGCCATTCAGAGTTGCTAACAATAGGTAAAGGTAAAGGGACCCCTGACCATTAGGTCCAGTCGTGACCGACTCTGGGGTTGCAGCGCTCATCTCGCTTTACTGGCTGAGGGATGCGGCGTACAGCTTCCGTGGCCAGCATGACTAAGCCGCTTCTGGCAAACCCGAGCAGCGCACAGAAACGCCGTTTACCTTCCCGCCGGAGGGGTACCTATTTATCTACTTGCACTTTGACGTGCTTTCGAACTGCTAGGTTGGCAGGAGCAGAGACCGAGCAACAGGAGCTCACCCCATCGCGGGGATTTGAACCGCCGACCTTCTGATCAGCAAGTGCTAGGCTCTGTGGTTTAACCCACAGCGCCACCCACGTCCCTAACAATAGGTAGCTTTCTCTAATTGCCAGGTTTTAGGTAAGAGATGCTGGATGGAAACTGCAACAGGATTTTGTGGGCTCGGTACAATGTATGTGGATTATTATTATTACAGTGGTACCTCAGGTTACATACGCTTCAGGTTACAGACTCTGCTAACTCAGAAATAGTACCTTGGGTTAAGAACTTTGCTTCAGGAAGAGAACAGAATTCGTACTCTGGCGGCGCGACAGTAGCAGGAGACCCCATTAGCTAAAGTGGTGCTTCAGGTTAAGAACAGTTTCAGGTTAAGAACGGACCTCTGAAACGAATTAAGTACTTAACCCGAGGTACCACTGTATTATTAGAGGATGTATTCATGGAAAAACCAATAAAAATATGAAAGAAAGAAAGAAAGAAAGAAAGAAAGAAAGAAAGAAAGAAATGCCTATAAACCTGGCATTGCACAACATCAGTGACGGAGGTGAGTAATCCTTTCTCACCCTACCCTCGTCCCTCGGGATGGGGCGCAGATTGGAAGGGGTACGAGCATATCCGTATCTCGATCCCCTTCGCCTATGACATCTGCCCCCACCGCCATACCTCCCTCGCCCCACTACGGTAGCAATCCCAAGCCTCAAACCAACCTCCATTTACAAAATAGAAAAACAAATCAAACCAAAAACAATTGTACCAAAACAAAACAAATCCCCACCCCACTCACTATCCAACCCCAAACCAACATAAAACGGAACAAAATAAAAATACACCAATACAAACCACCGTTCACGGGCGTACAACAAAGTAAAAAGTAAAAACCCCTTAAAAACCCTTTAAAATATATAAAAACATTTTTAACATTTGCTGCAGCAGCACCAGTGTCCTTAAAACTGTAGCAGTGGCGAGTGTGGGGCCCGCCCCCTAGGCCTGGTGGAGTGGGCCTACAGGAGGGAGGGGCCTTCCTCAACCCCCGCGGTGCAGCAGCAGCAGCAGTGTCCCAGTGCCTCATGAGGCCTCTTAAGCTGTGGCGGTGGTGAGTCAGTCTGGGCCCCGCCCCTGGGCCAGGTGGAATCAGCCTGAGGAGGGAGCGGCCTTCCCCAACTCACAGTGCAGGAGCAGGGGCGGTGTCCCACTGCCTCATGAGGCCTCTTAAGCTGTGGTGAGTCAGTCTGGGCCCCGCCCCCTAGGCCTGGTGGAATCAGCCTGAGGAGGGAGCGGCCTTCCCCAACTCACAGTGCAGCAGCAGGGGCGGTGTCCCACTACCTCATGAGGCCTCTTAAGCTGTGGTGAGTCAGTCTGGGCCCCGCCCCCTAGGCCTGGTGGAATCAGCCTGAGGAGGGAGCGGCCTTCCCCAACTCACAGTGCAGCAGCAGGGGCGGTGTCCCACTACCTCATGAGGCCTCTTAAGCTGTGGTGAGTTAGTCTGGGCCCCGCCCCCTAGGCCTGGTGGAATCAGCCTGAGGAGGGAGCGGCCTTCCCCAACTCACAGTGCAGCAGCAGGGGCGGTGTCCCACTACCTCATGAGGCCTCTTAAGCTGTGGTGAGTCAGTCTGGGCCCCGCCCCCTAGGCCTGGTGGAATCAGCCTGAGGAGGGAGCGGCCTTCCTCAACCCGCACGGTGCAGCAGCATTTACCATTTTTGGTAAATGTGTTCATGACTGCAGGTCAAAGGTTGAGCTGAGTACTGATAAGGGCTTGTTTATAATCATGCAAGAGCGGCTGTGGGGAGCTGCTTCTTCAACAGGTGACACCGAGCACTTTAAGCAGCGGCTGCTAGCTCGATCTACTTTTGAAGGGTCTCCGCTGTGCCGCCGTGGGGTTTTCGTTGTGGCAGGAAATAAGAGGAAAGAGGAAAGGGGCCCAACCTGCCAAACTTGCAGTGCACAGGGGGAGGAGGAGGAGACGCATACTCTTCATGGAGAGGTAAGGATTTCTGCCTTGTCCTGGAGGGAAAACTCTCTGGGAACAGATTCTAGACTGGAAGCACATCGGGTGGGTGGGAGACGTTGTAATCGTAGAATCGTGGGGTTGGAAGGGGTCAGAGGGTCATCTAGTCCAGCCCCCTGCAGTGCAGGAATCTCATTTAAAGCATCCAGGACAGATGGCCATCCAGCCTCTGCTTCAATGAAGAAGATATCTGATGAATATCAAGTGCTTGCTTCTGGAGTGTGGATCTTGGCTGTCTGTGTCAGGTGTGGAATAAAGGAGTTCTGGAGAGGCAGGAAAATGCTGTGCTGAATTCAGGCAGGGGGGCTCCACTCACTTGGGGAGAAGGCTTTTGTGTAGCCTCTGTCTGTCAGGGACTGGGCAGAGGAGGAATGGGGGAGACCGTCACCCCAGCCTGACCCTTCCAGAGAAGAAGAAGACAGCTTAGATTTACAACAGGGGTTTCAGGGAGGTCACAGCTCAGAGGCAGATGAGGGGAAAGGCTGGGAAATAATGGGAGAGGAGGAGGAGGACGGGGGAGAACCAGGGGGGCCACAGCTGACACAGTGTCCTTAGAAAGCATTCCAGACCCCCCCCCCCTTCCAAAATATAGCAGGCCTTGGAAGTTGGAGGGCAAAGAGCTCAAAGGCTGAGGGCACTTCTCAGCACCCATAGGGATGACAAATGAGGAATGGGAGAGACGGGTGGGGTGCAGTTTCACTCGAAGCAACACATTATTCCGAGAGGCTGTATTCCCAAGCCTCTCTCTGTGAATACTGAGTAAAAGCTGATGGTAAGGACTTTTCCATATATTATCCGTTCCTGGCAACTTGCCATGGGGGTTGGTTCCTCTGCCGCCTGATACTATCATACAAACCTAGACAATTGTTTTTACTCTATTAAGGGGCCAGATTTTTTGGGGGGGACATGTGTACTTGTGTGTATGTGTGTGTATAGAGGCTGCCCCAGCACATGGCAAGAATCTGTGACTGGCATCGCTATGTTAACTCCTTGGGAGAACCCAGAACTGTTAGGGACTGAAGGGTCTGTGAATGATTTAGTATTTAGTTGTCTATCGGCAAATTCGCAGAAGTTCATTGAATTAAATTACGCTTCTCTGCTGAACAAGGATGGTTGCGTTATCAATAATGTTGCGTGTGTGAATGGGCACGGTTAATGTAATTCTCACTGCAATTCTCACCTGTTAGTCACTCAGTCTAAGCAGATGGTTTTCTGGCTTTCCCTTTCCAGTTCTGCAAAGAAGCAGCAAGTAAGAGCAGCAAGTAAGAAGTAAGCAAGTATTTGAACTATTGGTATTAATAATTGTATTATCAATTGGTGTTGTTATAATGAGGCTATTATTCCGGACTGTAATTGAAAACTAATAAAAATTATTACCAAAAAATATATAAATTAAACTGCAGGATGTGAAGTCAAGCTGTCTTGTGGCAAAATGCTAGAACAGGAGGCTTGCTGACGACTTTAGCAAGCCATTCAGAGTTGCTAACAATAGGTAAAGGTAAAGGGACCCCTGACCATTAGGTCCAGTCGTGACCGACTCTGGGGTTGCAGCGCTCATCTCGCTTTACTGGCTGAGGGAGCCGGCGTACAGCTTCCGTGGCCAGCATGACTAAGCCGCTTCTGGCAAACCCGAGCAGCGCACAGAAACGCCGTTTACCTTCCCGCCGGAGGGGTACCTATTTATCTACTTGCACTTTGACGTGCTTTCGAACTGCTAGGTTGGCAGGAGCAGAGACCGAGCAACAGGAGCTCACCCCATCGCGGGGATTTGAACCGCCGACCTTCTGATCAGCAAGTGCTAGGCTCTGTGGTTTAACCCACAGCGCCACCCACGTCCCTAACAATAGGTAGCTTTCTCTAATTGCCAGGTTTTAGGTAGGAGATGCTGGATGGAAACTGCAACAGGATTTTGTGGGCTCGGTACAATGTATGTGGATTATTATTATTACAGTGGTACCTCAGGTTACATACGCTTCAGGTTACAGACTCTGCTAACTCAGAAATAGTACCTTGGGTTAAGAACTTTGCTTCAGGAAGAGAACAGAATTCGTACTCTGGCGGCGCGACAGTAGCAGGAGACCCCATTAGCTAAAGTGGTGCTTCAGGTTAAGAACAGTTTCAGGTTAAGAACGGACCTCTGAAACGAATTAAGTACTTAACCCGAGGTACCACTGTATTATTAGAGGATGTATTCATGGAAAAACCAATAAAAATATGAAAGAAAGAAAGAAAGAAAGAAAAAGAAAGAAAGAAAGAAAGAAAGAAATGCCTATAAACCTGGCATTGCACAACATCAGTGACGGAGGTGAGTAATCCTTTCTCACCCTACCCTCGTCCCTCGGGATGGGGCGCAGATTGGAAGGGGTACGAGCATATCCGTATCTCGATCCCCTTCGCCTATGACATCTGCCCCCACCGCCATACCTCCCTCGCCCCACTACGGTAGCAATCCCAAGCCTCAAACCAACCTCCATTTACAAAATAGAAAAACAAATCAAACCAAAAACAATTGTACCAAAACAAAACAAATCCCCACCCCACTCACTATCCAACCCCAAACCAACATAAAACGGAACAAAATAAAAATACATCAATACAAACCACCGTTCACGGGGGTACAACAAAGTAAAAAGTAAAAACCCCTTAAAAACCCTTTAAAATATATAAAAACATTTTTAACATTTGCTGCAGCAACACCAGTGTCCTTAAAACTGTAGCAGTGGCGAGTGTGGGCCCCGCCCCCTAGGCCTGGTGGAGTGGGCCTACAGGAGGGAGCGGCCTTCCCCAACTCACAGTGCAGCAGCAGGGGCGGTGTCCCACTGCCTCATGAGGCCTCTTAAGCTGTGGCGGTGGTGAGTCAGTCTGGGCCCCACCCCTAGGCCTGGTGGAGTGGGCCTACAGGAGGGAGGGGCCTTCCTCAACCCCCGCGGTGCAGCAGCATTTACCATTTTTGGTAAATGTATTCATGACTGCAGGTTAAAGGTTGAGTTGAGTACTGATAAGGGCTTGTTTCTTCAACAGGTGACACCGAGCACTTTAAGCAGCGGCTGCTAGCTCAATCTACTGTCGAAGGGTCTCCGCTGTGCCGCCATGGGGTTTTCGTTGTGGCAGGAAATAAGAGGAAAGAGGAAAGGGGCCCAACCTGCCAAACTTGCAGTGCACAGGGGGAGGAGGAGGAGACGCATACTCTTCATGGAGAGGTAAGGATTTCTGCCTTGTCCTGGAGGGAAAACTCTCTGGGAACAGATTCTAGACTGGAAGCACATCGGGTGGGTGGGAGACGTTGTAATCGTAGAATCGTGGGGTTGGAAGGGGTCAGAGGGTCATCTAGTCCAGCCCCCAGCAGTGCAGGAATCTCATTTAAAGCATCCAGGACAGATGGCCATCCAGCCTCTGCTTCAATGAAGAAGATATCTGATGAATATCAAGTGCTTGCTTCTGGAGCGTGGATCTTGGCTGTCTGTGTCAGGTGTGGAATAAAGGAGTTCTGGAGAGGCAGGAAAATGCTGTGCTGAATTCAGGGAGGGGGGCTCCCCTCACTTGGGGAGAAGCCTCTGTCTGTCAAGGACTGGGCAGAGGAGGAATGGGGGAGACCGTCTCCCCAGCCTGACCCTTCCAGAGAAGAAGAAGACAGCTTAGATTTACAACAGGGGTTTCAGGTAGGTCACAGCTCAGAGGCAGATGAGGGAAAAGGCTGGGAAATAATGGGAGAGGAGGAGGAGGACAGGGGAGAACCAGGGGGGCCACAGCTGACACAGTGTCCTTAGAAAGCATTCCAGACCCCCCCTTCCAAAATATAGCAGGCCTTGGAAGTTGGAGGGCAAAGAGCTCAAAGGCTGAGGGCACTTCTCAGCACCCATAGGGATGACAAATGAGGAATGGGAGAGACGGGTGGGGTGCAGTTTCACTCGAAGCAACACATTATTCCGAGAGGCTGTATTCCCAAGCCTCTCTCTGTGAATACTGAGTAAAAGCTGATGGTAAGGACTTTTCCATATATTATCCGTTCCTGGCAACTTGCCATGGGGGTTGGTTCCTCTGCCGCCTGATACTATCATACAAACCTAGACAATTGTTTTTACTCTATTAAGGGGCCAGATTTTGGGGGGGGGGGGACATGTGTACTTGTGTGTATGTGTGTGTATAGAGGCTGCCCCAGCACATGGCAAGAATCTGTGACTGGCATCGCTATGTTAACTCCTTGGGAGTGCGCGCACGGGTGCGCGCGCACGGGTACAGAAATGCGTGCATGCAGGCTCAGAGTGGAAAAGGCCAATGGCGGAGGATAGGGTGAGCAGTCAGGATGCAGCCTAGATAACATCCCAGATTCGTATGCTTGGTTTAGCGCCCAACCCATTTAAAGCTCTTCCTTTCCTCCATCAACTTAAATAGGAGAGCTATAATAGGTGCAGCTCCTTCTCTGACAGCGGTCACTCTGTGAATAACAGAAGTTCTAGCCAGATAGCTTTATTTTATTGCACCTGCTTAACTAGTAGGAACTTTGGAGAAGAGTGACTAGTGGGGTGCCACAGGGTTCTGTCTTGGGCCCGGTCTTATTCAACATCTTTATCAACGACTTGGATGATGGACTCAAGGGCATCCTGATCAAATTTGCAGATGACACCAAACTGGGAGGGGTGGCTAACACCCCAGAGGACAGGATCACACTTCAAAACGACCTTGACAGATTAGAGAACTGGCCCAAAACAAACAAGATGAATTTTAACAGGAGAAATGTAAAGTATTGCACTTGGGCAAAAAAATGAGAGGCACAAATACAAGATGGGGGACACCTGGCTTGAGAGCAGTACATGTGAAAAGGATCTAGGAGTCTTGGTTGACCACAAACTTGACATGAGCCAACAGTGTGACGCGGCAGCTAAAAAGCCAATGCAATTCTGGGCTGCATCAATAGGAGTATAGCATCTAGATCAAGGGAAGTAATAGTGCCACTGTATTCTGCTCTGGTCAGACATCACCTGGAGTACTGTGTCCAGTTCTGGGCACCACAGTTCAAGAAGGACACTGACAAACTGGAACGTGTCCAGAGGAGGGCAACCAAAATGGTCAAAGGCCTGGAAACAATGCCTTATGAGGAACGGCTAAGAGAGCTGGACATGTTTAGCCTGGAGAAGAGGAGGTTAAGGGGTGATATGATAGCCATGTTCAAATATATAAAAGGATGTCACATAGAGGAGGGAGAAGGGTTGTTTTCTGCTGCTCCAGAGAAGCGGACACGGAGCAATGGATCCAAACTACAAGAAAGAAGATTCCACCTAAACCTTAGGAAGAACTTCCTGACAGTAAGAGCTGTTTGACAGTGGAATTTGCTGCCAAGGAGTGTGGTGGAGTCTCCTTCTTTGGAGGTCTTTAAGCAGAGGCTTGACAACCATATGTCAGGAGTGCTCTGATGGTGTTTCCTGCTTGGCAGGGGGTTGGACTCGATGGCCCTTGTGGTCTCTTCCAACTCTAGGATTCTATGATTCTATTCTATGATTCTATGATCGGAGCGTGCACTTTGTAAACCAAGAGTTTGTGCACACCAGATTCTACTGTGAATTGGAGGCTATTTGAGTCCAGATTTTCAGGGCGTCATCCTGATGAGGCTGGTCTATAACTGTGGGCATCTCACTTTTTATTTTATTTTTCTTTTAGCATGAATTTGGATTTCCAGGCTCCTGTTCAAAACTGAAAATAAAATAAAATAAACCTCCGACCCGCTCCTACTGGTGCCTGGCTGGGCTGCTCCTTCCTTTGGCTCCTCCCTGCCTCCCTTCTCCTCTGTGGCAATCCTTTCGCTTTGCCCAGCCAGTAGCTGAATTGTGTGCCCTGCTTTCCCTTGCCTATCTGTTCTTTTCCTGAGTGCAGCCACCCTCAGAAAGCAAGCTTTACTAACAATAATAATTTTATGATTTGTACCCCACACATCTGGCTGGTCCACGCTGGACTGCATCCTAGATCTTGCCCCCTGCTTCTTCCTCCCTCCCTCCACCTGCTCTCAGGATCCGCAAGTGGACTGGCCATGCGCCGGCTGAGCAGATTGCTTTGAACCAGCCTTCCTCTTGTTGCAGAGGAGCAGAGGATGCTGCCTTCTGCTGAATCAGACCACTGCTCCATCTAGCTCAGTACTGTAGGCACTGACTGGCAGTGGCTCCCCAGGATTTCAGGCACAGGTCTCCCATCCCTGCCTAGGGGTGCTGGTACCTTCTGCGTGCCTTCAGCTGCCAGCTAGTATTTGGAAACACTGCTGCCCCCTACTGGGCAGGTGGCCAGTAGCCATTGATAGCCCTCTCCTGCATGAATTTATCCGGTCCTCTTTCAAAGCCATTCACGATGGCAGCCACTGTCTCCTGGGGGATCAAGTGCCATAGTTTAGAGTATGTGCTGTGTAGAGAAGTACTTTCTTTTAAACTGTTAACGGAGAAATTTGAGGGCTCCCTTGGACAAAGGCAAAGACACCAGCCAGGAATATCAGAGCAAAACAGCAGCCAGTAGGCTTGGTCTTTATTGTAAACTGTCATGACAGGACTCCAACTCACTGCAAGATGAAGCAAGATGGAAACCCCGAACAAAAGGCGACCCCAACTTTTATCCATTCCTAATCCCCATGCTACACCCCTAAAACTACATCATTGCTACATCATAACTACATTACTGATACATCCCAAAAAAGGAGGGGTTGAGGCCGTAACCTGAGTGTCTTGGCACCTGTCTCGTTCCTCCCCTCTCCCTTCTCAAGCGGACATTCCACAGAACAGAGAGAAGTTCACAGTTTCCTGCCCCCAGAGGGGAGGGTTGACTACTGTCTTTTGTTTTAGTCCGTACCGAATCCATTTCCAAATGCTGGTTCTTTGTAAGTGAAATGATCCATAGTCTGGCACCATCAACGTTAGTATGTCCGCTCACTGCGGACGTATTGGTACGCCTGGGGGATTATGGCTGCCCTAGGTCAAGCCTCCCCCATTTGATAGTCCTTCTTCCAAGGTGCAAAACAAAAGTGGAACGGCACAGATCTGACATACGGTTAAATTTCTATGAATTTATAACAGAAACACTATAGAGGTAGATATACCTCTATAGGTTTTGAGATACCTTCAATCAAAGCGGAAACATTCTGACACATTCTGAAAAGATTAGTCATGGTTAATTAATTCCGGATATGTTGTATTACAGCTTGTCAAAGTCATTGAGCAAGATAGACAGCGGCCTTGCAGTACCTGCTTGGCTGCCACAAGGGGCGCTGTTTGGTTACATTCATTGGCTAGAGCGCAGCGATTTATTTGAATAGGGAAACAGTCTACCCAGTTTGAGAATAGGGAACGGGTTCCGTGGGGGCCAGACTTCTATGTTTAGGCACTTTATGGAGGCCCTTACAAAAAAAAGTTTACCAATGGGAGTTGTGTGTGTGTGTATTCGTGTCGTGCTTGTGGAACTGGGGGGGGGGGATTCCTGCAACAATCCTAAATCTTCCAACATTCGGCTTTGTTGGATACCCACTGATTCTAGTGTCCTAACAAGAGTGGGAGAAAAGCTTTTCTCTTTCCACTTTCTTTGTGTCATGCATAATTTTATAAACTTCTATAGATGTACAGCTTATGAACAAAGTTAAAAATTACAGTAGCTGCCCTGCTGCCCTTTGCTTCTAGCTCTGTGGAATGTGACACAGAAGGAAATTTGAGGGGGAAAGATTCCCCACCTCTCTTCTTTCCTACGGCTGCTGAGCATGTTCAGACCTCAATGGATCAATTGGGGGGGGGGGGCTGTCCTCTTCACTTAAATAGATGTACTTCTGCAAACCTAAATTTTTGATACCTCCCTCTTGTTTCCCATAAAGGCATCTGGTGCTTCGGCAAGCAAGGGTTGTTTTGCCTGTAAATAAGGTTTTCTATTATCTTTCTGAAGGATGAAGGATCTGCTGGAAGGTGATCCAAAAATGGTGGAACATGCCAATACCTACGAGAAACCTGTAAACAGAGCAGAACAAGTTGTGTTTTTAGCTCAACAGAATAGAACTATTCTCATTTCTTCATATTTGGAGATGAGAGAAAAATATGGTAAGCAAGTTAATTCTGATGCATGAAAAGTATCAAGAAGGAGACTTGAGACAGATTGTAGTTTGTTGGGGGGGGTTAAAGAGCGAGCTCTTAAGAATCTCTTTTTGCAGAATGCGCAGTCATGTCATTCCATTTTGTAAGCAGGTTTTGGTAGTTTGCAAAATCCTGCCCAGCCTCTGTAGCCATAGGTGACGATGGGCCATATTCACAACAGCGTGGCTGAAAATGAACGTGGGCCATTTTCAAATGAAACAAATAACTTGCATGGAGACTTTGCTACCAAATGAAGCAAAGTGGGTATTAATGAAAAATCACCTGTAGCTGTTGTGATGGTGATGGTGATGTTTAATAATAATAATAATAAAAATAATAAAAATACCTCCCCCATCTGGCTGGGTTTCCCCAAACACTCTGGGCAGCTCCCAACAGAATATTAAAAACATGATACCAGGTGCTTACAGGAACAGGAACCTAGAACTAGAACCTCGCAGGAAAGAGTGCACACCTGGTAAGGAGGCTTGAGGTCCTACACCTCTCAGGAGTATTTGAGCATCCTAGAACTGCCTATGATCTGCTTGCATTGCTCATGCCTATGGAGGGAGAAAGATACAGAAACCCAGAACTGCCCACTCCCTAAGCCTTGAACACCCATCTGCTCTTTGCTATTGGCAGGCACAATTCCAACACCACCTGGCCTTGTTGAAAAGCGAGAAGGACAGTGGGGAGGTCCTCACAGTGAACCAAAGGAAGGGACTGGAGATGCTGCAGGTAAGTTTGCCACCTTAGGCAAAGCTGTCTTTGATGATGATGATGATGATGATAAATACCCGCCCATCTGGCTGAGTTTCCCCAGCCACTCTGGGCGGCTCCCAACAGAATATTAAAAACACAATAAAGCATCAAACATTGAAATCTTCCCTAAACAGGGCTGCCTTCAGATGTCTTGTTTTTTCTTCACTTCAGAAAAGCTAATGAAATGCAAAGATGCAAATGAGTGGGCAGGTGCTTGTATTAACTGCTAGAAATAGGGTTATAAAAATAAAAATGGGCATCTGGGGTGACAGAGAGAGGGTCAGGAAACAGAGAAAGCCCTTACCCTGCTGTATATATATGCTACTCCTCAGCTACTGAGGCCCATCCTCATCATCACCTATGGCTACATAGGCTGGGCAGGATTTGGCAAACTATGAAAACCTATCAAAATGCACAGTCTAGCATAAAAAATAAACCAGAGGTGGCAAAGAAGGAGAAAATGTATACTTTTAAAGATCAAAGTATACGTTTTCTCCTTCTTTGTTACCTCTGGTTTATTTTCATCAATTACAAGGGGGGCAGGGAGTAATGCATACAGTGGCGTAGCATGGGTTGTCAGCACCCGGGGCAAGGCAAGTAATTTGCGCCCCCTAACCCGTGGAGCCAGGTAGGGGCAGAGAGCTGCGAGTGCGAGCGCCCCCCCAGATGTTGCGCCCAGTGCGGCCGGCCCCCCCTGCACCCCCCACGCTACGCCACTGAATGCATATGCTAGATGTCTGCTCTGGGAACAGTTGAATTCTTCAGCTATAGGTAAAAGATTGCTCTTTCTGATCAAATGTCTTATCTTGGTAGGTGTCTATCCCTGTTTGCCCTCTAGCTATTCCTAGTAGCGATCAGAAAAAGATTCTGTGTGAAATTAGACAAAAAGAAAAAGAGCTGGGAATATCTCCAACAAATACAAATATTACCTGGCATATTAAGATGCTGCAGGGACAGCTGTGCTAGCAACGCAGGAGATAGAAGCAAAATTGAAATATATTCCTGAATGCCAAAATAAATAGATATTGCAATAATATCAAGAGTTCTGGTATTAGCAACCCAGTTCATCATGGAAGTTTTAGTTTATTGTATGTGTGTTGATGTGGCTACATGTGAAACACGCCTTGTAGGTGAGATTTGTGTTCTTCCTTAGTAATGGTAAATCAAGACCATTATTTGTGTGTGTTAATTTCATTTCAGGGGATCACCATAATTATCAGGGTAGAGGAATCACATCTAAGCGTACCATCTTATTTGCATTCATTATTATGCTCCCCTTCCTCATCACCATCATTGCTCTTGCTGTCCGGAGAGGTGAGTTTTCTGCCTCTTTTCTTAGTGCTTTCTTCCAGGTCTGTCCCAGTCATGACTTCTGTCTGCCATCAGCACTTTGGCTTCTAATAGCCAGTTCACACTTAGCAGCAGCAGATAGGAAAACAGCTGCCTTTGGCTGAATCCATATTATCCATGCTCTTGCCAATGGCTCTCTGGGACTTTGGAGGGGATCTTTCCCAGCTCTACCTGAAGTTGCCAGAGATTGAACCCAAGGCCGTCAGCATGCAAAGCAGATGCTCTTCCACTGAGCAACAAAGCTCCCCCAAGTTGTGTGATTCCTCTACTGCTACTTCCCTTTCCTCTCTCCAAGATGCATCTGAATCCAGGGGCCACAAGAGCTGCTTATTGATTCCTTCTTTGCCCTCCCTCCAAGCCGGAGGTTGAAATGTTATGTGCAGATCACAGTACACAGCAGAACTTTCTCTCTCTTGCAGGGGGGAAATCCAACCAGATTTGCCCTGATGTTTTTTTGAGAGCAACATGCCCAGCTGGCTGGATTTTCTATGAAGGAAAGTGTTACTTTTTCTCAGAAGAAGAAAAAAACTGGACATCTGCCCAGAGCTTTTGCATATCCCAGGGCTCTTCTCTGGCTGAGATTCAGTGTGAGCATGAAAAGGTGAGACCAAGAAATGTATAAATGTTTGTGAGAATTATCTCCTGCACAGCACTATGGAAGAGCTATCCTTATGGAAATATAAAGAGAATCTGTGAGGTAACGTGGCTTTGTCATAGCTTGATGCAAACAAATTATCCATCTTGCAGCCATTATGATCAAGGATAATAGGAATTATAGATCAATTCCCCAGCAAGTTCCCCATCCCTGCTATATACTCTTCCTTCAGCCACTTTCCCATCCTTCTTGAACTCCTTCCTTCTGCTATCTAAGTCTCACTTTCTTTGCATCTCCAGTCTCACTGCCCAGGTCTCTGTCAGAAGTTCGTTCTCCTCCCACAAGTGGCATTATTTGAGGTGGAAGGCTCATTTGGAGGCACTGTTCTAAGCTGTTTGTGTGTTTTCAACCAAGGTGTTCATGCTCCGGTTCAAGGGCGAAGCTGACCATTGGATTGGCCTTCAGAAGGACTTCAATGATACCTGGATATGGGCAGATGGATCAGAATACAGTAACACGTGAGTCCTTGTTCTTCTCCAAATTGGGACTAAGGAGCGACCATGCTGTGTACAGTGAGTGGATCCCAAACCTGAATCTGTAACCAAAAATCACTCCAGAATGTGAACTTCAAGGAATCAGGATTGCACCAAAGCATAAACCTCACAGTAACCTTCCTGATATGTCGGGGTTTCTCACCTCTGACCATACACACAGAAACCATCCACACTGCCGACAAACTCCAGCTAATGCTCTTGAGCTCCTCTGGTGTGGAGAAAGTCCTTGTCTTCCCACTCTCATAAGACTTAAGGTCAATCAATTAAGCTGAAAGGTAGGTGATTCAGGATGCACTAATGTGTTTCTTCACACATTACAAACTATGGAATCGCCTCCCACAAGATGGACAGCTTTAGCAGGGAATTAGACAGACCCATGGAGAACAAGACTGTTGATGGACCCTGATGATGAGTCATATGCTGCCTCCAGGAACTGAGACAGTGTAGCCTTGAATACAAGTTGCTGTGGAACAATCATTGGGGAAGGTTCTAGTAAAAGCATAGGTATTTTATTGATTTCTGGGTAAACAGTGAAGAGAAAGGAAACAATACAAAATATCAAGTACAGATCATCCGTCATACAACCAGAGCACAAAACCACACAGGGTGAAGTTTATCCGTGGATCAGATCTCTCCATAATGTAACAGGTGGTTTGATTAGGGAGGCTGATTTATGAGTATAATCAAGAAACATAAGCCATGTACTCTCACACTTTCTTAATCTGCTATCTAACAATCCTGCTATGCTCCCTGACCGGCCTGCCAGTCATGCAATGTAAGCAAACCATGCAACACAAGCCCCAAATCAATGGATTCAAGTTACAGGAAAGGAGATTCGGACTAAATCTCAGGAAGAACTTTCTGACAGTAAGAGCTGTTTGACAGTCAGACTCCCTTGGGAGGTTGTGGACTCTCCTTTATCGGAGGTTTTTAAATAGAGGTTGGATGGCCACCTGCCAAGGGTTCTTTAGCTGTGATGAGCACAATGGGACTTGCTTTTGAGTAGACATGGCTAGAGGCTTACACCATAAGTCTCTGATATAGAAAGTTATGAAATGATCTGGAACTAAGCTCCCATTTCTAATGGATCTGATTCTTGGCTACATAGTTTATGACACTGTCCCACACATGCAAAACAGAGCAACCAACCTGGCTTGCCCTTTCTTCTTGTGTTGCAGGTTGGTGGTGAAAGGAAGTGAAAACTGTGCCTATCTAAGCAAGGAGTTTGTCATTCCCTCCCCTTGCAACATACCAAAAATGTGGATCTGCAGTCACCCTGATGCGTATATGAGAAATAAAAACTCTACAGCAGGAAAAGTCATATGCCAAGAGGAATTATGGTAAGTCCCAGTTATGTAAGAAATCAGCAATTTCCATTCTGGCCCATTTTAATCACAATCAGCACTATTTCCACTCTGCTGCAGTTTGATTTCCTTCTAATGCTACAATATTCAGCTCACTGTCTACTATGCAACATCGTTTGTGCAACTTGCATTTATTTCTGTGTAAAGGAAACATCAAAACAATGTAAGAAAGTATTTAATGACATACCATTTGCGGACATCAAGACAGCAACAACAATCAGGTGAACAAATACAGATTGTATTCACTTGATTCTCTGACCACAGAGCTGCCACCATTTCTGCTTGCTTTTCTGTTTTTGTCACAATTCTCTGACATGCTTAGGTAAGCCTTTCCATTGTATGACCTAGATACTGTTTCTAGAAGGAAAGGCAGCAAATTGTATGGAAACAATTTTACAGCAAAGCTGGTGTGTGACAGGAGACTACAGATAGGAGTGCTCAGCTCTGACGCTTGTTCACAGCTTCATACAAAACCTCAAATGATCTGAACTAGGCTTCAGTGCCTGCACACTTTCAACCTGATCTTTGTACAACATCAGCTAGAAACTTGTCTTACTTTATACTGAATCTTGAAATCTGTCACCAAGAAGAGAATGGAAAATCATAAGCAGGGACATTGGGCTTCTACATTGAACCTAGCCATTTGCTAACTAAGTGGAGAGGGCACAAGCTGATGATTCATGGATTTATGCCATTCTGCCAGAAATCCATCAAATTTTTCTTCTATTTCAGATTATTAGAGTTGTGAAGATGACCACCTACACAAAAGTTGACTTGGTGCAGGCTCAATACAAGACAAATGTGCAACTCTGCTCTGGTGGCTTACCACAGGAAATTGTCATATGATCATTGCTATAGGATGTTACAATGACCACAAGCATAGGTGGCTTTCAAAGTGGACTGTCCTTGGTTCAAAGAGCACAGGCACATTGACAGCTATTAACCAGGGCAGCCAGGGACTGGACCACCCCATTCAGAGGCAGGTGTACAACTTGGTTTTTATTGGGGGCATATGGCTGGAGACTCAAGAGTACATTATACTGACCCAGACTGGCAGCTCTCATGTTTCTGGCTTACATCATTGTGCAGCACAGTTGGGGATCCTGGGCAAAATATTATCCGACTCCTTTCATTTCATCTGGCATTGTCCAGTGGCTCCTCATAGCCAGACGAAGTGTCCACTAGTGCCATCATGTTTCTGCCATCTGTATTCTGCCAGAAATTGTTTCCTTAATATAGAATCCATGCCTCATCCAACCCAGGGCTGGATTAACCTGCAGGGACTGCCCTGCTTCTCTCTACCTGGCTTGGGGCGGGGCCTGACAGGCTCCATAAAGGAGTGCAGCTGGGCAGAGAGGGCTCCATTTCTGTTTTTGTTTAAAATTGCTCCCTTCATTACTATCAAATAAGGGAGGCTTATAATCTAGATAAAAAGATTGGTTTCCAGGAGGAAAAATCAAAATTGGAGACAGAACTGTTAGATCCTAAAACTAAGAATTTATCAAGAATGTATAACTTGCTGTTGAAATGGAATACACAGGATGAAACGGTTAAATCTGTTATGATTAAATGGGCACAAGATTTTGGACATAATATTATGTTTGCTGACTGGGAACAGTTATGGACCACAGGTATGAAATTTACGGCTTGTAATGCCTTAAGAGAAAATATAATGAAAATGATTTACAGGTGGTACTTAACCCCAGTCAAGCTAGCAAAAATCTATCATTTGCCAGGCAGTAAATGTTGGAAATGTAAAGAGACGGAGGGTACATTTTTTCACCTTTGGTGGACATGCCCAAGGATTAAGGCTTTCTGGGAAATGATATATAATGAACTGAAAAAGGTATTTAAATATACCTTTCTGAAGAAACCAGAGGCCTTTCTTTCTTTAATCTGCTTTTGTTTTATTTTTAACTTAATACATTTATATATTTTTTGTTAAGTTTTCTTTTTTATTCTATTTTATTGTTCTTTTACTTATTTAATTTTTGCTCTGTTATGGTCAAAGTTTTCTTTGTATTCTGTATGGCTTTTCTTTTTTTCTGTGATTTTAAATTTGGAATAAATATTATTTATTAAACAAAATGCTCTTATTTTTTATCTTTGTCATTTTAAATTGTGATTGATATCAATGCTGTATTCTTAGTTTTAGATTTTATGATTTATGTGGAAATGGGTTTCCATTTGATTGTGTACATTTTGACGTGTTTTATTTATTGTTTATGACTTTTGTTATGTTGGTAATTGAGTAGATGTTCTCATGTTGTAAGCTGCCTTGAACATTGTTTTAAATGTGGAAAGGCGGCATACAAATAAAATGATAATGATGATGATTAACCTCAAGCAAACGAAGCATGTACTTGGGGCATGGAGGGAAGGGAGGAGCACAACAGAAATTTTCCGTTGCCAGAAGCAGATGTATTACATAAGATTAGTTTGGGGGATCTGATCAAAGACACTGCAATTAGATAAAAGGAGGAGAAAAAAGATCAAATATAAATAAAGTGGAAGTATACAAAAATAATCATGGTTTTCCATCTTGCTGTAAGCTTTGTTTCATTTTGAAAAATATAATATAATTTTACGTCTTACTCGTTTCACTATTTAGGGTAGGTATATATGGGGCACCCCAATCTTTAAAGTGTTTAGGGCTTCTAAAGGTGTTAATCCGGCCCAACCTATGGGAAAAGAAGGGTTGGGCAGTCTCAGTCACATGCCTGATGTAGGGGAGGAGTCCAGCTGCTGTAACTCAAGCAAAATGAAGGGTGGAAGAGAAAGAAAGGGTGGAAAAGATGGAAGAGGTGCCCAGGGGAGATGCAGGGAACAGGCTGTGTACCTAAGAAGGCTTCTCCAGAGAGATAGGGGGATCTTGGGTTTTACTAGGGTCCCCCTTAAGCCCCACTGTGCATAGCCAGAAAGGGAATGCCAGCAGTATATGTCTACCTAGTCCCCTGTTCACTGGGGAGACAAATGAACCCTGGACGTAAGCCTGCTTTGGTTAAAGGCACTGAAGCAAAATATCTCTGCCCACTTTGGTAAAAGCCTTTTCTGGATCCCTGGGGTGATTCTAGGAAGCTCTACTTGTTCCTGAGATTTGGAATTCACCCTTGAGGAGACAGGACCGGAAAATGGAGACTCTGAAGGGGCCACCTTGGAAGAAGAGGGCTGCTGACAGGAATCTGGCCTAGCGGTGAAGCCAGACATGTACAGCAGACCAGATGTGAACTGATACCTTTTTGGCCAGGTGTGACCTGTGGAAAGCATGGGCAAGTCTCTGTTGATGTTCCCTTTCCCCAGAAGTAGATCACAGCTTCCCACAGCTCAGTCGCTCTGAGAAACAGGATGCTGGAGGAGATAGGTCTTTGTTTTGGTCCAGCAGGGCTCTTCTTAGGTGCTGTACTGATTTAATAGGTGCACCTCTTCTCCTACTATGCTGCTGGGTGCTGAATTTGTGCTTCATACGTAGCTATATTTTTCCAACTGGCAAAGCCGGGTACCTTGTTCTGCTGCGAACAGTATTGCTGGTCTATAGCCACATAGAGATACAGTGGTACCTCGGGTTAAATACTTAATTCGCTCCGGAGGTCCGTTCTTAACCTGAAACTGTTCTTAACCTGAAGCTAATGGGGCCTCCTGCTGCCGCGGCACAATTTCTGTTCTCATCCTGAAGCAAAGTTCTTAACCTGAAGCACTATTTCTGTAACCTGAAGCGTATGTAACCTGAAGCCTATGTAACCTGAGGTACCACTGTAGCATATAGAGACTATCAATCAATGGGCTTCCCAACTGGATTTTACCTAAGTTTTAACTCAAACAAAATTCACTGTCTCATTGACCCTGATCTTGAGAGACCATTGATCGGAGAGCTTTTCTTATATTCCCTAGGGAAAACCTTCTGAAGCAATGTTGCTACTGTTAAGTCCCAGCAACGAAAGGTGTTCCATTCTAAGACTGGGTGTCAATATTTAACTCGACAATTCAATATCTCAAAGGACACCTATAAAACAATGAACAAATGTATTGTGGATTGAATCAATCAGTTAAAAGGCACAAGGTTAATCAAATAAAAATGGGTTACTGGTCCTCAAGAATACCAGATGTCAAATCCCCAGTCCCCAAAACTAAGGGGTCACAGGATGCCAGCAAGTGCAGTTTCTGGCAGAGAAGCAACAGTAGAATCAGGTGGAGGGGTGGCCAAGGACGCTGGTGCAGCTATAATTTAAACAGAGATGCACTCACTGGAATGCATTGGTCTCAACCAATGATTCTTATGAGAAAAGGAAGTCTAAAAAAAAAAACTTTGACAGAGACCACTTGGACCCTGTGTTGCTGAGCGTGCTAGTCGCTGTGGCTTGGAGCTGAACGTTCACCTCAGCAGCTCCTGTTGCTGTAGCTCAGCTTCCTTCCTTTAGTTCACGTTCAGCTTTCTCTGCATGTGTCATGGCTGGGGAAATAGCATGTGCGGACCTAAACATTCAGGAAATGCCTTCCTGTTCAAGGATACCGATGCCTCGTCCTGGCAGGAACTGCAGTAAGTGGCTCACTTAGTCATGTATTTTTATTTTGTGTAGGATAATTAATCTGCAGGTGGGTTGCAGAATCTGAGGTCCTTAGGTGTGTCTTGTGGGTCTCTGCTAAATCCTTGCTGCCCAATGTAGTTGCCTGGATAGTCTTCAGACCGATGCATCCTTCTTTTATTTTAGAAAATTAAACTTAAACTACAAAGGGTAGACATGCTAGAGGTTTACAAAACATGAACAGTATGGAGAGACTAGAAAGGGGTTTGTTTCTTCCTCTCCTTTGCATAATTCTCCAACCTTGAAGTCGCCTAATAAAAATAATTTGAAGCAGGAGAGGCAAATGGAAGTATTATTTTCCTTCACGTATTACGGAATGGGCTCAGTGATGGAATAAAGGCTTTGCCTGCAGAAGGATCCCGTTCATTTTTTAACTAAATAAAAAAAAGATTTTCAATTGTATACCTTTCAGTAATTTTACAATCATTTTAACGTTTTGAAATTCACCTTCCTTCCCCTCTTTCTGCGGATCCTTAAATTTATTTTTTATATTTTCTGCATATTCTAAATTAACTTAACGTAATCATTTATTCATCTACTTTAAATGTATACTCTTATTGAACTGCAGGTTATTATAATAATCCTGCCAGTGTTCTTATCTGTTTACAGTTTGAAATTATTCAATAAAGCTTTTCCATTATTTTATAAAAATGTTTGTTATCTTGATTTCTTATATTTCTGGTAAGTTTCGCCATTTCTGTGTATTCCATAAGTTTTTGTATCCATTCTTCTTTTGTTAGGACTTTCACACTTTAAAGCTCCGTGTTCCTTCTTTTGCCCTGGAGATTTCCGCATGAAAACCTGCTCTTTAAAGCTCAATCAGTACGAACAGCAACCCACAGAAAACCAAATTGATGTTTGTTGTGTTTTAGTTTAAATAGGGTTTTTTGTGTGGGGAAAGCTCCAGGGCAATAAAAGAGCGCTCAGACATGGAGCTTTAAAGTGTGAAAATGTGCCTGGAAAGCAGGAGGACAGGTGGGTGTGGATAAGCCCACATACCTGTAAAAAAGTTTGAGGCCCCCTCCCGGCAGGTATTTAACTGTGGATGTATTCAGCAGCATGTTATTGACGCGAGAATAAAGCATCTGTGGTGGATTTATTCTGCTGGTTTTGTAATGTTTCCCCAATGCCACCACATTATTGCTGCCTGGAGTGCAACAAAAGCAGGGCACACACATACAAATTCTCTCTCACACACACACACCAGAACTTCTGTGACATGAAAAATATGGAATTTCAGCAGGAAGACACAGGATAGGAACAGATTGGAAATGAAACAGTGTTGCCAGCAAAAAAAACCAGCCACCCTCTGCAGGAACAAATAAAATTGAAAGTCAGATTCTTTATGAGGGGCATCAGGAGCATAAATAATCATGAGTGAACAGTAGAAATGAAATCTTCAGGGGGCCAATAACTTGAAGTTTGTTGAAGAGAAGGACATGAGGCAGGAGTTGGTAATGCAGGTGAGCTGTGCATAAGCAAGCTGTCCGCTAGCTCTTCCGAGGCTCTTTTTATTAGCACAATATGCAAAGCCAGTCAGATACATTTTGGACTGTGCCCTTTACATCTTCCAATCACGAGATCGTGGAGTGGTACAAAGTTATTTTGGCACCTGTTTCCACCGCGTCATTTTCCTCTTGAACAATGTATAGCGAAGGAGACAAAGGTCACAGGCAGGGCACGGCAGACCACTAAGAGAGCAAAAGTTAGATAGAGGGCATGATGTTCAGACAGCTGTGACTTTGTCTGCGGGTGGAAGTGTGCTCCACACCTGAAGGTCACATGTTCAGACAGTTGTGGCTTGTCTGCAGGTGGAAGTGTGCTCCACACCCAGCGGTCACTCCTTCATATGTTCCTGTTGATTGGTCCCAGTCAAGAACTTTGCAGCCATGTTCTGAACATGCATATGGCTCTGATGTTTTCAAAACTAGCCCCAGGTATAATGTGTCAATAACCAGCGAGTATCGGTGTTCGGTTTGAGACATTAGAAGTCTTCCTCCACCTGCATCCTAACCACCTGGCAACTTGCATCATTGCAATAAGCTCTGGGCATAAGTGTGGGGCTGCTAAGCAGGAGAGGAAGTCAGGAGTGATTGTATCAGCTGTCCAGGCCAGTGTTTTTGCAGTGCCAGACAGATCAGCTGGGAAATCACCCAGAGCAATCTGGAAAGCCACCAGATCGATCAGTCTCTGAGGGCAGGCAATGTTGTATAAACTGCCCTGCTGCCTTGAGGGAAGCTAAAGTATCTGGTGAGACTGCAGGACTGTGGAGAGAGTATGGTGGTGATGGGAAACTAATTCATGAACCAAGAACTTATATACTGACCACTAATAAAGAAACATATGTTGTAGATATTTTCCCACATTTATAATGCTATTTTTTGTGATATACAAATGACATGAGAAGACTTGGTATACTTATTTGTATACCATTATTCTTTTTTATAAAACCCAAAAAATAAAAAAAAACACTACGGCAGAATGTCATAGCTTCGATTCAGAGAGAATTAGGTTTTCATAATTGCAAACAGAATTCTGTACTAAGAATCTTAGGTTTGATCCATTATCCTTTATAATTTGTGTTCGTCTACTGCATTCAATATTTTAGTTATGTACTGTATAAATAAGTAATAGATTTGATGTAAGTTGATCTTCTATCTATATTAGCTGAATTGCTAGGCTTTTTTTAAAAAAATGAGAGATCTCTTTTGGATCTCCTTTAGAACTGTACAAAAGCTTGTGTCTGTTAAAACTGGCCTGTAGCTACTGAATCTTGTGCTTCTCATGCATTGTAAATGTCATATTTAAATAAACCACTTTGAGTGTAACCCCCCCCCCCAAAAAAACACGCCTCAACTTAATGTTGAATAGGGTTGTTTGTGCAGGCAGTAGATGCCATAATTCATAACGTCACACCAGCATCAGTTGCAATCTCTTTACACCAAAAAGCATAGTTCTTTTATCAACTTTTAATTCTTACAGATGTCCATAAGTATACACAGGGCCTTCGCGTTGCTCTTGGAACTGCCTGCGCTGTGATTCTCCTCCTCACTCTGGCTGTAGTAAGGCTGAAAGTTTTGGGTGAGTAACTGCATGCTTAATGTTGGTATTCCCAAGAATGTTTGCAATCCTGTGCAAGTCCACCCCCATTGAATTTAGTAGCGTTTGCTCCCAGGTGGGAATAGGATTGCAGCTTGAGAATGTGAATACAGGTAAAATTTCCTCGCACAGTCCGCTAAAGGTTATCATCATGGAGACATCCTAGAAGGCTACTGCTAATTTGCTTTTTGTCAAAGGCACCGTAGCAGCTGGTGAATAGAAAATAGAAAATAGTGTGGGCATTTCAAAAACATTTATTTATTTGAGAAAAGATAAATTATGCATCAAATAAGCCCCAGTTCTGTGCTCAGAATAAACTATGGGGAAGTGTATTTCTTATTTTGCAACCCTAAAGATTAGCCCTATTTTCCACCTCTGTATTTTAATTAAAATAATGAACATTATTTAATATTCCTATGAATACTCTTTGATGCCCTGCTTGCTTTGTCCCAGTCAATGTGAGCAGCAGGATTCTTCATAATTTGATGACAGGTTACAGGGTGCCAAACATATGTATCCTTTGTGAATTACATTTGGCTATGTAACAAAACAAAATGGCTATGTTTCTTTTCCTGTGCAACAAAAACAGACTGTATTCCAACAGTTGCCCATAGCATCTTTTAATACTAGAGCTGATATTCAGGATCAAATGCAACACTATAAAATGTATTTAGTTTTGCAGCCTAAACAAACACCAGAGGACACCAGCAGCAGCAGCACTGACTCTGAATTTAAGCTACAGCTGAAACGCTATATGTGCAGCTCTCTAAGCCAGAGCGGAACAGGTAACCTCAGTCACTCATGGATGACTCATGCTTTGTGTATGTGAACCAGAAACACTGTCTGGACGTCAGCCACTTGCATCTTCCGAATGAGATTTACTATCAAAACACCATTTTAAAGTTTTACTTTTAAAATGACACAGAATTCAGATGTATTGACTTCCGCATCCTCCTAGAAGGGCTGCTCAAATAAATTCTCAGCCTAAGTGATTATGCTGTGGCTTGCAAATGTCTTTTCCTATCTCTGTAATGAAAAGAACCTTGCAGGCTTCATTAACCTGCAAACCCTGAGAAGGACCAGGATAGCCAGATGAAGAACTGGAACTGAGACATGTTGAAACTGTTGATGCAAGCAAAACATGATATTATATAGAAAGGAAAATTCCTGGATTCCAAGATCCAAGTTTGGGGCAAAGTAAAGTGTGGAAATATAGACTGTTAGACCTTTAAAATATGTCTTTCCAATTGCGTTCCAAAAAAAGTACCATCTTCCCTCAGCATAGGGAAAGATCCCACGTTTAGTACTTTAAAAATAGTTTACTTACAAACCCTTCAAAAGTCAGGTTCATGTTCTGTTCCATACATCACTCAGAAAGGTTGCACAGGCAGTAAAACTTAGTTTAGTTCCAAAGTGGTGGAAGTTTGTAAATTATTGGTATAGGAGCACAAGATTGGCTTGTGAGTGTCATGCAGCCTGGCTAGAGCAACCAGCTTAGCCTCTTCACACGCTGAGTTCATCAGTAGTGGCATAGCTTGGGGAGGGCCAGAGGGGTGTTGGCCCCGGGTACATTTCCTCCTCATGAAAACTTGCAGCATCACCAAGGCAGCATAAAGTCAGGTTTCCATGTAGTTTCCTCTCAAAAGAGGGAAATGCTTAACTAGCATCTGAGACCATTTGGGATTCTACACGTTACTCAAAACTCCTGGGAAGTTTATTTACTGAAATAAATAAAGCTCCCTTTGCAATGAGACATTTTGTAATATGCAATAAATTCTCAGATTCTCCCAGGACGGGGAAAATAAAAGCATCCATTTATGCACAGAAATATTCTGCCTCTTGCTTTCCCTCTCTACCACTAGAGGATGCCCCAAACTGCAAAATATGTCCCAATGCCTGGGAACTGCACAGGGACATCTGCTACTGGATCTCTCAAGGGCAAAAAACCTGGACTGAGAGCCAAGATGACTGCAAAGGAAAGAACTCCACCCTGCTTGTGATTCGGGACCAGCAGGAGATGGTAAATATGCAGCTTATGAGAAACATCTAGCCAACAGGGATTCAGTGAAGCAAAGCCCACAAGAGACTTCTGGCCAGGGATGTGGGACCTGTGGTCCTTCTATTGTTGGACTTCAGCTCCCATAAGTCCTAACCATCCGTCAAGATGCTTTATTCCTTAACAGCACATGTAACTTTGCTCAATGACATTTGTATAGATCTTGTAAGTGTTCAGAGGGATTTACATGCATGATCCAATTGTAATCCTTATAGCAACCTTTTTAAATGCTCAATATTATTATGTTCCGTAGTGCATTTGGAAGACTAGAGGCTCAGAGGGTAGCTTGCCTAAGGCCACCTAGTGTGTTCATGTTATGGCAGAGGTGAAATTTGAAATATGGACTTCCTGGTTCTGATTTCATTCTCTTCACCCTCCAATGGTGTGTATAAAAAGTAGCAAAAAAATGCACTTAAATTGCAATCCATCCATCCAATCCCTTGAGCCTTGCTGTCAATCCTGCCTTGGCCTAAAAGCTGCTTTAGCCAGTCACTGCTGAAATCAGATACACATCTCCACAATATTAAATACACATTAGTTAAAATGCATGCAAATTTGTACAGAAGGTGCTTATACGCACATACAGAAGTAGGGGACCCCCTCCTTTACTCAGCTAAAAGATTTCCACCCGGGTCAGTTGAAGATGGCCAAGGAGCAGGATGTGGAGCAATGAAGAGCTCCATAGAAATGAAGCTGATGGAACTGAGCATGAACTGTTGATTCAATGGTCAGAATGGCAACATCCAGTGCTATTTTTCTAGAAAAAGAGGTGCCAGAACTCACCATGAAGACCTCCCTTGTTTTCTTATAATGGTAACGGTGACCACCTTAGAGGTGCCAGAACTGAGGTCCGGCAAGTTCCAGCTGAAAGAAAAGCCCTGGCAACACCCTTGTCTGTTCCATTATAGGCAATCATAAAGAATTTGACAAAGGAAACCTCGTATTGGTTGGGACTCAAAGCAGCCAGACTCTCTGAAGAGTGGACCTGGGAATGGGTTGATGGATCCCCCTTCAAGGGAGAACTGTGAGTAGTTCCAGGTGTGCACAGATAATTTCTGTAATTTTTTATTTTTTTATTGATTTGCATGCTAGCAAAGAAGCATAGACCTAGTGATGTAAATAAAGCACAGAAATGAAAAAAGTGGGAGGCCTTAACTACAACCTTCAAATCAACACATACACAAAGGCTGAACTACCAATATAAATAAAAGAGATGCCTTTACTGATGCCAAGGTATAAGTTTCCATCTGTCCCAAGAGGCGTCTGGTAACATCTGTTCGGATTATTTTTATTTATTAAATATATACCCACAGGTCTCAGTACATTTACAACTTAAAATCACAATATGAAAACACAAAATACATTTTTATAAAAGCAGCCCAAGAGCCCCCCCTTCTCCCCAATAAATTTTAAAAGGGCATTGGATGTCAATCAGCTGCATGTCAGTCAGCTGAGGATAAATAGCTCACCTCTTGGCATGAAGGGAAAGGTTTTGATGTGAGAATGAAAACAGTATCCTGATACTGAATGACACAGTCTTCTCTCTCTCGTTTTTTTGTTGTTGTTTTTTTTTAAAAGCAACAACAAATTGTTTCCTTTATTTTGCAGGTTTACAGTATCGGACCCTGCTAAAGTAAACAGCTGTGGGTTGATAAGGCGAAACAGTGTTAATTCTAACGCTTGTAGTACTTTATCTAATTGGATGTGCATGAAAGCAGCTTTCCCAATATAAGCACAAAATGGGGTCAAGTGTTGGAAGTAAGAAACCATCTCTTTCTGAACAATGAGTTGCCTACTGACTTCTTGTGCAGCTTGCAAGATCGCCTCCAGCCCAGAATAGTCTGCAGTTGCCAGGATGCTCCTTAACCGAAAGAAGCCAAAAGCCCTAGTAATAACTTGTGTATTATGGGTAAGGTTTTATGCCCCAAATAGGCAACTGTCATAAAATTCAAGCTTGGAACAAAGCCCGTCAGTTTGTCAGTTCCTCTGAGTTCCCTATCATTGCTTTCTATTAATGTAATACTATTATAAGGCAATTAAGTGAAGAATCTGAAGTCAAAAGCAAAGGGAAGTTCACCAGATATTAGGTAAAGGTAAAGGTAAAGGACCCCGGGCTGTTAAGTCCTGTCAAAGGCGACTATGGGTTTGCAGCGTTCATCTCGCTTTCAGGCCGTGGGAGCCGGCGTTTGTCCACAGACAGTTTTCTGGGTCATGTGGCCAACATGATTAAACCACTTCTGGAGCAACAGGGCACCGTGATGGAAACCAGAGCACACTGAAATGCCATTTACCTTCCTGTCGCAGCGGTACCTATTTATCTACTTGCACTGGCGTGCTTTGAACTGCTAGGTTGGCAGAAGCTGGGACTGAACAACGGGAGCTCACCCCGTCGCGGGATTTGAACCACCGACCTTCTGATCGGGAAGTCCAAGGGGCTCAGTGGTTTAGACCACAGTGCCACCTGTTCCTTACCACCTTTATCAGATTTTACTCTATGCCAGGACTGCATATTTTCTCCCAAAGCAAGTATCCTTATTTTACATTTCCCCCCCATGGTTTCAGATAATATGTGTAATGCCACTCCTTTTTAAAAATAAATAAATGAAACCACAAGACAACAAGCTAAGAGTTCTGTTAACACACCGTGTCTTTGCTTCACCAGCGTTTCGGGAAATGAAAAACTATTACATTTTCCACTGTAAAGAGCATAGCAGAAATTCTGAGAAGTGGCCAAGTGTTCAGAGGCCACATTTCCTGTGTGGCTGTTCTCCTCCTCCTCCTTTTATCTAAGCATTGGTCAGGGAGTGCACCTTTTCATTCATAGTTGAATTTGGTTCTCAGTTTCAGAAAAGGTCTATTATTCTGTCAGTCTTTTGCCAGTTAAGGGGTTGTTTCACCTGTTGAGGAATCGACTATAAAAGTGTATTTCCAAATAGAGGATGAGAAGGCTTTGTGGTGCATAGATTTCAACCAATCATAGATCAAAGAAGACAAACCCTTCTGTTGCAAGTGCAAGGTAAATGTTTCTATGAGGAATTAAAAAGTGGATTAAATCAAGAACTTTATTTCCTTCAAATATGTTCACGTTTCTGCCCATCCAGTGGCCAGACATAACTGCTTTGAGAACCACACGCTACAAAAAGGAGTATGAGTGTAATTTAAATAAAAGGATTGCCATATCTATCAGGGCACAAAGCTGTGGGTTTTTCACTGCCAATCACAAGGCCAAATCCCAGCATTTCCATTTTCTGAGAGGCTGGAGAGTGATTTGGCAGCTGTCTATTCGTGCGTCTTCAATAGGGGCGGACTGTGTCGTGTGATCAAACCAATCTACCTCAGCTCTGTTTGCCATCATCTTCCACCCTTGGGAAGATTCCTGGTTCAAGATCTAGGTTCCTGAAGAGGGAGGCCAGACTGAAGACTTGGTTCTGTGGCAGGAATGGGATTTCTGGACCTTGGAGAGAGTGCCATCCTAAGAACGGGTTATGCTGTTGGTCATTAGGCAACATAGCAAGCAGAAATCAAAACTGTGAAGGCTGGGTTGGCTCCACAGCTTCTGCCTGTAGCACTTGCAGAAACAGATGCAGGCAGAAGCTGGAGATCTATTCTAGATCCTATATATATAGTGTATATATATATATATATATATATATATATATATATATTTACATGAAATTTCCCAAAAAACCAAAAACACACACAAAATATGTTTTCTCATCTTATTCAGTGTTTTGGACTTCCATCAACCACATCTGAAGATTTTTCAGTGCTTATCACTTATGAAATCCTTATCTGGCTTTCAATAATTTTACTATTACTTTTAATAGTCCTTCACTCATAATTCTCTTCATACTTTTCTCTGCAATATTTCACACAGTCCTCCTTACAAAACTTCTTGCAATCCTACTCGCGTAATCTGTTGATTACAATTGCTTTTCAGATAGTTCACATATTGACTCCAGCCCTCTGAGAATCTCTGATCCCGCAGGTTTCCAATCCTTCCTGTCATCTTGTCTAATTCTGCATAGTCCAGTAATTTCGTCTGCCATTTCTATTTCGTTGGTAATTGTTCTCGTTTCCATTTCTGTGCCAATAGTACTCTTGCTCCCTCTGCTAAAGCAACCTGCAGAGAAGCAGCAGGGTGGAGAGATGATGATGGAAGGGAGAAGAAGGGAAGCAGACAGAGAGAGACACAAGCAGAACAGAAAGCAGAACAGAAAGGCTAGCCTTTCTGTTCTGCTTGTGTCTCTCTCTGTCTGCTTCCCTTCTTCTCCCTTCCATCATTGTCTCTCCACCCTACTGCTTCTCTGCAGGTTGCAGTAGCAGAGGGAGCTGGGTTGCTGCTACCTGCTCCTTCCTTCTTTTTTTTTTTTTTTAAATAATTTTTATTAAAGTTTTAAACAACAAAGAAATAAAAGAAAAACATACACAATACATATAACAAAAACACAAAAACAAAAACAAAACAAAAGTAAAATTCAACAATAAAAATAAAAAAAAATAAAAATTAAAAGCAATATCTCTGTTTGATTTCCACTTTTTAGTTGCTTATTTTCTGGACTTCCTCATACCTCCCTCTTTTGTATTCCAATCCAAATTATTTGTCCAGCAGTTTCTTTTCCACTTTTTTAATCCCAATCTTTAATTTAATAAGATATTAAAATATATAACTTCAACTTCTTTAAACCTAATCCTTGGTCCTAATATCATATACCATTAAAATTTTCCCTCTTAATATCAAATTTCCATTTCTTTAAACATCTTTAATCTTAATCTTTAATCTTAGTCTATCATTAACTTTAACCTGTACAGCTGGAAACCTCTTGTTTTCAGTCCAACATCACTCTAACATTCCTTAATTTTGCAGTGTTTCTGAAGATAGTCTTTGAATTTCTTCCAATCTTCCTTCATCGACTCTTCTCCCTGGTCACGGATTCTACCAGTCATTTCCGCCAATTCCATATAGTCCATAAATTTCATCTGCCATTCCTCCAGCGTGGGAAGTTCTTGTGTCTTCCAATACTTTGCAATGAGTATTCTTGCTGCTGTTGCCCATAAAGAAAGTTCTATCCTTCTTTACCTGCTCCTTCCTTCTCACCACGACCCCTGTTTTTTTAGTGTGTACACCCAGTGTGGCGTAGTGGTGTAGTGGTTCAGAGCGGTAGACTCGTAATCTGGGGAACCGGGTTCGCTCCCCACTCCTCCACATGCAGCTGCTGGGTGACCTTGGGCCAGTCACACTTCTCTGAAGTCTCTCAGCCCCATTCACCTCACAGAGTGTTTGTTGTGGGGGAGGAAGGGAAAGGAGAATGTTAGCCTCTTTGAGACTCCTTCGGGTAGTGATAAAGTGGGATATCAAATCCAAACTACTCTTCTTCTTCTTCTTCTTCTTCTTCTTCTTCTTCTTCTTCTTCTTCTTCTTCCCATCAGTACACTAGCCACTGCATTCTGCACCAGCTGAAGCTTCTGCACCAGGCCCAAAGGCAAACCTCCCATAGAGCACATTTCTGTGATCTAGTCTTGAAATTACCAATGTGTGGACTACAGTGGCCATGCAATCCCAGTTCTGATATGGCTACAGCCAGTGTATCAGACAAAGCTGGTAAAGGCACTCACAACAACAGAGGTTGCTTGAGCCTCTCATGGCAAAGATGCACCCAGGAGTAAGGTAAAGGTAAAGGGACCCCTGACCATTAGGTCCAGTCGTGACTGACTCTGGAGTTGCAGTGCTCATCTCGCTTTATTGGCCAAGGGAGTCAGCGTACAGCCAGCATGACTAAGCCGCTTCTGGTGAACCAGAGCAGTGCACGGAAATGCCGTTTACCTTCCCGCCAGAGCGGTACCTATTTATCTACTTGCACTTTGACGTGCTTTCGAACTGCTAGGTTGGCAGGAGCAGGGACCGAGCAACGGGAGCTCACCCTGTCACGGGGATTCGAACTGCCGACCTTCTGATTGGCAAGTCCTAGGCTCTGTGGTTTAACCCACAGCGCCAACCACATCCCTTGCACCCAGGAGTACCCACAAGTTATTTACAGGCAACAACCATTTCCCGCATGTTCAAAGCACACATGCATCGCTGTAGACCCAGAAGTGAAGGAAAAGGGGTGGAATGGGGTTGGGGCATAGCGGGGAGGGGTGGGCTTACATGTGCTCCACCATTGCGTGCGATGACCCAGAATGCAACCCCACCACCACGGGGTTGCCATCTGTCACGGCTGCTTTAGTTGAGATTACCGCATTGTAGGGGGCTGAACCCTTGGAAGTACCTTCCAACTCTTTGATTCCCAGGGCTTCCGCAGCCTCTCCCGATACAGAACTTAGGGAGCTACATGTCATTAGAGTGCTGATGGCACCATATTCCAGAACTCCCAATGGCTTCATATTAAGTAGAACTGGAGGCAGAAGGTGCCCTACAGAACCCAATAGCACAAATAGCACAAATGCCAGGGGTTCAAAGAGCACTATCTCAATGCTACTCTCTGGACTAGACCACACATAGGAATGGAACCACTTGTTCCCAGGGGTCCATCTGTTTGCACATACGTGTCAATGGCATGTCTAAACCCACATATGTGTATAGACTTGATGTACACTCTCGAGAGGAATGGAGCCTTTTGCATGGGGCCAGGATATGCGTCCATTTAAAATGTGTGCATGCCTTTAACACTTTTGCCTAATCAAGAATTTGTCATATGAGGAAGTTGTAAGGATTTGGTTTATTACATGGAAATGCACACTTGATTTTCTTCTTTCACCTCCAACAAAAGACCCAAGACAACAGCATGATTAAGCCAAGCTGGCCATTCTCTGTTTCAAAGAGAGGAAAAGCTGCACTTGATGAAGACTTGGAAAATTTAGTTGGTCCAAAAGTGCAGAGACCAGATTACTGGCTGGAGTTCTCATTTGGATCTCCTATGTTGCCTGTTCACCCCAGTGGATCTTGGGTTAGGATGGCGCCCTAACTTCTGCTCCTTGTATAAGTATCAGGCTGGCTACAGATCCAGTTTCTTGCTACCTGACAATCTGACACGTCAATGTCAGTGCTCAGAAATGCACACCTTCCGTCTTCTTTCAGCTCCAACCTGCAGCAAAAGAACCAAGAAAACAGAATCAAGCCAAGGGGGCCATTCTCTGTTTCACAGAAAGAGGAAAGTGTCCAAAATGACATATCTCAGAGCACAGATGTATTGTACTTCTGTCTGTGCTCATAGGAACCTTAAGACTGACTACAGTGGTCCCTCTTTAGTGATAAGAGGTAGGGCCTCCTTGGTGCTGGCACCAGCAGTTAGGAATTCTCTCCCAGTTGTCTATTATACAATTTAAAAATATTTTTTTAATATCCATCTAGAAATGGGAAAGTATGTCAACAAGGTCCTTCATCTTCCCATTTTAAATGGACATATGTATAAAATCACAGATATTCCTCACTTGGGAGCCAGTGTGGTGTAGTGGTTAAGAGCAGTGGACTCGTAATCTGGGGAACCAGGTTCGCTTCCCCGCTCCTCCACATGCAGCTGCTGGGTGACCTTGGGCCAGTCACACTTCTTTGAAGTCTCTCAGCCCCACTCACCTCACAGGGTGTTTGTTGTGGGGGAGGAAGGGGAAGGAGAATGTTAGCCGCTTTGAGAATCCTTCGGGTAGTGATAAAGCGGGATATAAAATCCAAACTCTTCTTCTACTTAATCTTGCCTACTTTTTAATAAACATTTAAGCATGCTGTTTTGTCCTGATTACAGTGTTGCTGTGGTTCTACTTGTAACAGGTTTCTAGTGCTATTGCATTTTTATTTTGTGTATGTAAGCTTCTGCAATGAGCTGGTGAAAGTTGTGCTAGAACTCATTACAAATAATAAAAAAGATATTTTGCTAACTCTCTGTGTTTACTTCATATCTACACAACATACTTCTCTTCTCTGCATGGTCAGGGCTAGTTTGATCTTTCCAAGGCAGGAAACATGAACCCTTCCTTCTTCATTCTCTATTCCATTGGTTGTTCCACAAGAGTCCCCCACACCCACCCATCACAATTTTGATCCCAACCCTCCCTAACCACATCCCTTTGTGGTACATTAGTTTGAGAATTGGGTTAACATCTAATAGTATCTAAGAAATATTATATCCATGTCCAAATGTGGAACAATGGCAGATCTCTTTCTAGGCAATTGTCAGGCTACTTGTTGGTTTCCATCCCAGAGTCCAGACACTGAAGAGAACAAGGACTCACATGTTCTTGAATTCTTGCCCATTTCCCCATTTCCAGGTTTGTCCAGAGTCCTTCCTCAGGCCAATCCAGTGACCAGTGTCCCTGATGTAGCGCAGAATGAATGCCTTAAAGCCACACAAAATTCAGATTTAGAACTGCTGTCTTCAAAGAAATCCCTTCTTATCCCTCTATGTTGGTGAATGAATGAATGAATTTATTAATACGGTCACAGACCAGCGCCAACACACACAACATCACAGATCATAAAAATATATATAAAAAATACAAAGGGCAATATAAGTATAACAAGCATTTAAATATAAAAATTAAAATTAATTGTTATTAATTAAAAAATTAAAATTAATTATTATTAATTAAAAATTAAAATTAATTATTAGCATGCCCCTGCTATCAACACTTGGGGGTTTGGTCACCATGGGATACCACTTGCTTCCTGCGACTAATTGCAGCCGCACAGAATTTGGCTACATTTAATGTAGTCCTGGGATTCTTGTCCTCTAGCAGCGGTTCCAAACCATGGTGTTCCGACTCCTCCCGGACTTCCGCAAAACAGGAGCAATAAAAGTCGAACGTATGTCCTCATAAAAACGACAACGCAACAGTACATGTGCAGCAGACTCAACCTCCAACGAGCCACAGGGGCAGACCCGCGCTGCGTATGGTTTACCCTCAAATCTGCCCTGAAGTAAGGCAGAAGGGAGAACGTTGAATCTGGCGAGGGTAAAAGACCGTCTGTATTTAGGTACCTGGAGACCTGACAGATAGTTAGCTGGAGAAAACCTCTCCCATAGTCCCTTATTGCAGGATGTTTGATCATTTCACTCATGTGGCATTGTAATTCTACATCCCAGATACGCTGGCGAATTGTGGTCCTAGCTTTCTCGAAGCCTGTGGCTATCAGGGTCTGCTGTGGGATCCCCAAGCCTTTAAGCTTTTCCAGCAGTGTAGCCTTCCATCTGGATTGGTAGGTATCCAATAAGGTCAAAGGTGCCAGCCCAACCGGGAAGAAAATAAGCTTTAGCCAGTAATGGATCTTCAATATCCATATCCGGGTACTGATCGGAATTTGCCCAACCTCCAAACGGACTGCTATGTTGGATACGCAAGAGGGATCCCCAGCAGGCAGCGGAAAAACTTAGTTTGAAATGCCTCTAGGAGAGTAAGGTTTTTAAAACTGCAGATCTGGGATCCATATAACAATTGTGGTAGTATTTTGGCAGCAAAGACCTGGGAGGCTGCCGGTATGTACTGGCCTCCTTTCCCATAGAAGAATCTTATTGGTGTGATTCCATGATTCTGTAGTGAAGCTGATCTTAGCTGGCTGCCTATACAGCAGCAGCATGGGGTGGGTGATGTGGTGGCCGCACTCTGTATTTGCCAGGATGAGAATGGTACCTCTGGTTATGAACTTAATTTGTTCCAGAGTCCGTTCTTAACCTGAGGTACCACTTTAGCTAATGGGGCCTCCCACTGCTGCCGCGCCGCCGGTGCGCAATTTCTGATCTCATCCTGAGGTAAAGTTCTTAACCTGACTTCTGGGTTAGTGGAGTCTGTAACCTGAGGTGTTTGTAACCCGAGGTACCACTGTACATGGATTCTGTATTACCATCAGCCCTGCTCACTGTAATACTTGTTTAAACATTTATCTACAATGATGTACATCATAGGTGACCCAACGACATCCTAGTCCTTCGTCACCTTTCCAAAATCCTGCATATCAATATATTTGAAAACATGGCAAACAAAATGGTTGCCCGGCGGCTGAGATGGAGAATTTGCTCATGTCCCAAGTTATGACGATTCAAGATGAATCAAGAGTTGACTTTGTGTTTCTGTCAGGGCTGTATAGCAGTAATTATCTCACAGACTTAATAGCCTCTCAAATGTCATTGGTTGGACGTACCTTTTCTTGCTCACTGTCAATCACAGCCAGGACGGAATTATGTGAATCACAAAATATCTGACTGGAAGCCCAATCTCCTTTTCCTCTGAGAAAAAGTAGCATTTTCCCTCATAGTTGATCCACGAATCTGGACAGGCTCGAACAGATGACACCTCACAGTATGGCTGATTAGTATACTGTGCTGCAAATGTAAGAGAAAGAAAACTCTCCTCTGAACTTGCCTCTATTATTATTATTATTATTATGTATTATTATTATTATTAGATTACCAATGAGTAGATATGATCATAAAATGATGAATATTTGTGCAGAATTCCACCCCCTTACATTCACACCTAGCCCAAGACATTTTGCCACCTGAGGCGAACTACAAATGGTGTGTCCCTTCCTGACAGGGAAGAAGGGGTGAGTGAAGATATACATCAGGAACAAGCAGGGAGGGAAATCAAATCAACCTCACCTGATGGTTGAAGTGGGAATCAAAGGCTCGTTGTGATGGGGAAAGGGATCTGAATCATGCCAGGAGACCCCAGAGGACAGCCCTTGCCATTTCTTCCCTAGGGTAGCTGAGCAGGGGTTGCTGTGGCTTCTCCACTTGGCAGACCTAGCACTGGCACCCACCAGCAGCAGGGGGCAATGGCCAGCGGGCAGAGGCCTAGAACAAAGCACTAAAAAATAATAATAATTCAGAAAACTCACCTGCCCACCAAACTATGAATAGGATGCTTATGAGTACAGCTATGATAATAGTTCTTTGTTGATTCTCTGAAAGGAAATAAAACAGACAAATGAGGAGGGCCGTGCTAATGCCTAGAATGGGGCAAGGAGAATATATAATTTATTTTATCTCAGTGGCATTTTGCAGTTCTGGTCATAGGAACAAAATGAACAAATTTGGGGAGGGGAGGAACTACCAAACTGTAAGAAAACGAGGGAAACTGCAAATGCACAGAAGTACGCTTGATTTAACCTAACAGCACGGCCGGCCCTACTGTTAGGCAGCCAGTTTTGGATATCATGAGAGAGGGTGCAAATTATTCATCACTGAATGTATTATAGTTGCTGTTATTTTTGCTGCTCTGCCTCAGGCACCAAACATGTTTCCATCTGATTCCCCCCTCCCCTCCTTTATGACACTACATAAGCCAGGGTTTTTTTTTTTGCTTTTGAAATGTTAAACAGTTCTGTGATATCTTCTGGTTTCTTAGCTTTCTCCCCATCTTGTGTAGAAAAATCACAGATGATTGGGCATAAAAGCATGCATATTCATGCTGCCCCCCCCTTCCCCAGTGCTGGAATGTGACAGCTCTGGTAAATCAAAAGTGGCTTCTTGCTGGTCTTCCCCACTCAAATGTTCTCCTGCCCGGACCTCTTTTGAAGACGGACAGAGCAGCAGTGTAATCAACCTGCTCCTCTATCATGTGCTATTTTTTTAAAAAAACTTGATATAGATATACAGTGGTACCTCGGGTTAAGAACTTAATTCGTTCTGGAGGTCCGTTCTTAACCTGAAACTGTTCTTAACCTGAAGCACCACTTTAGCTAAGGGGCCTCCTGCTGCTGCCGCGCCACCAGCGCACGATTTCTGTTCTCATCCTGAAGCAAAGTTATTAACCTGAAGCACTATTTCTGGGTTAGCGGAGTCCGTAACCTGAAGCATATGTAACCCGAGGTACCACTGTAATGTGGTCCTCCAATATTCAATAGTATATTGAGGTCCCCCTATTCAGTAGTATTTTGTTTCCAGTGTCTCACAGTGTCGTACGGCCTTTCATACACACCTTGCATTGCAGGTCCTTCATTTGCTCTTGCTTCGGGATGATTCCTTAAATAAAAGAACATGCTTGATCGGATTGTGGGTCTTTCTAATCTATCCGCATTGCTCTTATTATTCCTTGCACTCCTTTGTTGTTTGGTGGTCCCACTGGATCTCCTTTGAGCTAGCCGCCGTGAAACATCTCTTTCCTTGATGGTTGCAGCTAGTTCTCAGACTCCATCACAAGTAAATGTGAAGATGTGACCCACTTTGCATTCACTCAAACTGAACTGCACTTGCCATTTCATTGCCTAGTTTCTCCTATCTTAAATTGCTCTGCTGTTGGGTACCTTTGGAGCGCTTTATACAGTGGTACCTTGGGTTAAGAGCTTAATTCGTTCTGGAGGTCTGTTCTTAACCTGAAACTGTTCTTAACCTGAGACACCACTTTAGCAAATGGGGCCTCCCGCTGCCGCTGCGCCGCAGCCGCACAATTTCTGTTCTCATCCTGAAGCAAAGTTCTTAACCCGAGGTACTATTTCTGGGTTAGCAGAGTCTGTAACATGAAGCATCTGTAACCTGAGGTACCACTGTATTCTGCTTGGGGTTGTTGTCGTTTTTTAAAACAATAAACAATGCTTTGCTGTTGTGTTCCCCTTTGCCCTCTTCCCAAACTCAACAGTCATTACTGAATAAATCCAGTAGAAATAATCCCTTGGTGGACCCCACTGCATATTTCTCCCAATTTAGCTCTGTCTAGACCCTGAGAAGCAGCACCAAGGACCTTCTGGCAGTTCCCTCACTGCAAGAAGTGAAGTTACAAGGAAGCAGGCAGAGGGCCTTCTCGGTAGTGGCACCTGCCTTGTGGAACGCCCTCCCATCAGATAAGGAGATAAACAGCTAACTGACATTCAGAAGACATCTGAAGGCAGCCCTGTATAGGGAAGGTTTTTAATGTCTGATGTTTTACCGTGTTTGTATATCCTGTTGGAATCCATCCAGAGTCGCTGGGACAACCCAGTCAGATGGTCAGGGTACTAATAAAATTATGATGATGATGATTACTTTTATACTTTGTTCTTCAAATAGTAAATTGGAGGAAACCTACTCCTGCATGAGTTCAAATGTGGGGGTATTTTTGGTAAGGGATTTTGCAAAAGTAGAGAGAGAGAGAGAGAGAGAGAGAGAGAGAGAGAGAGAAATGTTTAATGGATCAGCTTTATCTACATGTTTGTTAAGAAGGATTCAGAAAGACTGTTTTTGTTTTTTGAAAGTATGTGTCATTTTCCTCTTCCTGGTTGGTTGTTTGTTTATTTGCTTAGTAATTCTAGGTTTTGTAATGCTTTCCACAAATCTATGTGAGATACACATTAAGTGCATGGGCCTGTGATTTCCTGATTCTCCCCAAAAAATAGCATTATAAATTTGGGGTGTGTGTGTGTTAAGCTGTATGCCAGACTCCTCTAATCCCTGGATCCAGCAAGTGTTAAAAGCTAACCAAGCCTTCTAATTCCTGGAATAGCCAAAGTAGCTTCCTGGCGAGGCAATGGGGTATTAAGCAGCTTGTGCCAGATGGAAAATGAATTTTGCCACCTCCCTCAAGAGACAAAACCAGAGCTGAGGACAGAAAGTTGCAGGGATGTGAGCCAGAGGAAAAGCAGCAAGCTGGAGAGAGAGTTGGGGCAACATTTTATTTGTTTTTACCTTCTCTGGCGTAGGACATTTCTCTGTGGCTGACCATCGCCCATTTCTTCCTTCAAGACAGCAGGACCTGGACTCTCCTGTCCAAGGTCAGGAGAGTTGGAACTGGCAGCCGGGCCCCAGCTGAGCTCTGATATGACAGTAGTTGGATCTTTGGTTACTATTTGATTCAGTCTTTCAGGCTCCCTCCCTGAAAAACGTGGCTCAGCCATGGCCTTCTGTTTGATGTGCCCACATTCCTTCAATGTTCTTTCACAGTCTTTGAAACATGGCCCCCACCCCCTTCTTTGACTTTTCTCCCTTCCATCCCATAATTCTACTGTTCACTACCCATAGCTGTCAAGCGTCCCTTATTTGGCGGGACAGTCCCTTATCCCAGCGCCATGTCCCGCTGCTGTCCCTTATTGATGATGACCCTTAAATAAGCTACTGAAGGTAATGGGGCCCTTTCTATGTCCAGCTGTCCTTTGTCAACAACAAATTGTTGCTGTTTTTGTGTGTTGAATATATGCTATATGGTAATTTATGGACCTAATAGGTATCTAAAGCCATTTGCATGCAACAAAATATGTATTTTATCAAAGTAATTGTTGATCCTTTATTTTGGCTGCTGATCCCTTATTTTCAAATCTGTAAGTTGACAGCTATGTCACTACCCCTTCTCTGCAAACCACCATAAGAACAAATTCATAATCATGTAATGAAGAGACAATGCAACAGCAAATAATAATAATAATAATAATAATAATATATAATAATTTGTACCCGCCCATCTGGGGTTTCCCAGCCACTCTGGGCGGCTTCCATAGAAACAACAAATACAGTAAAATATCACAGATTAAAAGCTTCCCTGAACAGGGCTGCCTTAAGATGCCTTCTAAATGTCAGGTAGTTATTTATTGCTTTGACATCTGATGGGAGGGCATTCCACAGGGCGGGCGCCACTACCGAGAAGGCCCGCTGCCTGGTTCCCTGTAGCTTTGCTACCCTGGAGTTGCATTAAGTCAGGGAGGGGAGCAAGAGGGAAGGCAAGCTAAACAACAGCAGTTGCTGTAAATATGCTATAGAGTTTGGATTTGATATCCAGTTTTATCACTACCCTAAGGAATCTCAAAGCGGCGAACAATCTCCTTTTCCCCTTGTCCCCCACAACAAACACTCTGTGAGGTGAGTGAGGCTGAGAGACTTCAAGGAAGTGTGACTAGCCCAAGGTCACCCAGCAGCTGCACGTGGAGGAGCGGGGAATCAAACCCGGTTCACCAGATTACGAGTCCACCGCTCTTATCCACTACACCACACTGGCTCCTTGTACTTATACTGTACTTCAAACCAGCAAAGCAGTTCCACAGGGACATTAAGTAGACACTGTAGCAACACCAAATCACATTACTCTCATTCACACAATCCCACTCTTTCCCTGATTGTCTTTCTACTTACCAGTTTAGAAGCTATTTGGCTCCAGCAGCAAACTTCAGAATTGCAGAAGCTGGAAGGAAGCTGCCACCCGTTGTTTTGCTGTCCTGGGTGCTGTCAGAGTGCTCTCCTTGATATTTGTTGTCTGAGTCACTCTTCTCAGTTGTGGAAGAGAAAATGAGCAGCTATAGAAACAGTGACAGGGAGAGACAAGCTATGTTTGCTTGAGGAAAGTGGCAATGCAGGGTGTGGTCAAATTCCGATATGAGCTTGCTTTCACTTAACATGTTGGACTTTCTGGAACAGATGTCAAAGTCAGGTCATATGGTGCCTTTTACAGCTGCTCAAGACCTTGGCAGCAGATCAAATTCACGGTTATAGGGCATTGAAGCCATCCTTCAGAATTTGTGCTTGCAATGCAGCTTTCCTGCCAAGTCTTCTGTACAAATGCACTTATTAGGGGAAACTGTGCAAAAATGCAAATACTAGTGAAAAGAGCATACAAGAATGCATTATATAAGGGGCTTAAGACAGCTAAAAATTGTGTATTTTAGGCAAAATTTCACAGAAAGATGTGTTTATTCAGACAGATTAACAGTAAAATGCTGGTGAATTTTCAAAAGGGCTTTTAAAAAATTACTAACGGATGTGTAAATGTGGAGAACTGAATTTAAGAGTGAGAAACAAAAAATGACAGATTAGCCCAACTGTTGTGTGGGGTCCCTATCTGCAATTGCATTTCTAGTGTGCGTTCCCTAAAAATAAGTTGTGAACATAGTTGATGGTCCATCAACTTTCACAGCACCTTCTCAATCTGTGCACTGGTTGCCTGTCTTGCTCCAAGCACTGATATTTTCCCACTGTTTTATTCCATTTCACTTTTGTCGGGGCCAGCCGTACAAATGGCGAAGTTTAGCATAAAATTATGACACAGAGAGCCAGCAATATTTTCATGATGGTAGGAGCAGCTCCTTTTCCTCCCTCTCCTCCTGCAAACTTCTTTATCTCTTTGTCTCTCTCCAGCCGCATGGCTGTTTGCCAGTGTCTCACGTTACCTCATCCGGTCAAGGCTTTATTGCCCCCTTCACCGTATAAGGTCAATCACTGCCCAGAGGAAACACAGCTCCAATACATTCCATTACATTGTAAAGCTCAGAGTGCTGGTCAGCCGAGGTCAGGGGGCACCCTGCAATATTACAAGCCTTTACCGTGGCTTTATGACTCCCACATGCCCTCTTTCTTTACTTTATATCAGAGTCAATACGCGATATCGAGCGCGATAAGCGACTCTTGTGACACCGGAAGCGGGCTGCGGACTGGAGAACCATGCAGTACATATAGAGATTATAGAAAGAATACATTGGATACAGCAACACAAAATAATGCAAATAACTACTATAATGATCACTAAAATCAATAACTACTATAATGATCACTAAAATCCGGAAGCCAAGAATATAAGAATTCTGATTCCAAGCTGCATGGTAGGCTTCCTTTTAGTTTATTAGCCATGCACTGGTGTCACTCCTATAGCACTGAGATTTGTCACTGTATATTCCTGTAAGAGAACAAGAGCTATTAAAAGTGAAATTCAATGTATATTGACAGTTTGGATATATGCCCCATGATTCTTTCCCCTCCTTAATTTGAAAATAAATGGGGGAAGGCTCATGGAGGGTCAATTATACTGGAGGCTTAGGGGATATGATATTAGTAAATTGAAAAGATCCATTGACAGGCACACCATGAAGCATTATGCCTGAATGACTGGCATACACACCCAACATTTAGAAGCATGCAATAAACTGGCAAACATAATCATATCTTGTACAAAAATATCATCCCTCCATATCTTATGATATTTTTCTCCCCTAAAAGTCTTATTCAACAACGCTGTTCTAGTTCGAAAGTGGCTGAGCCATGGATACTGCCAGCCAGAGTAGGAAGCTGACGACAGCTGCTTGCCAGCTGATGAGGTGAATTATGGTGGTTTCAACTGGACTGGTCGTCTGCTTCTCTTCCTTGTATAACGGTGCAGCAAAGGATGGCAAGGCAAATGGTGAGGAAGGCAACCACTGCCAGATGCAGTTCGTGTGCAGCACCTCTAGGTGGCGCATGCGGAAAGGTTTCAATGCTTCACCCACAAAATGTTGACAAAGTGTAGGGGAGTTCCGCATGCCTTGAGGCAGGACAACCCACTGATATCGCTGGGCGGGCTGCGAATTGTTATATGCTGGCAATGTAAAGCAAACCGTTCCCTGTCTGCTGGAGCCAGTGGGATGAAGATGGTTCAATGTGGCCGAAAGTCAATTGTTCAGAAATAAGCTGGTCAGAGATAGCTGGTGCCGCTGCTGCGGATTTTTCTTTTGGTAGAGGCCACTGTTCTACCCCCACTGGGGTATCGGTGATCCTGGTTTGCCACACTGGAAACAAGTTGTATCGGTGGCTACAGGCTGGTTTTCATTTAGCGCTGCTGCCAGCAGATGAGCCTTGTGGGTGGCTGTAACTACAGACTGACAAATGCGAAGCATGGCTGCTGTGTCTGTGGCAGGATTGTGTATTATCGGTCGTAATGCAACCTTACAATCCTCATTGGCATTTTCAAAGGCCAATTGTTTGATAATTATTTGTTTGGCTTCAGGATTTTCAATTTGGCGACTCACTGCTGTAAGCAGCCTGTCCATAAAGGAAGAATATGATTCTCTTGCCTCTTGCCTGATTGAACCCCACCTTGATTGAATACTGGTGGGTTCTGGGATTTTTCTCATTGCTTGTTTAGCAGCAAGAGCAGTGTCCCTCAATAAGATTTGCAGCAGTGTGGCTTGCACTGAAGCTTGAGCGAAGGGACCACGCCCCAACATGGCATCTAAGACGTCTGCGAGGGTAACATTTGGATTATTTCCTCTGACTTGTTGTAACAAGGCTGGAGCATAAGCACGGCAGGCAGTTTCCCATTCGTGGGCAAACAAAACACCAGCTGATGGGGGCAACACTGTATGGGCCAAAAGCTTTATGTCCTCTGGAACCAAGAGCTGGGCTAATGTGGCTTCTAAAAGCGCCTGCGTATATGGGGCTTGGAGTCCATTGGCCTTTACTGACTGTTGCAGCTCTCTTAGAATCTTAAAGTCAAAAGGTTGGTGTTGGGCTTGGGTGCCTGCCGGGGCACCAGCAGGGGGCACAATAACAGGGAATGCCATAGTATCCTGAATTAAGGAACAGGCAAGGACTGCACGTTGAAAAGGTTCTGGTTCTGGTTCTGGCGCTGAAAGAGCAGGATCATTGCCAGCCAGACCACGGTATTTTTGCAGGATTGAGTCCTCAGGTGAGGAACTGTAGTCCGGAGGTTTGGGGTCTGGAGCTGCTGCTGGCAAAGCAAGTATTGGAACAGTCTCTAACACAGCAGGCTGAATTAAAGAAGCTGAAAGTTGTGTTGGTAATGCAGCCATAGAGATATTTTTTGGTGATAAAGAGTCCATGGCATAACGAACCTTGCACCATGCATTTAAAATCCGAACACTTATGCTGGGGTGCCCATGAAAATGTTCCCCGATCTTGTCCCAATGTTTTAATTCCCAAGTCCCATCTGCAGGAAACCAGGGGGAATGCTCTTTGATAGCCAGAATGAGCTGTATTAAATCACCCTCAGGAACTTCCAATTCGTTGGAGGAGAGGAGAAGTTTTAAGTCTTTTAAAAACTTCTGTTGGGGAGCAGACAAAGAGCTGCCCATTTTTCTAAAATCAATATAAATAAGGGATCGGAACTCACCGGGATCTTTTTAAGATGATTAGCGCTTGAAAC